GCATGGACAGGTGTCAATAACGAAGCAAATATTCAAAAAAACTCGCCTTTGCGCCACACAGGCACAGTGCCACATGGAATAGTAATTAATATTGCCTTTTTTGAACTTGTGGCTGATCAGCACCACCTCTATTAGGCAATCCAGTCACGCTCACCTTTGCTTTTTCATTTGGTACTTTCGGCATTTCGGCATTTCGGCAAATTTTCGCGTCGCCACTGGCTACACATTGCATTGCGCCCTCGCTTTTGTTGTTTCCTTCACTTCCCTTCCTTTGCCTAGCCCCACCATGGGCCCCTTACTCTCGTTTTTATTCTCACCTGATGGTCGTTTCTGGATCCCCATTTTAGTTCACCTCCTCGTCACCTCCAGCCTCCTCCTCCTCCTCGTCTTCTTTGCTCCCCCACCATTTCTGATGTCACCACTTCCTATCCGCTTCCGTCGCCGATCCATCGACTACCACGTGCCACTACTGATATCAGCAAAGCCCCAGCGGCTGGTTCAAATAGGGCAACAAGTCCATCTTTATGACGTCGATCTACCATCATATACTATCAAAACATTGGTCGCTCGTCTTGCCTGGTTGGAGCGTGGGTGGGTAATTTTTGAGCTGGAGAAGGTTCATCCCCTTGCGTCGCCCATGTTCATCGCTGTCCCATTCACTTGGGTACACTTATCTTTTGTCCATCATCTTTGCTACAGCTACACCTACCACATGCTGCCTGGGACTCACTTGTTCCAAATTGGAACTACTCCTCTCCCTCCCTCGTTTGATCAGGTGGTCCAACACAACCAGTCCATTGGTAAGGCCATGGAACTGTTGAATTTGGACTAGGTGGTGGACCGGTGGCTTCAGTTTCTTTTTTTTCAGCAGAACATTCATTTACAGTGCGATTATTTTTGATTTTTGAATCATTTTTATGGACACATATTTTTTAGAATGCTTGACTAACAATAAAGGAACTGTGTTGATACTGATAGTGTTTTGCCTTACCCTTTTTTTTTACTGCATCTTCCCATGACATCATGATTTTCCGGCTCTCTTTTTGCTATTGGACTTTACTTTATGGCTGTACAAACCTGTGACATTACTCACAGCATTCATTGTTCTATCCCTTTCTTTTCCTTTTTTTTGACAATCTTATCCTGTACTACCTACGCAGGATTCGTCAAAAAAAACAAGAACTCGATTCCAGACTTTTTCTCTAATCTTAAGTCCACTTCTTACTGCTACTTGTGATCCAATGTGGTCACAACACTTCCCACTGCTACCACTGTTAATTTCTGTCATTATCACTCGTCACTTTTTGAAAGTGATTGTCATCCCTTTCAATTAGAGTCCTTCTGAGCACTACAGTCTGTGCATCAGGAGCCTGCTATCACTGGGAACTTCGTCACCTCATCACATTGTCATTCTCAAACCTACCTTGTACTACGATTAGCAAGGTAGTGCTCATCTATACTCGCCACAAAGCCCCTATCTTTCTATATTCCAACTATCCCTCCTCCTCAAAACCCACACCCATACATCACTGGGTTTTACTTTGAAGGATCATTATATGTACCACCCCACAAACAACCAGACCACTCCACTGTTCTAGGAGGCAAAGCCCATAAACAAGTTCCGTGGAATCTGGGAGGATTGTGTGTTAGTTTGTTTTTGTGTGTGGTTTTTCTAACAACAGTTCTAATCATCAACATTGTGCTCTTTCTCCATCGAAGGTGCCAGGGTCAGCGACAACTTTGACTTTTTTGTTGAATTTCTTTTCCACCAAGGGGGTTGCTGCAGGAGGATACGCCTGCAGCTCGACAAGTTGCGTGGTCAACGCCAAGATCTGTGTACGCATGCTGTGCAACAGAGTATTGACGTCAGTTGGTTGACTTTGCAACGAGATGTCGACTTGTTCTCTTGGTAATGTAAAAAAAAGGTAACTGGGGTCCCCGCTTGCTATCTGCGGATCAACCTCTTCCCAGCTGAGTATTGAATCTCAATCTCTGACTGGTCAGAGGTATTCAAAAGTGAAGTTTTGTATCTAAATTCTAATCAACGATAGTTCCACACTATTGCTGAGCTATAGTACTCCCCTTAACACTGGGGGCCATGTATCAACAGTAATTGTCTCTTCTCCCAGAGCACTACAGGGCCGTTGCAAAGAGCGCACCCTTCTGCTATATGGGATATCCCTAAACAATACACTATCCCCTTAACCCTGGGGTCTGGGTTTGCACAATGTGTGAGAGAGTAAAAGAGCGAGTCCTAATGTAACAACCTAGAGTTTGTATACTCTGGCGCACAACTAGAACTAACTATAAAGGTAGTGAGGGGAGTGGTTACCCTTAGGACAGGACTGAGTTAGTTGCGGGTAAACAACAGGAGGACTCGCTGAGGAGTCTCCTGGAATAAGCATTGTTGTGTACTGGTACCCTGTAGTGTACCTTCCAAGAAAGACATCAGAGGGTGGGATGATCTGATATTAGGTATTTATACTACTACAGGTTGTTTGTACATGTTGTACTATACAGTTGATAAAGCAGTGGCTGATGATGTCAGAGGGCACAGCCCGTGTGACCAGCTCCACTGCGTGAGAGACTTGTAGCTAAAATAAGAGGAAAGGCAGCGCAGTGCGAGAAAGAGGAGTTTGAACAAAAGGAAAGTGCCACATGGCACAGTGTGAGAAAACTACAGTTTAAACCGGAGAATGAAAATAAAAGGAAAGGTCCAAAAATGTGTTATCGTAACAGTATTAAGATGACCAAAACTTGAACATTAGATTGTGCTGGTAAAGCCTTATAGTTGTTTATAATTGGTCCAGATTGGATGACATCAGACAGGTATATCTACACCTTATGTATCAGTATTGTCATGAAAGGTAATGGCTTACGCTTTTATATGACTCTTATGAGTCGTGGAGATACCTAGGTAATTGTTGACAATCGACAGGCATTCTGACATTAGAATATAAACTCCACCTGGTAATAACAAGGCCTCACCAATTTCCTAATGTGTACTCCATTCCAGTAGTTTGAATATCAATAAGTTCCCCACACCTTTTTACCAAGTCCTTTTCTAAGTCCTCTCTGACAGACCTTTACTCATCTCCTACTTTCATCCTCTACTCTCTCATTCACTTCATTGACTTAGGGACCAAGGTCTGCAGAAGGGTCTAGTGCACAAGCTAAATAATCAACTCCCAACCTCATACTTTGTTCTGCACTTACAGTGTATCTTTGTCCTCCATCCTCTAACAACCCTAAAGCCCAAGGCCCTGACAGGTAGCTTTTTGTTTGCCCTTTAAGGAGGTGATCATGATGATAGTAGAACTAGCAGGTGTTCTAAAAGAGAATTTGGGCATAGAAGTTGGGGAAGACATAACACTAAGCTAGTTCATTACAGAGGTAGGAGTGCAAGGTAAAATATAAGGTTTTTCGCAACCCTGGGCATTTAACACCGATATTCAATCATCCCAGGCCACCATTTCAGAGTCAGCCTCTGTCACTTCCTGCATGCCATTATCATCTGACGTTGTCCTGTTCTCTCTAGACAAAGCTGTAGACAAGGCCTGCCCTCCAACCTTATTATCAAAAGCCTTGGAAAGGCTGGATGCCTGAGATAAGGATCCAACATCAGCCCCACTAGGTCTTCCTGTTTGGAACACAATTTTTCCCTTTGCACAGTTGGGGGTTATGCCCTTTATGCTCTCATAGAACAGCCAGCCCTTATTCTTAACCAGGCTGGCTTTGGGGTTTTTCTGTAATAAACCAGCTTAATATTGATGTTAGTTCTGTTCCCAAACCAGCTCAAACTCTGCATTCAACATCAGACTCTATACGTGATTTGTAATCTAACCGGGTGAGTGCATGGGAAGATGTCAGAACCTTCGGAGTGATCAGAGTTCAGAGTATGGAGGTGGGTTGGGGAGCAGAATGGAGTACAAGGTTGGGAGTTGACTTAGCTCATGCACTAGGCCCTTCTGCAGACCTTGGTCCCTAACTCAATGGAGTGAACGGGTGAAATTTGAGGATGAAAGGTGGAGAGGAGTAATGGTCCTCCGGAGAAGGACAGGAAAACTTAGAAGAAGACTTGGATAAAAGGTGGGAGGAACTAGTTGATATTTGAACTGCAGGAACGGAGTACAGGAGCTACGGCTTATATACTAACGGGGGGATTGGAGTTCATAAGGAGTAACTTGTAATGTAGGCACGGAATTCTATATGGACAATTATCTAGTGAAGGGAAATTGTATGTGAAGGGAGTGTACCATAAGGTCTAAACTACAAAGTTGATGAGGAGTATGAGAACATGTGGAGAAAATGTATGGCGGACTAGAAGTCCAGTGCAGGAGAATTGGAGCAGATATCTGGAGTTCGATGTGGGGGTGAGGTACAGGGCTATGCCGAGCGGCAGAGCACAAGGAGTGTAATTCTGAGAGTACCGAAGATTGAGGAGTTTGGACTTGAGGGTCTCTGACCTTTTGGAGTTCTGGAAATCATAGTCTGTGGCATAGATATGACAGAAGATTTAAGTCTATGATATAAGTGAAGAGATAATATTCGGTATTAGGGGGAATTGAACCTTCTAGGTGGTGGTGGGGTGGTTTCACCCTTGCAAAAGGGCTCATCAGGGGGCTTAACTGGTACCCTAACCATCCGACATGAGTGTGACCAACTACTCTCTTTGAATATAGTTGTTTTCCAGAGTCTGGGCATTACACCATGACTGGTATACAGAGAGTACACTATCCAGTGGGTAAAGGCTGTGCAATCCTACAACCAATCTGCCAACATCAGGGCTCTCTCCCTTCACTGGTCTTTATGTTGTTGGGCACTCTGTGCATGTTTGTAAGTACATCCCCAAAGTACCAAGGAATGAGTGCTCTTCTCCGAAGATAGGAGCAGAGTTCTCTCTCTCTATGTCACTGACTAAGCATAGATCCATGTTCTTGAGAGGAACTCTGCCATTCCCCACTTATCTGAAGCCTTAATATGTACAGCAGCCCAAATGAAAAGGCTTCCAAGCATGCATTAGACATTGGTAGAAATATGCGACAGCACCGAGCTAAGAAAATCTGCATTGCTCCCGTCTTCTGCTATGACCATGATGTCGTCTCGATCTCGAGCTACTTGGTTGATTTGCTCAGCGGCTCCAGACTTGTATGCAACACGAGCACAAGCCGCACGAATGGCTATCAGGTTTCGGTCCGGCAGTTCAGGAGGGGGCAATCCTCGCTTTCTGAAGTCCGCCACCATTTCCGGATCTAGTTGAAACTTGACACGACGAGGAGGCCGCTCCGCATACCGGAAAAATATATCGTTGGAAGCTTGAACATTGTAAGTATTGGACTATAGAGGAATGAGACTAGGGTAAAGGAAAGGGGAGAAGAACTGGCCTCTCCGGGAACCTCCTCCAACCAGAACTCGAAGTGATCAAAAGCACTGTGCAAAGACGAGGCCATCGTGAGCACATTGCATAGATTGTTTACTTGACCGCCAAGGATTTTTCGAACTGGAGTCTCCAGACCAAACATCTTCAAGATTGTGAAAGCGGTGACCGGGCATTCATGCATAGGACTCAGATAGGCTGAAATCAACATCAAAACTAGTGCACCGACCTGGTTAATATCTTGGGCCGTTTCCGAGAACAGATGGGCGCATTGAGTGTTCGTGGCTACGTTATTGGCTGCAAGCTCTTCAATCTCGGGATACTTCAGGCAGGAGTCATAGTCGTATGCGCCAGAGATCATACACTTGTAACCATCACGCAAAAGGGCCTAATTTATGGGCCAGAGCTTCGCAAGAAGATCCATGGTATGGTATGAAAACTTACGCGTTTTTTGGCTTCTCCCTTGGTTCCGGGGGCATTGACCATTGCGGAGAGGATCACTTCCTTGTGTTTCTCGAAGGAAGGAGGCGATGCATGAGCACTAGATGGAGGCGTAGGTCCCGTGTTAAAGCGAACTAGGCTCCTGTCAGTAGTATTCAATAAGAGCGGACTCTGTCCTTACAAACGCGCATGAGGTTATTTCTATAATGTAGACCCAGTTTGTAGACCTTGGCGTGCTGAGCTTCTTCTTCTTCTTTGCTCCCTACGGCGACACCATCAACAGAAAAGCAAGACCTTATATCCAGCAGTAGATGCTCGTATGCAATAGTTGATACGAACAAATGTTCACTGTTATGGTCCCAAAAATCTCTCAAGGAGAAACCCAAGACTCGGACTCCAACCAGCTTATCAGTGTACTTCGGAGGCCCGAAGGAGGGATGATCCTTGAGAGCTTCTGCTTCGGCACGTAGAAGTAGTCGCCAAGCGCTGATACCATGGACGTCAAACTGGACTTCACCCAGGACGGGAAGGGAAAGCATGAATGAGAAGTGGCGAGAGCGTCGCATTTGTCACATCCCGCCGACCTCAACGACCCAAAAACAATCCGAGAACTCTATGAGTCATAGTCACAAGAAACCAACATCCTGAGGACAGTGTGGCGGTAATATAATGATGTTGATACCTCAAGTGGTGGAAAAGCAGACAGACGGTTTACGACCTGAAGTTGTTTTTCACAAAAATATGATGCAATACACCCTGACATGCTCTGGAGCCTATAGCGACAACAATCGATCTGCTCTGAATGATAGGATACATCGGTCACAGTTCTGTAGCTTGTTCCTTTGTTGGTAAGTAAGATGTTCTACCGGCCAACATGTTGAACACTTACTTCATATCTGCTTTTGCAAAAGGTGGTAAAAAATTCCAGGTGTCACTGTGGGGGACAGGCAGGACCAGCATACGAGTCACACCAGCGCAGTTTGTTTCCTTGTTGCATATACACTGCTGTGTTGGTACTCTGATATACTCGGACCTGGAGCTGATGGCCAATGCACAAGCTTTCGGGGAGCTTGTTTGGAGCTAAATGGGACGGTGGTATAATGGAAATCATACCAATATCTCTCTCCCTCACGGGCATCTCTAAAGATTTCATGAAAAACAGTCATCCTTCCAATGAAATCATGAAATCCCTATATCAAGGTCGATAATTAGAAACAAACCTAGCGGCACGTACAATTGTACCAAGTTCACGGATACATACAGTCAACGATACGAGGTTGCGTAGCTCGGCCTAAATAAAGTCCCGAGGAATACTTGCTAAATGAGTGACATGTCTGAACGAAAGCATGCATTAGATTAAGGCTCTGTGATGGAATGATATGGATGCATGTATGATACCGGAGACAGCTATGCCTGTTGACTATCAGGACCGTCACCAAGGGTCTGCGAGAATACATCAAAGGTCAAGCCAAGTATGGACTTGACGTGGTGGTAACTAGACGCGTGTTGTCCAGTCGCGATAAATGGAATGCACGTGACTACATGTTGGAAAAGCACGTGAGGGCTTACATAACGGACACGCAGGACACGCTGTTACCACGCCGCGTTTCGTTTTACAGTGGTCAGCCTCATTTCTTCCATCTTTTTCTGACCAGTTTGCATATTCAGACACTCGAGGTGTTAGGCCATTGAGATGTCCCATCAAACCCACCACCGTGCTCATACCGCCCAAGCATCAGCACCAGCGCCTACATCGCGACGCCATCCATTCACAAATGCTATCAATCAGCCTCTAGTCCAGCAAGTGCCCGGAACACCTCCCAAGCCACAACAGAAGGCTAAACAGCCTTCATCTCCGCCTTTGCCGAGACAGAATAGCAAAACAACGCCTCCTTCTCCCCCTAAGATAATCACCGATGCAGGTCGATCACTACAGTTTCAACGTGTTGGCTTTTTGGGCGAGGTATGCCACGAGATTATCTCCTCTTCCGTCTTTGTATGAATAACACGAGGTTTAGGGCGGGTTTGCTCGTGTATACGAAGTCAAGGATGTCCGAGGCACAAGACTTGCCTGTAAGGTCGTTACCAAGGATTCTCTCAAGACTAAAAAGGCCAAAACTAAAGTGAGGCGATGTCAAAGTTATCAGTGGAATAGTTCTTACTGTGCTATAGCTCTATGCAGAAATCAAGATTCATCGTTTTTTGGCGCACCCCAATATCGTTCGTTTCCAAGATTGCTTTGAAGATGACCAGAACGTCTACATGACCCTCGAACTCTGTCAAAGTGGCTCTCTCATGGATATGCTCCGCCGGCGCCGCCGATTCCAAGAAGCTGAAGCCCGATATTTTATGACCCAGCTCATTGGTGCATGCCACTACATGCACACTCACCAGGTCATTCATCGAGATCTTAAGCTGGGCAACTTGTTCCTAGATATCAATATGAACATCAAAGTAGGCGACTTTGGCCTTGCTGCCCTTATTGAGAATCCAGGAGAGAGAAAGAAGACGATTTGCGGAACACCAAATTATATTGCTCCAGAGGTGCTATTCGACACTGCGAATGGCCATAGCTTCGAGGTTGACACATGGTCGATCGGAGTGATATTGTATACCCTCGTGGTAGGCCGCCCACCATTCCAGACTAAGGATGTCAAAGACATATACAAGTACGTTCCTCGTGGTTTGAGCTTGAGGACATTTATTGACCACTATTAGGAGGATTCGTGATAATGTTTACGAATTTCCATCCGAGCGCACTCCATCGCACGACGCTCGTGACCTGATTCAACAAATCCTCACGCCCGATCCGCAACAACGCCCCACCTTGCACGAAATTGTTGACCATCCCTTCTTTACGATGGGTATCGTCCCTGCATTTATTCCCCAGTCTGCACATGACTCCATTCCAGATTATCGATTCGTTACTCGAGCGGAGTCTGTAATCAATTTCCAGAAGCTCAAGAAGAGTGTCCTCTTGGACGACGACGTAATGGATATATCGGTCCCGACAGTACAGGAGGAAGTGGAAGTCAACACAAACAAGGCGAAGAACACTATAACTTCGAGCATTGCCCAGCAAGAAAAGGAATTCCAAAAGGCAGTACAGCCTGGAAGCCCTATATCTGCACTGTTGAGTTCCGCGAGGCAGCCCTTGCTTATGTCCACCAGTGGAACCAAGGAATCGCCGTTATTCAGGAAATTGCAGGCGGCCAAGAAGGATATAAAATCTCCTGTTCGTGGGGTTAGAAGTACCAGAGGATTGCAGGATATTGCGGAGGAAGATATGATACAGCAGAAGGGACAACGAGAGAGAAACCAGGATGAAGTAAGACAGAAGGAACTTGAATCGCAGAAGGCGAGGATTGTTGCCCAGATGGCACCTGGAAGCGCTCTAGGGACTACCTTCCCTACTGACGAGCAAGAGAACCTTCCTCCTCTTAAAAAGGAAAGCAAAGGGAAAGAAAGGGTCAAAGAAGTATTCAAAGACATCGCTACAGAATTGCCCACCACTTCTCCAACTCCCAAGTTGAACGGCTTCGACGCTGCGGCACATACTTTGACTCTTGCGTTTGATGCTTTGGATTCCAATAAGTTGTTCAGGGACCCACGCGAGGACATTAACATCCCCGATGAAAGAGTTTTCATCGTGTCTTGGGTCGATTACTGTAACAAGTACGGAATGGGCTACGCCCTCACTGATGGTTCTGTTGGTGTACATTTCAACGATAGTACGACACTAGTTTTATCAGCCGACAAGCAGTGAGTACCACACATTGACCTTGCTGATAACGGTTTTCAGATGGCTTACATTTTCTTGTAGTCATTTCGATTTTATCTCTTCTCGAAGGCATGGGACGATCTACGTCAGGAAGAACTATACTGTGTCGGAATATCCCGAAGACTTGAAGAACAAAGTTTACTTGTTGAAGCATTTCGAGCGTTACATTATGGACAGGCTATATGGTGAATATGAATACACATTTGAAGACGTCGACCGAGCGAAAGGAATGGATTTCGTGCAAAAGTACCTGCGCATGAAGCACGTTATTGTCTTTAAGATGAGTCACGATGTCTTACAGGTCAGTCTAAGCCTTCTTAATTTGTCCAATCTTCTTTCCTGATGCATTTTATATCCGTGCAGTTTAATTTTTACGACCACTCAAAAGTTATCCTCTCCTCCCACGGCCTCTTAGTGACTCATATCGACAAGAATTACAAGCTTTCCCGGTGGACGCTGAGTGAAATCATGGCACAGGCCTTGAAGTCACCTGCTGCCGACTCGGATCAGGCTAAATTTCACCAGCGGCTGGTGGATAAGCTCAAATATTGCAAGGAGGTACTGACATCTATCCGAAACGTTAGTCAAACTGCTGGGGAGGCTGGCGGTGAGGAAGATGGTACGATGGGGATGGGACTTATTAGCGCGAAGACTTCAAAGGTTTCTCTCCGATAAAGGACTTCGCGAGATAGATGACATTAGGTCACCAATTCTCAATCATACATGCTCATGGACCCATAGCGACATGCAAGGCAGCGTGTTTCTTGAATTCTCCACAATAGTCACCGTGTTGTCAATGTTTCATTTTACTCTTTTATAGCTTGGTGCCGTCGTCGTAGCATGCATTCCGCATTTTCTTATCTCAACAAGTATGTATTACCTATGGTAGGGACTAGCTATGAATGAATTGCAGTTCCGATATGTGTATACCTTTGAGTTTATCGATACGTTTGTCCACAGTAGTTCTGGCACTTCTAACTTGAGTGTCGGCGCCAAAGATGTAAAGGACCACCCGAATGGGACAAGGAATATTTAACATAACAATGGGTTATTAGAAGTCCTCAGATCACACTACTTCGAAAGAATCAAATTTATGAATTTCAGGGTTTTCATAACACACACAAAAGACCATCAAATAACCACAAGATAAAGAATAAATGTATAAAACACAATTTTATCCCAGATTTCACACTATATACCAGTGCCTTGTTAGGTTCGCTTTCATGCGAAGGCTACGAACGGATTTAAGTGGGGGGAGGGCAGAAAGTGACAGTGTAGTCAGCGTTGCTGCTAGCAGGGCAAGTCCAGAGGGCGGTGCCGGAGGACTCGTCGTAGGCGTAGCAGTACGAGTTGGGGCAGTTGTCCTCTGCGAGGACAAACGATAGGTCAACGAAAATGACAAGAGAAAACGGAGAAAAGCATGTCCTTACTGAAGTAACTGTAGTACGCGACACCCGAGTTGGGGCAGGTAGCGGGGGTGTTGTGCGAGCCACTGCAGCAGTTGGCAGAGTCGGCTAGTGGAAAATCTCAGGTAAGCTTTAGTTCCTTGTGATAGAGCAGCGATGCCTTACAGGGGTTACCGTCAATGTTGGCCTCGCAAGCAGACTTGCAACCGACAGCGAAGCCAGTAGAGTCGTAAGGACCCTGGATAGCGGCAGGACCTTGGCGAATTAAGTAGTATCAGCCAAACTGGAGTTATATAACCCAAATTTCCGACACTCACAGTTTGGTCCGAGGTCAACAGGGCAGTCAGCGAGGCTGCAGCCAGCGGTGTTGGTGATAGCAACGGGCAAGTTGTAACCATCAACGAGAGAGACGTCGTAGTAGTCTAAACCGTTGGAGCCCAAAGTGAACTCGGCGAGGGTGGCAGGAGGAACACCCTATTCAAAACGGTTTAGGAAGCCGTTTTCACGCGTGCAAGAAAATATAGACTTACAGTGCCGGTGCTTTGGTCGCAAACCAAGCCTCCATTGCAGCCACCGTCAACGCAAGAGTTGGGGCCGGGGTTGGTGCTGAAGTCACAGTCACGACGACCCTAAATGCCAGAAACGCGTGAGCAACTATAATAGGAGAGATAGAAAAAGAAGCCTACCCAGATACGACCAGCAGTCCAGTTGTCAGGGACCGCAAAGCTGACGGAGGTGTACGCATCGGCCTGCCACCTGCAAATGATCATCAGTATGGCATACCACCGTCGCAGGTTAGACTTACCCAGTGGTGTAAGACGGGTAGGGGGCACCAGCGGTGAACATCTACATCAACATTGAGTACACAATACTGTAGCCTTTTCAAGAAACGGTTTAATTACAGCAGGCCTGTTAGTCCTTGTCAGTACATTTATTTATAATCACAGAACGATAAACCAACCAAACGGTGAATGGGCAAGCGTTGTAGACCGTGAGGGTACGCGCAAGGGCGCCCGAGGCGATGGAGAGAGAAGAGGCAGCGTACAAAAGCTTCATAGTAGTGATGATAGGTGGGGATGTTGGTTGTAGTCCTTTCGCAAGGCCTTTTGTACCTCCCCCGGCCTTCGAAATTTGGTACTAAAAGCTGGGCCAGGAACTGTTGTGCCTCTACGGCTGTAAATATCGCTACCGTTTCCTGGATAGTGAGTGGTGAGCCATGTGAGGCGATGGTAGTCTGAGCCAATCGTCTAAGACACTTACTACTTTGGGATGAGCTGATGATACAATCGCAAAGGTTGTCGATGGCCCACATGGCTTGTGTCGGATGATGTTCATTGCTGTTGTGCGGTGCCATACGGAAACCATCACCCTCAAGGGGGAACCTTGAGGACAGCAAAAACGTTACGGGATTGAATCGAAAGTAAGGTTAGGACCTTGATTAGTATATCGCTTGTGATCAATGAGGGCCACGAGACCTCAGAAGGCGAGTGACGACCGCTCTTCACGTTTGCGGGAGGCTGATAGTGTATCAGCCTTCCAGGTCCATCAGGGAGAAAAAACATCTACAGTAGTAACTTTCGGCTTTGAACCATGCGAAATACCGCACTGTGGTAGGGTTTTGAAAATGGGATCAAGCTGAACGGGGTGTCTTCCGGGATCGGGTTTGATGCTGTTTGATGATGGCGACCGCCACAGCCTCGCAGGCGTATCTTTTCAAAGAGACAGCAGTCCGAAAAGAGATCGAAGAGATGATTTGGAGACAATGATTCATCAAGTGGCTGTCCTGATATTCGATTACAGGCTGATTTGAGTGGTAGCACTCCCGTTATCCTGTCAGTTGTATGCTTCGTCGATAGGTTCGAAGACATGCTCACCAGGCCCCCCTGGCTCTGCTCCTCGCCTGCCTCCGCATTCGCGTCCTTTGACTTGAGGTCACTTGATACATCACCTGGCTAACTTGCATATGCTCCAAAATATGCCGACAACTCCGCGAATTACTACCCGAGCAGTACATACAGATCAGAAACAGGATCAGTGCGTCGTCTAGTCATCAAGTGCTCGCCAACAAGGCACCATTCCCTACGGATCTCTTGGCAATCTCGCACTTACCGCATTGTTGGGGGTAATATAGTTCCAACTCTTCCCTTTTGGGGCTTTCAAGTCGTCGTGGAGCTGTCGAGCGTTGTGGAGTCTCTCAAGTCTTCGTGGAGCTCTCGAGTCGTCGTGGAGCGATCTTAAGTCGTCGTGGGGCCGTTTTCTGCACAACCGAACGATCATGGTCATGGACTCAGTTGTAATGGAGCTCCAATTCCGGCGGTTGAGCCAACTTTTTTCGTATGTCTAGGAGTGCTTCTAGACAGCTACAACCGCATCTTTGAGTTCTGCTTAGTCCAGAGACAATTTTTCTGCGCATGGTTGCCTTCCTGTGTAATGGTCACTACTGTCATGATAATTTTAATGCTGAAACATGCCTTTTATCGCCAAAGAGTTTCTAACATTTCTTCGACATGCTTCAAACTACTTGAGTACCAATTTGCACGTGTGTGAGAACACCTCTCCGCATCACTCCCTCCCACTTCCTCAGCTTCTATGCTTTGAAGCGAAAAATAACCTCTTTTTGACAGAATAGATACTGATCTATTTGAAAATACTAGGCTCGAGCACAACACCCTTACCCTCTACGAAAAACTTCGACGTTAAGATTGTAGTGTGATAAGAAACCAAAGACGGCGCTGAGAAACAGACAACCCGTCAGACGACTCGATTCTCACAGATAAATAATCGGGAAGGTGATTGGATGGATTGTCACCGTTCCGATTAATCACAGTCAAAACTCCTTCAAAGCAGATGGTTGGTCATACTAGTATTCGATGGTGGTACAACATATGTCTGTCATTAGATCAGCAAGACAGACTATTGGGTTCCGAGAGATCAATAAAAGCGTACACCATCCACCACAACGGAAGAAATTATATCTATATTAACTTGCTATGGCCAAACGGAGATATAGCGTACTTGATTCGGATAGCCCTCACGGCGCGCGAGTCTTCCAAGGACAGGTCTATCAAAACCAGAAGTAAAACATAAGAGCAGTCATACATAGAGATGAGAATACTTTTATCCGGACGCTGATACGAATCAATAATCCGATCATGTCATCCAGTACAGCGATGAATCACTTCGAAACCTGGGTGTCAGGTATTTTCGGAACACTGTCATGGTGGTGCAACGAGCACGACGGTCCTCGTATGAATGAACCATGAATCTCACTTGATAACTCTCAGAAGCTGAACTGAAAAAGCGTGAACACTTGACCATCGAGAACACGGCACAACAGTAGGTGTGCCCATAGTAATCGATGGTATCGAGTGATGACGTTGATGCGTGGTTATCTGTTGTATTCTTCGCGGACCGGGCAAGCGATTGAGTAATGAAAAACATCCTATAGGAGTCCGCCGTGCTATTCTTGTAGAGAACCTCATAGTTCGCCGTGTGGCGCTTCCTGGATACTAACATAGGCCAAACCAAGCCATACAAGTGACATTCGTCAATGAATAGAAAACCATGAAACACATACCAGAGAAATTTATGCACCAATCGCATTGACACATTGATAACGTCGATCCCAATGTAGGTGAGAGTCGGGAAAGGAGCACTTGGATGAGAAACGAGCACATAGGTGAAACTGCTTCCTGGAAAAGTATTGGCTTTTGGACAGATCCTTCGCTAATGCCTGCAAGAGTACCGGCAGGCCTCGCACGCCCATACGACAAAGATAGTCCATCCTCAGGATCATTAAAAGAAACTGACATATTGTAACACTGGGTGCTTGCTCCCGGCATGATAACCAGAGCACCACGGAACTTTGCCAATACCCAGGTGTGACAAGGACCCCTGGTCGATGATGAACCGGAGACGGCGCCCAGGTTACTTACTTCTTTCCGTCCGGCCTCAAATGTGCCTTCGGTTTTCGGATATGGCATATTGCGAAGCCTCCGATGGGGCATATGCGATAGTTCCCAACATCTAGGCTAGAAACGGCCCGGAAGTTTGTATAATGAGCACCTTGAGAAGAGGAGCTTCAGTTGCACGGGTAAAGTAAAAACTCGTCGGCAACAGGCTCTTGCTGTAGATGGAGGTACAAGGTCGGGCTGATGAGGTGGCTATCACATACTTATGGGAGCGTCCCCGTCCGTGATTGTACTGAAAATAGCGAGTGAACAACAACTCGTGTCATTGGGGCATCTTTGGAACCGCGAACAAGTCGGATGGAGCTTATCAAATGACGAGCGACTGACGGTAGCACGTGAACCAGATATAAAACAATAACATGGCTGTTAGATGGCAAGTCTTACAGTAATAGACGGAGATAGAACACTAAGAAAGCGGCTCAGAAGAGAAGTTGGAATGGCAATGGAAGTGGAAGTGGCGATGTGTATTGGTTGGGAACGTACTTTGGACTACCAGAACATTGCGCGAACCGTGCTTGCCTTCAGCGTTTTTCCAAACGTGGCCGTTCTTTCGCACTAGACCTTGGAATCTGTGACAACTATGTTCTATTCCAGGATCCTGCCACTGCCACTATAAGCGCTCTGGTCAGAATTTGAACTTCTGTTGCGGTAAGCTTCAGTCGAGTACCGCTGCTCTGGGTGCTTGGATACAATCGTGACATAGCATTGACAGGAAAGTCGCCGCTGGATAATGATGCCTAGACCCCATGTCCCCCCCACCTTTTAAAGTGCCATATTAATAATTGTCGTCAAAAAAAGTGCTCCTAATGTTTCCATATACGGGGAGAACAGACGTATGCTCATATGTATGTGAGTAAGCCATTTGAATGGGAAGGGAATGGTTCTCGAAAGAATTACAGGCGGGCACTTCGAATTATAAGGAGCGTGACCAAGTGTGACGCTGGTCACGTCGCATTATAGACAACGGCTAATTGGTCGACATGACTTTACCGTAACTCTGTGGATTTTTTGTATCCAGGTGCAGGCCGACAAGAAACGTACGGAGAATCTTTGTGCAGCCGCCTTGATACCCAAGGATGGTGTATACCTTTCAAATCCATTTCTTCTCGCGCACGACCCCTTGGATCTCCGGTTGATGGTATCATTGGCTTAGTGCCCGCTTTTCCGTAAGTTGGTCCGTAGCTGCTCATGGACAAAGCAGTCATGTTACTCACCACGAAAGGCTCATGGAGTAACTGAACTGGCATTGATTGACTCCGATATCATGTCATAACCCGGGTCCTCCTCATCTAGACACCATCGGCCTCCGTCCGTTACCTGTATCGGAACTGAATCATCAAACTAGGCTTAGGGGACAACTCGGATTAGCCAGGCATATCAATCAAGCGCTATGGAAATGTCCACCGCCGAAATACGTACATGCACGTCTGCTATTCGGAGCAACCCATCCTAGCCACTATAAAACCCCCCACAAACACTCAAACTGATTGATTAAACTCACACTTTCATTACTGCAACACTACCATGGACAGATCATATACCTGGCTTGTAACGGGGTTCGCATTTCCCCTTCTCTTCATCCTTACATCCTTTGACTGACAGAACTTAGTGCTTCTCGTGGCATAGGCTTTGAGCTCGTCAAACAACTTCTTACTGCTCCAACGACTCATAGTGTCTTCGCAGCTTGCCGTAATCCTGCAGGTGCGAATGGTTTAAACGCTTTGGCCCATGGATCTCCAGAGTTTCACTCCCAAAGTCATCCGGCCCTCCACGTCGTGCAAATGGACGTTACTGACGAGAACTCTATCAACGCCGCAAAAGAGGAGGTCAAAGAGATACTAAACGGACGTGGGTTGGACTATCTCATCAATAATGCGGGGATTGTAAGGGCGCTGGAACAAACTATTTGCGTAGATACTGACTTCGGTGATTTCCAGTCCGTAAGGGATGACCGTGCAAACACATTCACCGCGAAGGATCTCACAGCCAGCATTGTGGCTAACGTCGTTGGTCCAGCACTGGTTACCCGAACATTCATCCCACTCATAGAACAAAGTGCAAAAAAGGTTGTCGTGAACATTTCTAGCGCACTCGCGAGCATTGGAATTGATTATGGAGGAGAACTCGCTAGTTACAGTATTAGCAAAGCTGCACTCAACATGCTGGTTCGTTCACATCCTTTTCTTACACGATCATCAATACTCAGTTAATGTGTCACAGACTTATAAGCAGTGGAAAGAACGCCCCGATCTTGTACCATTTGCCGTTGACCCAGGTTGGGTAAAAACGGGTAAGCTGATACCTTAGGTTTAAATTTAATCTCCAATTCTTATTCGTTTTCAGATATGGGAGGTACAAGTGCTGCTCTCGAAACACATGAGAGCGCTTCCGGCATACTGCATGTCGTATCTGGTGCGACGCCCGAATATGCTGGGCGATTTATCAGCTACAAAGGTGAACCAGTACCTTGGTAAAGATTTTATTGACGTCTCGAAGGTGAATTCGAGCATCAGAATTTATGATATACTATGCCGTATCATCTATTAGTATTATGTACAACTTACGATTGGTAATGGTATCTTTCTAGCTGGTTCTATTGTGTCGGTGACTTCTTTGCCTTATACTATAGACCATTCAACTTACTTTGGCTTTGAGAATGTATGTGCTATTGTTAGTAGTTAATATTGTATCAATCATATGACCACCTTATCAATGTAATCACTTGCGGGTTCATTTTTCCCCCTGCTCTGTTTACGTAGGAGCACATATATGAGCTTGGTTCCTTTGCATTTCGAGAATCGTAAATAGTGCTTCTACTACAAAATAGGATATTCTTTCATCTGGTCCACGTTAAAAAAGCCAAGAAAAAGTAATAGATATCGTTCTAGAATGGTTCAATCGTTGGGGCTGCATTAATCCAAAACCAATCCAAACAGGTTCAGGTTGTGGACGAACAAGTACCAGGTGTCCGCGGAATCAGCAAAATATCACGAACCTAGCGCCCTGAAAAGCCTTCGTGTAAGAAATAACTCAGGCTGTAATCACAGAATATACCGTGAATGATGTTCACAGCATCTTTCGCTAGGATCTTTTTGTGAATCACAAATAGCATACTGAGATCGTATGTGCAGCACCAGTCGAACAGTGGAGATAGTGGAGGCTGCTATTATCAAGCTGCGGAGATGTGTATGTGAGCTAAAAGCACGACCAGAGGGCTGTTAGATAGCCTTATCACCTTGGGTACGAAACGAGTATGACCATCTAAAATTACAAAGTAAACATTAGAACGTTGAGATAGTCACATTAAACCTTACTGCAGAAACATGTGTCGAGGCGGATCCAATGGCAGCACAAAGAGCAACAACTGGATTGAAGTATGAGTCATAATTGCGAAGTGAACCTGAGGTTATCCACCAATTATTACCAGGGATACCAAAATTTCTCTGCATGAATAAAAGTCAGAATTATGGTGCACTCTGTGACATTAGCATACTCACCCTCCGACACACTGTGTTGAGGTTGATTGGCAAGGGTTAGAAATTCCAGACTGTATGGCCCCGTACACCAACAACACACATAGTACCGTGTGAATGAAGATGATGGGCACATATACAATCCAGAATTCATCAGCCTTGAGAGTAAATACACAGCCATTCGTACCAGGAAGCTCCAAGTTGACCACATGAGTATCGGAGGACATCTTTACGATCAGGGTGATAATGGCGGCGAGTGCAAGGGCAAAACTGGCAACAGCCAACCGCCGATCAAACTGTCTTTCAATACAAAGATCCCAGATTCGCAACGTTAGAATCACTGGAAAATTGACATGTGAGAGTCAGGGAGATTTGAGAAAATTGAAGTTACCTTGGACAACTATAACAATGACAACAGCGAGAGTAAGACCTGTATGATACAATCTGGAACACCTAGTTTAAGCTGTAAAATTACTCCAAAGCGAATAAAAGATATATTTTAATGCACTGACACCTAATAAACACCTTCAGTCATCATAACAAGACGGGAGTATGAAAGGTGAACTTACAGTAACGTTGGATCCACTCAAGAAGATAGCTAAGAAAAGCGTGAACGCTGCGTCTACAATAACTACGATAACTACAAAATCACTCACTAGCCACGTCTATACTATCACATAGTCCAAAATTTCAGCTGACTAGAAAACATTTAAGATAAGGCTGACTTACACGACTATGCACAAGGCGAGGTAGCGAAGCTGAGATGCTATAGTCAGTATGCAGATGTGAATTTCCAAAATATTGTTCTTACAAGATAGAAGAGTACGTGGGAGAGGCCTCGTCGAGTGGACCAGAGATGCTGGATCTGACACAGACAGTTGAGCACATGCAGTTACACAGACATGTAAGACTATATCACTGACCTCTTGATCAAGAGTCAAGGTGTGGTCATAAACAACCAATGAATAGCAAGCGAACATAAGGAATCTCGCTTCAAACAAATCATTAGCCGTGGGCTTCCCCTCTGTGCTGGACATCGTTCAGGAGTGGAAAAATGAAGCCTGGATATCCTGGCAAGTGGCTATAAATACCAATTTCTGAATTCCCCAAGGACAGATATTGGGGGGAACTTTACCTAACAGCTAAAGCAATCATAGGGTGGAGACCCTTGATTACAGTTTGAAGGAAAGGAGGACGATACGACAAGGTTCACTGTCAGGCCCAAATTGAGTTATAACTACTTACCAAACTTAATGACTGGATTATGTATATTATAAGATATTGAGTGTGGATACAAGTTTCAGCGGCTCGTGGTGTTCGGGGTGTTTTATAGCTGCCTGGATCTATAACATACAAGCTCCTATACAAAGCCAATATAGGAAGTACGAGAGAAACAAGGCGCGGGCGCCAAACTAGGAAGGAGCTGTGGATCAGTTGGCCCGTGCACCTTGATGGAAAAATTTTACTTATAGATTTACTTCCGTTCTCCTTTTCTTATAAATCGTCGTTAGCAACCGTAGGCCACCTCAGTCTTTCCCCCCGAAAGCTGAGGTGAGCGAAAGCATTGGTATAAGAGCCCTCAGACGTCAACCCGCTCGCCTTTGCACCTGTCCATACCTCCGTTTACGTTTCAAATTCTTGCCCAGGATGGAAGTAGAGACAGTAAGCTACTGTTAATTCCCCGCTGTCATGTTTGTGATCCGTCGAACGTAAAAGGTGGCTCTACCTTCACCAGTCACCCCCGGGGAGCTCGCCGCCCTTGACTGTCTCACCGACCACGGCGAAAAACGCGTCTCGCGCTACGCGCCTGGAATCCTCATCAAATGGGCCTCCCAGAACGAAGCTGAAGTCCGCGCTTTGCAGTACCTTCAGGGGAAACTACTCCTTCGCATACCACGTGTATTGAACCATGCCCCTTTCCCCGTCACCCTTCTTGATCCCTGGCAGTGGAAAGAGGGCGTATGGTATTTCTTTATGGATGAGTGTCCTGGCGTGTGTCTCGAAGACGTCTCCAGCACATGTCTGCCGCTGAACTCGACCACATTGTTGAACAGCTTCAATTTTTGCTCGAGGCGATGCGCTCGTGCACGAGTGAGAAACTGGGCTCTGTCACTGGGGGGTCCTTATGACAACCGTCTCATACCCCACGTTCTCGAGCGCGTATTTCCAGGTCCGCGTCGAGAGAAGGAGATTGCTGCTGTCGCAAAGATGATTCGCCTTCTGCGCTATAACAACAGTGCGTATTGTTGAGGAGATCTTGGGTCCGTGTCGTCTATCTCTCATCTGTTCACTGTCTCTCGGTTCTCGCGATGCGTGGTTCCAGCACGGTTTATTCCACACCTTCCCAAAAAGTGGCTCGAGACCACGCCTGAGCGATTCCACACATCATATGCATGTGATCACTCATGCCTGTAAGCCTGGTATTTGGTATAAGCCAAAAATAAGTATTCAAATGCTCAGAAGACAACAGCTGGACGGAAATCACTGCCCGTATCAAACTACCCGTATTGAAAGACTCGCATCTATATACAACCATTGCTTTCCTTTCAATATACACACAATTGTGATCTGTGATCTATGGTCAAGGGGCTCCCAATGACAATGTAGACAAAGAGTGTTTGACCTTACTGGGAGGAGTGGATGTTTGAAGTATCGAGTCAGGTTGTCACTGCAGGTTACTATCAATGGGGGCTTGATGCCGGAGAGCATCAGGATAACTGGGACCCATATGCTAACCTGCCGTCTTATTGGGTACGTGATGATTTTGAAGGCGAAGAGTCATACTTGAAGATACGCGCCTTTTAGATTGACCAACATTCATTGACATGCAGTGGCTCCATGAACAGGTAGGCTCGAATTCTGTACAGGACCAGTCTATCTAGTATCGGCAACATCAAAGAAACGACCTGCCGCGCAATTTAAACCTGCTCTCATTCCTACATCTTTCAAATTGCGTGCAGGTCTCGGTAGGTTGCATGCCAGGACATGTGTCGCCCCCCACGTATGTTACGTCTACACCAGTCTTGGTTTCTTTGCATCCAGGAGAGGCGTGCTGTCTTCTTCGCGGGCATGTACTGCATTATGTGGAGGTCTACGTACCTCTCTCCGGTCATCCTCCATCCCCTTGCCTCTGTTGAGACACTCACTCAAATCCAGCTATGATCGAAGACCTGGCTAGTATTTCCGACCGACTGGTCACATCTATCAGAATTCGAAAGGATGGTAAAAGACGAAACAAACGAACCTGGAGCAAAAGATCACGAAGTTGACGGGAGTCGGACTTCACCGCTCTTTTAAACCTTCCACATGAGCACTTGTGGTTTATTCACATTATCGTGCGCGAGATGGATGTAATTATCGATGACATTGTCTTCCTCGAAGTCAGGAGTGGTGTCTGAGCGAATGACGAAGCCATTGTATTTGAGCGGGTAGTACGGCTGTGATCCGCATGGGCGTCTCAGCGTCAAGAGAATAAAGAGAATAGCTTGAATATAGCGCGACGTACCAGGCATCTGCACGAGCAGTGTCTCTTTTTCCTCACGCTCCCGCACCGGAAAGGACTTTGACAACCTTATTACTGCCTTGGTTGCTTGTAGCGAGAAAATTGAAGGCGGCGTGCTTAGAAAATATGGACAAATGGCAAACTTTCAAACTGATCATACAGCCCAGCGACAGTATCAGTGATTATATGATGAAAGAGATAGTGAACTCAAGGACTCCGTTTGTGAAGCGGTAAGAGGACGTCCGGCAGTTTCCGTTACCGAACTTTCATTTTCTGTTCCGCGACCGCGACGCTGAAGGCGAGCCTCACCGGAGCAGTGTTTATTTACTACCTACGTCTAGCTTTCCTGCCTTTATATCTTTGCTCTTTTGCTTCCATGTCATCAATATCCGTTCAATCAGCCTCCAAATTCACGTCGAGTGGTCAGCCAGACTCTGCCCGAGTCGGAGATGACGAGCTCGACTGGCGGAAGTTGAGAAATCAGAGTCTCTTGCCCGGTGGTTTTGGTGCAGATAGAGTTTCAATATGGTGTGTCAAGTTCAGCTACTACGAGCCTTTGCAATCATCGAAGTTGATACATTCAATGCTATTACTCCAGGCCCAAACTCCTACATGTGGATACTCAATCTTCCAACTCTCCTCCAGGCGCCGATATATCCGCTAGCCGAGACAGCGACGATGCTGGAGAAGATACCACCAGTGTTGTAGTAGAACCTCACGAAGACGAACGTCAGATTCGTCTCGATACCGAGCGTAGTTTTGTTCTTTACCCAGTAGGTGAACCTGGCTCCACTGACCTGCTGCGTCTTTCATTTAACATTATTGTTCTTTGTAGACCATAAGGGCGATAGAGGACGCCTTCAGATATACTTGTATAACCTGATCGTATCAGTTTTTCGGAAAAGACGGAGGCTGCACTATTTCCAGGTCTGTACCGCGTCTAATGCCTTGAATGGTAAGTACTGAATACTATTTTCTTTGGTTTTAACAGGGATATCACGACATTATTACTGTTCTCTTCTTAACTTTACCCCGTGAACTGCAGCTCCCTTGCGCTGAAAAGCTCAGCCTGCATCGCCTACGCGATTCCATGGGGCTTACACTTGAACCCGTCCTGGGTCTCCTTAGGTTGGTGACATTCCCTTATAGCCGTTTTGAATAACTCTGCTTTACTGATCAATGTAAATAACACGTGCTGATATATGTATCGACTAGAATACTCAAAAACCTCATCAGGCTCGCAGATCCGTCTTTGGCTACTATTCTCGAGAAGTAAGATTATTCATGCAGCCGCTCCTATACGCCCTGATTACCAGCCTTCTACAGCACCTCGCCACTACCGTTTTATGCTCTTCCTAACCTTCTCACACTCTTTTCCCATGATACCTCGACCCTTCCACTTATCCAGCATATATTCGACTATCTCCTCTGTCGCCCCCCCATAGCTGTTGTTTATCTTGCTGCTGCTGTGAGTAACGTTTTATGGCACTTTCTCACTTACCCTATTTTTCAATGGAGTTTTACTATGAAAAAATTATATGCGATTTGAAGTGCTCATGCAAATTTGAATTGTAGGTGATTATGGCCCGCAAAGAACAAGTTGAGGCTCTTCAGCGGGAAGGAGAAGATGGAATGATTCATTCGTTACTCAACGGACTACCAGAGCTGTGCGAAGGAATAGAAGATGAGAATAGGAAAAGCATCTCCACTGGCCCTGATATAACGGCAAGAAATGAGATTGATTCCAGTTTAGTGGACAAACCTGAGGCGACAAAAGAGGCGCCCAAAGCAGAAGAAAAAGTCGAGCTCCCGGAATCTACTCCCAATCCTCTCAGTGATGCTTCTACCCCCAATAGTCTCGTCGACCAAGAAGCTATAGACGGTGACCAGTCTCGGGCATCTGGGTCGCCTTCTGCCCATGATATATTACCTTGGAGCGGACCAGCACACGAAGGCACGCACTCTGCTATTCTACCTAAGGATGACATCGCGATGGAGCACGCCAATAATCTCAATACCGCTGAAAATGGAATAGGAGCATCCAGTCGAGAGGAAAAACCCATACACCCGATTGAAAAGGAATGTATCCCAACCCCCGAGGCAGAACAGCCCTCTGAATCCCACGAGAATTCCCAAGACAGGATTTCCGACGAGCTACATGATGAGAAACACGCACTACTTGCTTCACCTGCAGCTTCTGATGCTGACCCGGACGAATATTCGCAATCTCCTAGAAAGAAGCGTCCACCACCTATTCCCCTTCCGTCCCTCCTGATTCACGCAAACCAGCTTTTTGCGGACTATCCCCCCTCACATCCTCTTCTTGCCATCCCGGCCATCATGGGCCCACGCAGCGTAGTCCACACATGGAGTGAAGGTCACACAGTCGAGAAGGATGACGATGAAGCTGAAGGCTGGGTAGGAGGTGAAGGCATCGTTCTTCCTTATGTTGAAGAAGAAGATGAAGAGGACGAGGTTAGCGAGCTAGACAGCAGTGGCATATCGTCGAAATCCAGATCCTCCAAATCCAAATTTTCCAAAGACACGAAGGAGAAGAGGAGTAGACGCGTACTGAAGAAGCGCCGCCGATTTGTGATCGCAGGGGTAGAGAAACGAACGATGGTGGCGGGTGCTGTACTTGTGCTGGGAGTTGCTATGGCTGTTTATGGGATTCGTATGGGAGGTGTTCGCCATGGAAATGGGCATGTTGGGAAGGTGGAGTGGAGGCGTGTCAAGGGCTGGTTCATGAATGCTGGCGAACGAATCTTGGATGGCTTTGGCGGCGGCTTTGGTTTCGGCTTTGGAGTGGTATAGGACGGTATATAGAGACGACTGGTATAAGTGCTCTACTTTATGGCTCATATTTACTTAACTCGCATTCTGGTAGTGTGGACATTATTCATCCATTTTGTAACAAAATATCATTCCACACAAGATTCCACTTGAAGGACGTATACAAAAGGACAGGAACTCAGGTAATAGCACGACGTAATTCTGGCTGACTTGTTGACGATCACTTCACCTTTCATGATAGATGTGGTAGTCCATGGCCAACGCCAGCCCCAATATTTCTATCTCCCCGAGTGTGACGATCACCTACATAGCAGCTTTTTCGCAACTCTCTAAGAATATCTTCGAGCTCATTCGAGAAATCAAGTACAATGAAAAACGAAGTTTAGTTACTACTCTTCTTACATTTGCATGTAAACACTCATAGAAGCCAAGTATGTTCAGCATAATGTTTCGAGACAACAAACGGAGGAGAGATTCACGGTGCCAACTACGCGGAGACCGTTTCAATGTACTTCTCCACACCTTCTGAGACCAGCTTCCAATTATTGATGACCCCTGGCTTAAGTGCTGCTAGAATCAGGGGGCCTGTTGCACCGTTCAAAACGAGATAGAAGCCATCCAAGGTGGTCAAGGCTGTGGTGATGTCTGACCAAACGAGAGACACTCTGGAGAGACTGAGAGAAATTCCGTCCATGATTGGCAGAATGCTGGAATACGGCAGTAAGTCCTAAAGACGATACTTAACCAAGGGTATAATATGCTTACTCGAATAGCTGGTCTCTAATGCTCTCTGTGGTATGAAGGGCAGATCTAAGGTCGTTGATCGCCACAGTAAGCTGAGAAGTGTATGTTAGCAGTAGGTAGTATCCAAGTGGTTCTCGACAAACCTGGGCAGCCTGGATAGCTTGCCATACCATCATCCCACCGAGAGCGGCTGTGCGTTACATGAAAGAAACTTAGTGTCAATGCCTGTCATGGATATACTAAGCTAGGTATTTACTTCCTGCAGCAAGCGCAGCCAGCATACCGATTCCGGGAAGGAAAACGGCAGCGGTGAACGCGAGGAAAGCGCCGAGAGCATAGAGGAATGCATTCAAAGTAGCGTTCTTCTGTTGTTCTGTAAGATCATTGATGCTATTGTTCAATCTGTAATAACCAGAACAGTTAGCTGAGACTAAAGATGGAATAGTAGAACGCCTCACGATTCAATATTCTGATCACACTCAGCAATCACCCTCTTCACGAGGTTGATCGCATTGTCCCAGTCATTTTTAACCTGGGTCCTGCGATTTGAGATGGTAGTTAAGGATGGTGTGCCCCAGAAAAATTATGCAACGGCTTACGATCGCTTGGATAGTTCATTCGCTGATACCAGATATTCCGAAACCAAAGGCGTATTTGTAGCAAGATAAATGCTCATTGCTATATCTCCGGGCTTCACCTGGTTGTCGGGGACAACATAAGGCAACAAGGTCTGCTGAAGCGTAGAGTATGCTCCGAGATCACGGGCTACCGGTAACGTGTCTAGCTGCAATTGAAGGTACTTCTCACGATAGTAGTTTATGACTACGAATAAATTGGATTCGGACCCGTCAATAGGACTGGTACACTTGATCTGGTCAAGGAATGCTTGCTGAAGAAGAGTCTAAAAAAAGGAGAGATTAGATATGACCTGTTCCCTGACAACAACAATTTTCGATTCTTACATTAAACTGGTTGATAATACGACCAGTGCTATCAGCCAATTCCTGCAGCTTCTTCTCAGTATCGACAGGGGGGCTGCAGGTGCGGAAGTTAGCTCCTTAAATAAGCTATAATGGATGTCACTGTACCCAATAACTTTTTCGACAGTCGCTTCATCGCTTGTGCTAATAGGTCAATAAAATAAGCATCTTCATGAAAATTGTCGCTAAGAATGGTCTTCACCTAGCGACTGGCTCAATGTTTGTATATCTAGGGGCAAAAGGAGTGTCATTGCCGTACTGAACAGCCAGCTTGTATAAGCGAATCTCGTCAGCGGTGAGCGGGACTTTTGGAATCGCATTGAATTTGGTAGATATCGCTCTATAGGCATCTGCAGCACTAGTGGTGGGCTGTGACACAACATCAATATATTCTTGAGCAACAGCAGCCACTCCGGCCCAGGCGTCCTTGATTTCCTGAGCCTGTTCCGCAGGGGCAAAGTCTGTCGTGCTCTGGATAGCGTCCATACGTGCAGCTACATCATACCAGACGTCCAGAAGAGCCCGCGAGCTAGAAACGACAGCGGTAAGACCTGTACTCAGGGCGGCGAATTTCTTCTTGAGTTCATTGGTTCGACTGCGCAGGCCTTTGAGACTACTTATGATCTTCTGGAGACGCGCAGTGTCTGCGAACAAGCTCTGGAATGAGCCGTAGATGGCTGTGACCGCGACACCTAGAATGGATGCAATTTGTACATCGGACTCTTCAGCGGTCGATGCAAGTTTGTACAGAGACTACACAAGGCATAAATAAGATTTTACGTAATATTTGAATGGATATAATTACCTTTAATATGTCCCACAGAGTGTCAACGATACTTCTCTCGGCAAGAGCCTCACTCTGCTGTTGAATTAGAGCATCGAGCTCGCCAAGCCGCTTATCAAGGCCTGCAACGCGATCATTGAGAGCAGAAATATACTCAGAAAACTGCATTGTTTTTCTATTAGCAAGACCACGCTACAGACAGATGAAGATGCTGACCTGATTAAAAAACTTCATGTTATCCTCTAAATCAGCTCGGGCACCATCTGCGTACTGCTTTGCAACTGGCTGCATCGTCATGACGATTGAGTCGACACTGAAAGTGTCTAGCATAAGACCGATTATAGAGTTGTAACTGATGACCTTGCGAGCAAGGTCGACATCGATGTTGGACAGGTCTGAGAACCGACTGGTCCCGTCAGTGACGAGAGTCAACAGGTTGACATCGTCGCCAGAACCTATGGCTTCAAGGGCGGGGAACACAAGTAGTTCATTGAAAGCGCGGCGAACTGTCAGATAGTCGGGTGCGAAGCTGGTGATGGAGGCAAGCTTGTCGCCTGGCCCGAGAGCAACTACGAGATTGTCAGACATGTTGGTTAGACTTGTTGAAAACAGGAGGTGGTATGAGGTATAAAGTGGTACACACCGTATTTAAGTCATATCCAAGGCCCCTGAAACGCATTCCACAAAAAGCAGAGCACATCATGTTGACTTGTTGTTACGAATCGGGGATCTTTGTCCTGTCCTCGTGAGTACTCTGCGCGACGATAGGACATTTCCATGTCCCCTGAAAATGTATCCTACCAAAAGAGTCGCGCCGATTTTCTGGAACAGAGCGGGGACCTTTCATCTGTTCCCATGAACACTTTGTGCGTGAAGATAGGAGATGTCCATGTCCCAAAGAATGTATTCTACAAAGCAGAGCGTATCACGTTGACTTTCTGGTAAAGAGTAGAATCCGCTTCACGTACATGACGGCCGCGGAACGCGCATGTTGGATGTCCTATCCTCATACAACTGTTCATGGGACCAGGGTGAAAAGTCCGCGCCTTAATCGGAACAGCAAAAGAGGAAGTGTCCATTCTTTATCCTCGAATCGATATGCTTCATTTTTTTAATTATCTGCTCCGCTGTCTTCGGGAAGGCGAAAACTTCCATTGACAGGATGAATTCTAACCATTTGTGCACCGCCGCCTCTTCATTCTTCTTAGGCGGCACCACGGCTTTCCCAAGAATCAGAGGCCGAGATGACTCCGAGAACGCATGTTCGCGCAACCAAAGCGACGTTTTGGTCCAAGTGTGTTGTTATTCTGTAGTTCTCACCTTCTTATCTTCCAAATCCCGCAGTATGCATGACCAGCCTATGACAGCTTAGCTCCAGCGACAGGACAAACTGTTTTTGCTGATAAGTATCAACACTGACCGTATAAAAGATCCAGGATGCAACCCATAGTTCTTCAGCAATTTGCTACCTTGAATCTTCCAATTTTCTGACATGTCTGCTACCTTTGACTACTCTTCATTCCTCCCCGGACGTCTCGAATCTGCTTTGCGAAACTTGACCAAGGTCTACAGCGATAATGTAGACGGTCTCAACAAGGCTTACCTCAAGTCACCTTTGCCCGGTGTCTACACTGCCGCGCGTATGCATCAGCATTTTCCTAGTGTACGAAGTCGTCGCTCATGCATTTTTTTTTGCTAGCGGACATCGCTGGCGCGAAGGATCTCGCCTTTGATATCGCACTTCGTTCGCTGTCTTCTGTCCGCGACTTGGTAGCGTATGCGGAAATCATTGCGGCTGTGATTCCTGCTATCTCTGACAGGGATGTGCTGGCGGCTACTCTTCTCCCCATCGCGTCCTCTTGGAACAAATTTGATGTGTCTGATTTGGATGTTGCGAACAAGGTTTGTTCTTTTGCATGAACGTGACTGAAAAAGATGCCATAAGTACTGATGGGTTACCTGCAAAAGAAATACCAGGAAATTTTCACATCGTATTTGCCCACGTTGGACGCTATACTTGACAACCTGAACAAGGCTGTCTCAGACTTGTCCAGTATCGATGACACTAATCCGCCTGAATGGTTCACGCAAAGCCTGTACGATATTGTCGCACCGATACTCTCGCCATTTGCCAACCTTCGCCCCGGAGTCGAGGGCCAATCGACGCTGGCTTATGTTCTCGGCATCCCGATTGAGCTAGTTTCTGTGCCGCTGAATCAGGTTCTCACGGCAAATCCCGAGTCCAAACAAGTGATCATTGATGCAGTGCAAGCAAAACTGATTGACGCGATCACTGACTATCGTGGTACACTGCAAAGCCTCGTTCCGCTCTTTGCGCCTTTTGCAGATGCCTGTGCTGCCCTTGCCGATGAGCAAGCTGCAGTTGTCACTCGTATCCTCGAAAATGCACCTGGCTCCGAATTTACCACCGCAGAACAGTGCATCGAGGCCTGGAATGGCGTCAAGGACGCCGCAAAGTCCTTCATCGACTACTTGTCTGGAGGTAGTTTGGCTCCGGAGATCCCTCCCAAGAAAGCACCTACTCCTATCGCGTCTGTAACTCCAGATGATGTCACGGCGACCTTTGGTCCTCCACCCGCTGCCTCCAAAACACTCCCTGAAATGAGTGCTACCACTGGCCAGATTACAGACAAATTCAACAGGATACTTACTATGCCGTTTATCGAGTGAGTACTCTGTCAATATAATTTGGTGTCCTGGCTAATCATTCTCATCTCTATCACAGTCAGCTGATGGTGACAGATATCAACCAATCAGAGGTCTCGGTCGCTTCCGTTATGTTGTCCTGCAAGAGGAAATATGAACACCTCCAAGGAACGACTGTCGATACAGTAAGGGACTTGAATACATACAGTTTACTTCAAGAGGTACAACACCCCTTCTGGACTTTTCGATCGATGATGATGCTCATTTGTGCCCTACTAGATCATCTTACCGATCATCAATACACCAAATGGACTCTCTCTCGAAGATTTCTTGTTGACAAACCTCCCCCTTGTTGTCGTGCGTAGCTCAACGTTTTTATGGGTGCATTTCTAATGTGTTCTCTTTCAGCAATATGGCAAGGATGCCCGCAAAATTGTCGCTGACACAGAAGCTTTACGCGCCGAGTTTCAGGAATGGCTAGACGTTCTCAACAGAAACTTGGATGAAGTGAGTGCAATTGCTTGGGCTGGTCCTTTGAAACTGATTGATTTGTCGTTTATTAGATCAGTAGGTCTATTGAGGAAAATCAAGCTGCTCTTGACCAAGCACAGGCAGCATATGATGCCGCAAAAGCAAGTGCCATCATTGAAGGTATCATGACAGCTCTTTTTACTGTCGCTGCAATTGCAGCGCTGATGGCGGGAGTCGGCCCTCTTGCCATTGAGATGGGTATCGAAGCTGGATCGAATTTTATCCAGATGATCTACGATTCGGTCAACGCGGGAAGACTTGCTATGTAGGTCTTTGTGTCTTTGCACATCTTCCGCTTCTCAAATCAACTACTTTTTTGTTTTTGTTTTCAGGGTCGTTCAAAACCTCAAGAATGTTATAGCGACAGCAAAGAATACTCGCAGTCAACTGGAGACGATCATTCCATTATTCGGTGGCATCATCACTCTCATGGGAACTATCTCCACCGTATGGGAAGTAATCTCTGAGGACCTGACTGATGTCCAGTCGTCCTATACTCTCTGGTAAGGATTACTTTCTCGAAGCCTCTGATGGAATTCACATTTATATAATTATAGGAACAACCCGGCGTACTTCACTCCTGAGATGGTCAAAGGCGCAATGGACAACTGGCTCGACGTCAACATACAGTGTGAGAAGTATATCTCTATAGTTGCGGGTAGAAACATGTCATATGCAAAATTATACACACCGACGCCGACGGATGGCGATGAAGCACCCCCTGCATACGAGGTGGCCATTCTGCCCGGCTACGAAGCAGTTCTAGGTCAAAAATTGAGTCCGGAAGATCGTGTAGGGAGGTACAAAGCTGTAGTGAAAGCGGTTGATGTCAATCGACTTCTTCCTGCACTGTCCCCTCCCGACTTCATTCTCGAAGTAAAGCGGTCTCAACTCGAGAGTGCTGCAAACAACTACAAATCTGTGTCCAGTTATATCAGGTAAGTTATATAAATCTACGAGCTAGTCCAAGTACTCACTCCATGTACGCCGTGTGCAGTGGCTTGTACAGTGACTCTGCTAATGATGCAGATAGACTTGCCTCTACTATTACTACCAAGTTGATCCCTGCGTTGAACACAGCTATTCAGTTCTACATCAACTTTGCAGATGGTCAGGAAAACCCTTTTGCGAACGGCACATCGCAATCCGCAATGGAATCTCTCATCACCCAACGCTGGAAGCAGCTCAAGGAGGGTAGCGAACTTGCCAAAACTGCAGAGACCGTCTTCATCAACTTCCGTAATGACTCACAGTCTGCACTCAACACGGTGAGTTTCGATCACGCTGTTCATTGGCCAGTCAGCTGAACCCTTATTGTTGATAGCTCACCCGCCACATGAATGAGCTAAACCAGTCGCTTGCTTCCAAAGAGGCGGCACTACGCGATCTACAGGCACAATATAATGAGTGGAGCTGGCTTCTCGTACGTGTCATTGCATAAATCTATACTGTCATTTTACCAAATCCGCACAATCATTTCCCATGTAGTTTTGGCCGTTTCCACCCGGCCTGGGCAAGTTAACTTCGTATTTGATTTGAAACACGATCTGATCAGTCTCATTTAGGCGCAATCATCTATGCGATTATAGACGCCATCACGCAGACCACCAAAGAACTGCGTAATATCAGGAATGACATTAGCAGGCTAAACAGCGCTCGAGCCTATGTTGATGCCGCCCGAAAGATATCCGAGGATACTGGTCGTACAACTAGCGCACTTAGTCAAAGCTGGTCTCAATTGACCACCAAGACTCAAGAATTGGAGACTCTCGCATACACAGTGGTCATCACTCCTGAAATCGAAGCGGCTATTCGTCCGATAGTGCAAGTCAAATGGCAGGCTTTCCGCAGTGAGTTAAGTGGGTGGTGAATGGCTTAACAACTCGTCTTCAATCTAGTCATCTGGCCTCGAATTTTGTTGATTTTGTACTTGTATACCGACTGACTAGCCGTATGTTCTACCGTTACATCTGATGAAACCGTTCCTGTACTTGTTGTGGTAAAGAGCAGAGATCTTATGTACCATTGAAATTAACTGATTTTCTGCCAATAAGCAATCCAGAAATGCGAGAAGTCTATAAAGCCTAACTGACGAGATTCGGGCGCAGGTCATTCCCAGAAGTCAGTACCAACACAATATGATTGTATTCTGTCAGAGCACAATATAATTCTCCGATGGGTGCGCCATGCTGTGGAATGGTGTGAACAGATTGAATCGGATAGTCGGATACTAGTAGCGGCGTAGATGTAAGTATAGACATAATGATGAATGAAACGCACCGAAATTCTCAACCGGAGCTATTAAGTGACTTGTGGGCGATCGTGTCGGTCGGAGGCACCGTCGATCATCTTCGTTGGAAGACGAAAGAGATAAGTATAGAGCCTCATCATGATAAATGGAAGCCTTGGCCATCAGTTTGACCGGATACAAACTACCATTCACCTGCTACATACCGGAACTGACTACTAATAGCCCATCTATATTGAGCCTATTCACGTCAATCACCACACTTGATAAGCTTAACTGTGTATGCGTTCAGGCGCGCGCTAAGCGACTATCGTAGGCGTCATATCAGTGGTGTTGAAACAACACATGTGTTTACTGTACTGTTTGAACATGTTTGTCTTGCATCGGACATGGTACGCACTTTGCCACTCCAGGTTCTATCCACAGCCAATTGTGACCTTTAGGAGCTACACATACGAACTGGCACTGCAGCATCTATCAAACACTCATTCTTCAAACCGTTGACAAGAATACACAATATCACCGGCAACAATATCGCCGAACGTTTATCAGCATTCATAGAACTGAAGCGGGTGCAATCCAGCTATAAGAACCTTGCGACGGAATAGAACCCGATCCCATTCGTCAACCACAACCATCATCCCGCAATACTATGGAAGGATCAAAGCTAGTCTATACGCCGTTGGACGAGATCGACGAGGTGTGTGCCAGCGAAACATTTTCTGTGCTCGTGTAGTCGTGCTACAGGTGCTAAGCTATCTCCCAGATATACACTTCTCTTCGGCAGGGTTTCAGCTCTGGAAAACTTAAATCCGTCGCGTACAGGAAAATACAGATACTCCAGGTTGCCTATCTTTTGCAAGACAACATCCAGCGCTTCAAAGACGCACTCGCTGCTGACCTTGGAAGGCCGTCACTGGAAAGCTCTTTGTAAGCTGTCTTTTACATCCGACTTGCTTCGCATAGCAGACAAAGTCTTATTTCACCAACAGCCTCGAACTAAATGCTGTTCTTGGAGACACAAAAGTTGTCTACGACCGCGTCGACAAATGGGCAAAACCAGAACGTCCGCCTTTCTCTCTCAACTTCGCCGCGATGAGGCCTGTCATACGGAAAGAGCCCAAGGGTGTCGTTCTCATCATCAGCCCGTTCAACTATCCTATTTTCTTAACTATCGGACCCCTGGTACGTTCCTTGTCTCCTATTTCCAAAGTTGAAAGATGAGTGAATTGAGTGATACTCGGTGTGGTCATTGACAGGTTGGAGCAATTGCAGCAGGCAACACAGTCGTCATAAAGCCTTCTGAGCTATCTCCAGCGGTCAGCGGTCTTTTCGCAGAACTCGTTCCGAAATATCTCGATCCAGACGTCGCGAGAGTGGTAAACGGTGCCATACCTGAAACCACTAAGGTATGTCCGATATAGTGTTGTCCGTTACAAGCGATCTCTGATGCATTGCACAATAGCTGCTGGAATATCCGTGGGATCATAGTGCGTTTCTCATCAGACTCGGAAAACCCCCTGAGCTAATGATGCTTCCTACGTTCAGTTTTGTATACTGGTAAGTCTCATTGATCCTTTTCCAGAACACACCCTGACGCGCTTTCACAATTCGCGTATACCCTCAGGTAATGGCAGAGTAGCTAAAATCGTATGCGCAGCTGCGGCTAAACATCTCTCGCCTGTCACTTTGGAGGTGTGTGCTGTTCTACTTTCGCTTTCTCAATCTTGTAGTTTACGTTTATTTTTTCACAGCTCGGAGGTCAGTCAAACTGTTGCATATCAATTTCATGTCAATTTACTCATTCGACCATGCTCTCTGACCATCAACATTTGATTCTCCCGTAACCTCACATACCCGCCATACCCACTCCCGGTCACATCCTTCCCACCACCGCAAGGCAAATCCCCCGTCATCATTGACCCTGGTTGTGACCTAAAGACTGCTGCCAAACGCATACTTTGGGGGAAAGTAGTCAACGCTGGCCAGACATGTGTAGCTCCCGACTACATCCTCGTACCTCGCCACTTTCAGGATAAACTGGTTGACGCTCTGAAAGAAGTGTGAGTAGTTTTTTCACATGTATATGTTGCTCTTTCGTGCTGATCACTCATGTTTCGCATTTTGCCTTGGCTATACAGGCATGACGAGTTCTATCCCAAAGGATCTTCCGTTTCGCCTGACTTCTCGCGTATCGTCAGCACATCCCACTTCAATCGCATCAAGCGCCTTCTCGATAGCACACAGGGTACTGTTGCGATTGGCGGGGACACAGACGAGTCGAAAAAATTCATCGCGCCAACAGTTGTTAAGGATGTGCAAGAGGGTGATGCGCTTATGAGCGAGTGAGTTTAGATTTTTTTCAGGTACCTTCCACTTGTTTCCTGACGAATGTGTGTGTGCAGAGAACTATTCGGCCCTGTGTTACCCATCGTACCGGTTGACAGTGTAGATGATGCGATTGCGTATGTGAACAGACAGTAAGTTATTTCGCTCCCATTGTCCATATCAATTACATTTCCACTCACATTTATCATCCCAAATCTTGCCATTCAGTGACCACCCACTCGCACTCTACGTATTCTCTCAGGATGCAGCGTTCAAAGCCAAAGGTAAAGTCCATATATCCTAGCCTCACATCAATTTCCTAATATATGTCGATTATCTGCACGCTAATATTTGGGCAATGAACCAATCAGTGTTTGATAACACACAAAGTGGTGCAGCTATCGCCAACGAGGTTGTTATATATATCGGAGGTGAGTGTTTGAGCTTGTGGCTGTGAGGTAGTCATTAACTCGTCATATGTAGCCGATGGCCTCCCATTTGGCGGAATAGGTCCAAGCGGATGTACGTCCCCTACTTTTCCATTTGATTCGTGTACTGACGTCAACCTCCTATATCGTCATAAAGCCGGCTACCACACTGGAAAATACTCCTTTGACCTGTTTACGCACTTCCGGTCTTCGATGGATTCGCCTTCGTGGTTCGTCCCCTTTTTATGTATCATTTGTAACGAGTAACACGGGCCGTTTGTAGGGTCGATGTTTTCTTAGGGAACCGATTCCCACCTTACACGGTAAGCAAGATACCTAAAACATGAATGAGAATCCGACCTGAAAATAGCAAACATCCTCATTGCTTAGGCCAAGAAAGAAGGCATCTTACGCAAAGCCCTCGTTCCCAGCTTTCCCGCGCGTCCCACAAAGGCAAGCATAGCCGCTGTCGCTGCTTCTGCCAGCATATCTAGGTCAAGCCTCGTGAACGGTACGAATGGAAGCATAAAACGGTGGGGAAACTGGTTCCTTTTTGTGTTCGGTCTTGCCCTCGCGTCTGCGGTGCTGACGAAAGGAACGGCGGCCCCAACTTGGTTTGTTGGATGGATAAAAAATTATTTTGGGGTACGCTTTTCTAGGTGAACCATTTGGCACGTCGCTTGCTCTTCTTGAAGATGTAGGATATGGTAGCGGTTGGGAGTTTGGACTGGTGAAGATGTTGAGGCGATGAGTGGGTACAATGTATGGTGAAATAAAAAGGGATGCGAGAGGGATGATCAAGGTCGTTGATGGCATTCTGGCTCCAAGCTTATTTATTTTCCTTGTCGAGAGGATGGTCTTCTTACGCTTGCTTTAGTGAGTTATGCTTAGCCCGTCTATTAGTTCTGGTGATATTATGTATTTTACAGTATAGCCCTTAGTTCAGTAGTATGACTATTTTGAGTTTTGAGTTTTAGTGAAATGGTTTAGTGCTTGAGCGGTACCATAAAGCAATTTGCAGTTCGTTATCCTCCATGCCATCTCTCGGGTCTGATGTCACTCTAAATTCACACATCAACGGCTGACCAGAAGCAGGGACCGACGGCCGAAAAGAACTTGGGTTCATTCAGCCTGCTATCCACTCTAGGCCATATTTTCTTTTACCTTCGCATGGATTTCAAACCTCCTCCGGGACCTTTGGGATGATGAGCATCGTACAGTGATGACATCAGTAAAAACCCAAATTTGTGCTGGTTGCGCTTGTGAGTGCCGTCGTGTGACCAAAAGTCGCAGAACCATTCCAAAAGGTGTCGTCGTCGTTTCGGTTTTGTTCCGCTGCAATAACGCCCAATCAGAAACGAGTCTCGCTGACTAGGGTCTTCAGAAACGCATCATGCATTTGGCAGAAGGACGAATCGAGTGACATATCCATTGCAATCATGCTGAGATGCTTGACATATCAGCGGTGGTGTCCGAACGGATCAATGATAGTCTTCCAGGGCAAATCCTCGTCCGTTGGACCCGTCTCCTTAAGCACAATCTCCTCCTTCACTTGACGATCCTGTGGCAACTCCCTGACGCGCTTGCAGGACTCGGGCAAGTCTCTCGGATCATTTCGCTGTCTGCGAATCAGCATAATGTGCGGTGTGATAACCTTTTGCTTGTCCCGGCAGTCGACAGGAAAACAGGTGAGGGTGAATTCGTCAATGCCTCGCCTCTTGAATCATTTATCAAGTTCGATGGAGAGATCGATGTCCTCCACGTCCTTCATACCCCCCTCCTCCACCCACAAGCGCACATGCTCGTAAGTCATAAGCCAACCAGCTAATTAGAAATACAACGTGCGATACAAAGAAAGATAATTCAAGTTGGTTCAAGTTGAAGTGGTTGGGTGTACGACTTTAAGTTATAGATTGACTTTAGTCACGTGGTCTACCCTTGTCGCATCTCGTGATCATCTCCAATCCCATTGTTCGATCAACTTGGTCACGAAATATTCAAAAAATGACTCACCTGCAACCACACTTTACTACGCCATATGCATGCGGTTGAAGAGGGAAAGATCGAATTGATATATTGTCCCACGGATGATATGATCGCCGATACCCTAACGAAAGCTTTACCGTCGTCGAAGGCGAAGCATGTCGCGCGAGAGCTTGGACTCCGTATGGCTTGAGGGGGAGTGTTGGACTAGAACGTCGAGTTAAGAGACAAGCCGATACGAAATGTCTAGAAAGGAAGGCGTGTAAGTTAAGGTGGCCCGTGCACCACTATATACCATCATCAATTTTTTTGGTTCCGTTCTCTTACCTACTTATAAGGAGGCCTTGTTGCTACGTATCACCTCAGACTCTACTACGAGAGCTGAGCTTCCTATCTTGTCACAGATTTAACTCTCAAACGATTTGAGTCCCTGGCAGGTGCCACTTTCGCCATTGCATCCATCCATAGGTATCTTCTCCCCACCGCAATCATGATCACTGCCGTGCTTCTCCACCACCCTGTGCTGCACTCCATCACGGACTTGACATTGCCTTTCATAAGCGGCCTTGATATCCACCTGGCTCATACGACACCCAGTCTTCGAAAGCACTGCCCAGGGAGGCCTGAACTGTGTCTGTGCCGCTTAATTCACTAATGTGCGCACAAGCATACGGTAATTAAAAGAAATTGACGCTGTGAAGAGCTGTGGAGAACGGGGCTGCTATTTTTGAATTGACGATATAAAGTGACACTGGTCATATTGTGCTAAATTTGGGTGCGCCCAACAAAGAAAAAGAAAAAGGTAATGATCCTGTTATAGAGCTCTGATAAGTGTAGATGGTATTGTACTAGTTTGTTTCGTATGATCTGGATGGTATCTATTCTATAATAATACATGTATTTTCTATATATCGTATTGCACATCCTTAAAGAGTGCCAGCCAAGAGAATGTCCGTATAAGTTATGACTTGCCGCATCTATGCGCGTCATCAGATCGTATTGACGGCAGACACACCGCCCCTACCCCAGTTCTCCATCGACCTGTATTTGTCTCTGCCAGCATCGCGAGGTTCTGCGCCGCTGCGCGCACTCGGCATCGCGAGGCTGGGCGTCTGAGCGCCCTTCTCCCGCGCATTCCACTCGAGGGACTTGCGCTGCTTGCGACTCATGACGATGTGCGGTGCGACGTCGCGCAGGGACATCCTCCCCTCTGGCGAGAGCTTGGCAAGGGGCGAAGAAGAGATGGCGATAAGCTGGTCTGGTGTATATATAGGGACTGGGGAGCAATACGGCACAGCTGATTAGGGTTTGCCTTGAGGCGATGAGGACCGAGGCACTTACGAGAGCTGGGACGGCACGAGTCGGAGTACGAGAATGTATCGGAGAGGTGTGGAGTGGGGGACGTGGAGCGCTGGGATGAGGAGGTGGAGGAGGAGGGGGATGAGGAGGTGGAAGTGCGGCTGGAGGTGCGCTTGTGTAGGGGGACATAGAGCCCCGATGAAGGCGATCGGGAGGGGGAGTGATAAGAGATATTAAGGGGCGGTGATGCAGACATTGGCAGAGGGCAGCAGATCAGACGAGGGCTGAGAGGATGTGCAGATGGGGGACGACAAGGTTTATATAAGAGGAATGGGGAGCGATTACGAGGACAGGGAGGAGTGGAGGGTACCTAGTAAGCGTATTCGGGAGTAAGCTGTCGTGGCACACATCGTTAGTCATCGCCTTCTTCAGAGAGAGAACTTGAGAACACAGATTCGAGCACGTCCCAGAACGGCACAGAAGATCACCCACGAATCTTCCACGTCCTTCTCCCATCGCCTCCATCTTGACGCCGCAGCCTGTGCATCGCGCTACGGCTGTGCTGTCCCCACTCCTCATGCAGGGCGAGAACGATCTCGACAGAGTCTTCCTCCATGACTGCACTCCCATAGCCTCTGCGCTGACATCTGACACAACCTCGGAGAATGGGTGTGACGACTGGTGTGGCGTCGGCATCGTCGGCCCACCCAAGGCCGAAGGGGCGCGTTCATCGTCCGCGTCCAGGTCCATCGGCTAGATCACTTCTATTTCATACCCCGATCCCCGGTAATTTCATTCTCGCTCAACGTTATCGGAACTTTAGCTCTTTAGGCTTACTCGTCGTCCGGTACTCTCACCCCGGCACGACGCTATCATCTCATTCGTGACACCACTCATCTTCCGCTTCTGCCTAACACCCGTGTCCATAGCAAGTAAGCATCACACAGCCTACACGCCTGCGCGACAAACTCGACTATTATATTTTGGTCTCTAGACAAATTGAGTGGAGGTGGGAAATGCTGTGGTATGTAGAAAGTAGTGTAATTATAACGCATGCGCAATCCATAGACATCTCTCTTTTTCACGTCAGACGCGACCACGACCGTACGCGCTCATGAACTAGTCTCAATGAATGTCTTCACATTCGACAACCACCTCACGTACTCCTGTCAACACGCAACAGTGTAAGCAATGGACAGTGCAGATCATACGTAGCAAATTACCTTCTGCTCCTTGTGCTCGGCATACTCGGGGATGAACATCGCAAGACTCTCGTTGATCCCCCGCTCCTGCAAATACTTCTCAAACTCCTCTTGCACAGACACGTCCAGAGTGTCAAACTATGCAACCACGTCAGCACCGTGCACAAATCCCAGATAAACACAACGTCAACGAACCTGAGGCCCAATGTACAGTCCACGTCGTTTCCAGTCAGACTCTGCTGTCAACTCAGTACCGAGCTTCGCATCAGGGTAATACGAGATATTGTCCACAACGAACGCGCCCTCCTGGCACATAGTATCAATATTAATCGACCCCTTCGCTCCCTCCTATCCCGTTCGTTAGTTTTGCCATTCACGAGAGCGAAAGAGCGAAAGAAAGGCTCACTTTCGTGATGGAGAAAGAGGTACGGATGGGATACGAATGCGCAGGCTGGTCCTCCCCACTCGCCTCATCACCGTCTTCCTGCTCGTACTCCGGGTCTTCGTCCGCAGCTTGGATATCAGCGATAGAGAACATCAACCGGATGCTATCCCCCCACCACCATCAGAATCAAGGCAAGCAACGAATGTGGCAATGTGGGTTGGGGCCACGACACCTACCTCTCGTTCCCAAACTTCCTCGTCAGCGTCACCTCGTCGTTTCCCTCCACGTCGTCTATCTGTAGACAAGCGCGCAGTAGTCAGAACGGCCTGCGCGGGGAAAGGGCGAGCGAGCGAAGAGGGGCTCACCTTCCATTGGTCCTGTTCTTTGAACGTCTTCAAGAAATCGGGCTCAGCCACGTCAGCAATAGCCTCTTTCTCGTACTTGAGCTCCTCTGCCAGTTTTTGCGACAACACCACGTCAGCTGTAACCACACGCGCGACAAGCACCACCACAAAAAAAAAAAAAAAAAAAAAAACAGTGAAATCAGCCTCGAGTCGCCAACGCACACACAAAGGGCCAAGAAGCACGCACCAGAACCCTCGTTGAACCGACGGGCAGAAACTGAGAATGAACGAGCCGCGGAGGCGGCTACGGGCGTCTGGACCCGCGCTGCGACGTGTGCGAGGCGGAAAGGAGCACCAGCGGGGCGCGCGAGTGTGCGGGAGGAAGAAGCGCAGAGCTGACGGAGAGCACGGATGGCAGACATGACGATTTTATGCGAAGAGAAGAAGGGGGTCGTGAAAAGATGAAGTAGGAGTGAAGAGACTCGGAGTGAGTATGAAGAGAGGGTAGAGAAAAAACGCAAGTGCGTAAGAATTGGAATTTTTAGCCTTTTGTTTGGCAACGGCTTGGGGAATAAACAAGCATATACCCGATTTGGATGCTCATCCTGTCAGTGATCGCTGGGGTTTCTATTTTCTCACGTGGCTTATGTCCTATGTCTTCGATATTTAAACGTCCATTGCATTACTGAAGCAACTACGAGAGAAGTACGTAAGATACGGGGATATAGTAATGCACAGTAGCAGAAACGGTATATATATGTATAATCATAAACCACAACCAATCCCTCCTCAACTCATTTAGCACCAGTACCGACATGAAGTTGGTGAAGATACAACACCATCCTCTCGTTTCGCGTAAAATCAATCAATTTCTGCATCGTATCCTCCGTCAATGCGATCCCTTCTCGAAGCAAGATGGAAAACCCGCACCTGGAGTACGCCCCCTAGCTGCTCCTGCACCTTACGCTCACAAGCTTCCGCGTCTCCCATATTCTCAGGGACCTTCTCACACCCGAGCTCAAGGAGAGCGTTTTTCTGCGCCTCTGACGCAGGCTTCATCGCGTGCCCCTCACGAGGCTTACACGTCTGCTTATGCGTCGGCCAAGCCTATTCGTCCCCACAATCGCGTTTGTCAGAAACAAAGAACATCAGGAAACGAAAATCCTTCCCAGGCCCAAACACCCGCCTTCGCGATAGGTGCCGTGGCGCAAACCAAACCGCAACTCACCTCTTTCTGGTGCTCGCCCCCACAATAATACACAGCCTTACACCTCGCACAGCGCATCTTCGCCGCCTCTCTGCACACCACACACGGCCCCTCCCTGAACTGCGCCTTCATGCGATGGAGCGTGAGGCGCGCGTCGGTGAGGGCGTCGAGGAGAGCCTTCGTTTTCATGCGTTCTTCGTCGTCGTCGTCGTCGGCTGGTGGGAGACCGTGCTCGGTGGGCGGCGTGCAGAATAGGACGCGGTAGCGCTCGAGGAGGCGGTCGTCCTCGGTTGGCAGGAACGCAGCAGAGACGACCCGGTCCCATGCCTTTCTCTCGTCCCTTTCCGAGGCTGCAGCGAACGCGAAAGGCAGATGAGGGGGTGACAGCACTTGTTAGCGGGAGGACGTGACGAGAGGAAGAGTTCCGGTTGGGAGCGCGCACCTGCCAGAACGAACTCGAGCGTCCCATCTCTCCTCTCAAGCAGCGCATCCAAAAGCGCCGTCCCCATCGCCACCGACACCCGACAGTGCCCGCCATGCGGCACTCCCTGACAGCTGCCCCCCACGAAGTTCCCGTTGAACCGGCGCAGACATTCGTAGTACCCTAGTATAGGGTGTAAAGTCTCAGTCAGCCGGGCTGGTGCGTGCGGTCGGGGCGGCGCGGATGATGGGGGTGAGACGTACCGATTTGTCGGACGAGGTGGGGTGAGATGTCGCGAAGCGCGGCGCGTGCTCTGCGCTTCATGACGGGGGAGTCTGCGCTCGCCTCCTTCCCTTCTTCTCCCTCTCCGCTGTCGTACTCCCCCTCCTCCTCCTCATCATCATCCGCATTGTCAGCCATTTGCCTGCGGAAATGCGGAAATGTTATAAACGTGCCAGGGACTCGACTCGACAACACGCCATCAACCGTGACAGGTCCACTGGCAGACACTTCCACACGGAGGACGGGCGAGACTCACTTGGCCATTTGGACGAGCATGGACCTCAGACCTCCCCCGGGACCTTTGGAATAGTCCGGTAGGATGATGGGCATCGTACGGTGGTGAATATGTGGGTTAGGAGAGCGAAGAGTATGCAGAAGAACTTGCAGAAGAGCGCTTTATAAATGAGTGCTTTGTACTCGTGTGCTCGGTTCTCCAGCGGCTCTCACTAGAGCTCACTCACGTGTGACTTCATCAAACTCGAGAGAAGCGAATATCCTTATCCTTTGCTAACCTCAACTTGAGCCTCCATCGTCTCAGACCTCCGACCGTGTCGAGTCGGCTTCTAACTATATTGTAACGCAGGAAAGCCACAAAAGAAAAGGATCCGGCTTGCAGGAGGAGCCAGAATGTATACGACGCGCTGGTTGGGGACTGCGAACGCGACTAGAAGTACCGTTTGTCATCTTCTTGATGATACTGACCCCACATACACGAAGTTCACCTCAAGCTCGGGCTACTTGGGAACGCACAGCGCGATACCGGGGTAGGGCTATGCCGTATACGCTGGCCCTAGTATGGTTTTCTTCGTGGTTGGACTCTGAGTCTGAGATCTGTGTTCTGGTCGGTGTCTGTCCCTATTAGTTCCCCCGCCACTTTGAGTCACTCAGTATTTGCCTTGCGCGCTGCGATCACCTTTTGAACGATATGGATCACCACAAGAGCTCCGAGTCCAGGCCAAAATTGTGGTTAGACGGAGTGCTCGAGGAAAAAGTTGGTTGCTTTATCACAGGAAATTTTGTCGCAATGTCAAACCGTAGGAAACGATGTGCTGGTGAATGAGGCCACACTCCCGACCACTTTATTCTTTGGGAATGCAAGACGGTTCGGTTTGGACTTGGTTTGTACCTTATTCCCAACATCTCAAAAAACTGGTACAATAGGTTATACTCAGGCGCCCGTGTATGCCTTGGAGTACACCTCTAAAAGCGATCCACTAATTCGATAACGTCCGGCTTGGTCATCTCATGTATTTCGATATTCAAGTTTCACTTGATTAGGTAGTACAGCAAGGCTACAAGAACGATCAACACCACGATCTGAAAACCGGTCGCCTCCGCAAGGGTTTTCTGAGACTCTGGTATTCCCCTCGTTCGACGGATTTCTTTTAGGCATGTGATTTCTTCCATTTTGCCGGGGACTCCCTGCACTCGGCTGATGCCTCCTACGTGTTGGGTCAAGGTACCGAGGTGAAGTTGATGGAGATAAAGCACCATCTTTTCGTTTCTTGTGTGGCTGATTAGTTTCTATGATATGGCTTTTATCAAGTCAGATCTTCAATGGACCCAAGGACCCATACCTTGAGGATTCTACCAAGCCGAATAACTATCCTATGTTCAAACTGTTCCGCCTCCACCATGCTTCGGGGAACTCTCTTACATCCCAGTTTGAGAAGAGCATCCTTATCCGCGTCCGAAATATACACTGTTGTACCATCAGCAACAGGCTTACAGGCTTTCTTATGGCTCGACCATGACTGCCAGAAGGTGCGTCAGACCTCGATATGTGAGTAGGACACGTAGAGATGAAAGTTTATTTACCTCTTTCTGATGATCACTCCCACAGTAGAACACAGATTTACAGCGTGCACAGCGCGAGGTTGCGTGTGCTTCACAAACATCGCAAGGCCCTCCCGTGAAGTTAATCGTCAAACGATCGAGAATCACTTGACCCTCCTTCAAAGCTAGGACTTGTGTGTAAGTGTCCTGGTATCCTTCGAGATGGATGTCACGGTTGGAAGGGAGATTGGAGAATAGCGCGAGGTAGCGCTCAAGAAGCTGATCGTCGTTGATTGGCAGAAACGCGCTCGAGATGACTCGGTCCCATGCTATCCGCTCGTCCTTCTTTGAAGCTACAAACGTTCACGCGTGAAGAACCGTAACGTGGAAGACCTTATACACGCACCTGCGAGGACGAACTCGAGAGACCAATCTCCTTTTTCAAGTAGCACCTCAAGAAGCGCTATCCCCATTGGAACGGACACTTGATATGACCCATCTAGTGGCATACCGAGATAGCCACCTCTGACAAAGTTCCTGTTAAATGAGCGCAGACACTCAAAATACCCTGGCGCGTTGTGTGTGTTTTGTTTGTGAGTCTTTGAAGATGATGTTGAATGTAAGCCGCGTACCGATCTGGCGGATCATGCTTGGAGAGATATCCCTCAGTGCAGAACGCGCTCTTTGTTTCATGGCAGACGTGACTCCATTATCGTCTTCGCTGTCATCTTCTGTGTCGACATCATCGTAGTCCCCAGCCGCATCAGCCAATTGGCTATGATAAACCTCAGGAACATAGTGGCATAATTGCTAGGGGGATACTAACCCGGCCATTTGGGAGACCACCGATCTGAGTCCTTCTTCATTAGAGTAATCAGGGACGCGAATGGGCATTTTGTGTCGGTTCAGTAATAGGAATAGTAGTATAATCTCGTCGAAGGAAAGAGGATGAGCGTCGTCGGATGAATGCAGTGAGAGTTAAAGTCAAGTTAAAGTACTGCTTAGCCCACGTGTACCAGCATAAAGAATTATTTGCCCTTTGTTCATCGTTGATATTTCCATAAAAGTGACTGGTATCTTTGGACGGGCTCTACGTCGACAAAGCAAGACCATGATGGTCCAGGTGTATGTGAAGAGTGGAGCATGAAGACGAAGGGTGACGGTGGGCTGAGACTGCGTGTACATCGCCTGAGATTCGTTTACAGAACAATATCAATCCTATAGGCTGCATTGATGTGAACCTACCTTTGGAATAATCAGGTAGGATTATGGGTTTCGCTTGTGAGTGCCGTCGTGACCTAGTGTGACCAAAGCATTCCAAAAAGTTACAGTGTGTCGTCGTTTCGGTTTTGTTCCGCGGAAAGCTGCTGAATAACGCCTGATTTTCATGCTCACTCTTCTACATAGGAAGCTAGTAATCCGAGTCTCTCGAGTTTGCAAGTTCATTTTACCGCTCACTTGGCCGGTTGACCTCAGTCAGAAACGAGTCTCGCTTACTAGGGCCTTCAGAAACGTATCATGCATTTAGCAGAAGGACAAATCAAGTTACATATCCACTACAATCATGCTGACATGCTTTACATATCAGTGGTGGTGTCCGAACGGATCAATGATAGTCTTCCAGGGCAAATCCTCGTCCGTTGGACCCGTCTCCTTAAGCACAATCTCCTCCTTCACTTGACGATCCTGTGGCAACTCTCTGACGCGCTTGTAGGACTTGTACAAGTCTCTCGGATCATTTCGCTGTCTGCGAATCAGCATGATACACGGTGTGATGACCTTCTTCCGCTTGTCCCGGTAGTCGACAGGAAAACAGGTGAGGGTGAATTCGTCAATGCCTCGCCTCTTGAATCATTCATCAAGTTCGATGGAGAGATCGATGTCCTCCACGTCCTTCATACCCCCCTTCTCCAGCCACAAGCGCACATGCTCGTAAGTCATAAGCCAACCAGCTAATTTAATTACCATTGCGCTATAAATATAAAGTGTAAGAGCGCTGTTTAGTTTGAAAAATAAGATTGGTACACACGATTATCAGAGAAATACAACGTGCGATAGAATGAAAGATAATTCAAGTTGGTTCAAGTTGAAGTTGACTTGAAACGTGATCGGCATGGAAGCGCGACTTTAGTTATAGATTGACTTTAGTCACGTGATCTAGCCTTGTCGCATCTCGTGATCATCTCAATCCCATTGTTCGATAAACTTGATAGGTCAGAGTCGCTCATATTGCCAGGTATTCAAATGTTCACCGAAACCTCACAACCCACACCACATAGAATCAGACAGTGAGTGCCTTGTTTTATGCTAATTGCAACTATGCCTGACTATTATTTCATCCCATTAAGCGTATTTCAATGCCTCAGATTCCGCCAGCCCTAATCAGTCGTTTTAAGCGGATGCAGCAAAGACCCCCACATTACGAAGCATCCTGGTATGGTCCAATTGATAAACTTGCCACGTCATATTCTCTGCGGATTGTTTCATGGTTAAGCCCCAGCTAAAGCTTCGGCAATCAGCCCACCCAGTCGTCGAGGAAGCCTCAGAATATGACTCGGACACGGAGTCGGATAGCTCATTTGAAGACGAAGGAGTCTCCTTCGACTCCATGGGTGCACAGATCGCAACTACAGCTTTGTACATGGAGCCAGATTTCATTGTTGTTGTTGTTGGTCAAAAACGCGATGTGCCATTGATCTGCATTGAGGTGAAGAGGGATGACGCTGTCAATTCGTCAGCACATCAGCTAAAGCAGTACATCGAACTTCTTCAACAAAAGCAGCCTCACCAGTACTTTGCTGGTGTGCTCATATTGGCTGGGACTTTCTACTGTTATAGTACAACTGGCAGGCGAAAGCCAACTCCAGGTGGAAATGGTCTGGAGACTGCAGAAGGGTTAGCAAAGGTATTCCAGGAAATCGCGGACAACGTTCTGAAAGAAATGCCGTTGTGATGCTACTACTGTATTATATATTGCTTCGCTGACTTGTCTCTGACTGTCTCCATTGTACTATGTAACGAATGCGTGTCAAGTCGGCACATTGTTGTTGTTTCCCAAACACTGCCATTCAAAGTCATTCTTGAAGCCTAGGCTCGTAACCCCAGTGAAAGTGCAAAGATACAAGTCGTAAGAGAGTGTGAAAATCCTTTAACGGTTGGATGAGCCCTAGGAATTACCAGCAGTTAGTGAACATGTCTCAGCGTACGACTTACTACATAATGATTCCCATCGGATGCTCATATTCCTGGAAAAAGACAAAGTTAGTTCTGGCACCAGCAGTGCTTTCTGCGTCGACGAGCCTAGACATTGTTTGTTAGATACATGTCTTGGGCCATGGCTGGGGCAAGAACGATGAAGCCTCTCCATAGTTTTTCCCTTCAGCGTCGTTCGGTTTGGCCAACGTAAAGGTATGTTTATACAGGACGTCTGACAAGGACGCTGGGCGACAATGGTAAGCATTGCGAGAGTCGCGACGAACCCCAAACCGCTTACTCTGAATCATCTTTTTCGGAACTTGAACCTGCAGGATCTTGTCATCATATGATGATACCAGAGAGAAGACACGAATAATGAGCCTACACACATTGAGGAATCCATGTGCCCAGTTTCAGTCCTGGATCAGTTCTTCGAGAAGCAGTTATTCAAACACTTGAACAATTAGACGGCGATCACATATTATCCAAGACCCGCACACAACGGATATTTGGGAACACTGGTTACGACGTGAATTTAGGAAATGAATAGACAAGTCTTGAGCGCCTTTTTTGTTGCGTGTTTTAGTAAAGTTGTATGAGAATTTTGCGGATTTGTGGATGATTTGGGGCGATACAATTGTTGCAACACGCGTGCATTTGACGGGAGAATCTATGCTGGCTTCTTCTGGTGACAACAAGGTACATGAGGAAAGACAGAACCCCACAAAAAAGAGGGAATGCTTACTAGCCATGATTGGTTAGAGCATGGCCACTTGCCATCCCAGTTGCCAGTAGTGTAGAATGGAATAGGGTGTTTTGACAACCAACTGCCAGCGCTAGGATGGATGATGGATGATGTTTATCAATACCGTAAGATGTAGAACTGCCAACCAAGGATTGAGCCTACGCCACTAGGTCACCGGAACTCGGAGTTGTTGTCTTTCTTCTCGTTCAAGATCGTTTGGTCAGCTTTGCTTGTACGATATTGTAGCTGCGCAGAATTGTATATCCATGCTCGCGTCAACGTACGATGGTCGATATCCCGGGTTGCATTGTGGAGGGTGATACGAGCCACTGTCAGTTATTACGGAGTCCCGGGCGTGCTAACAGGCAAGACATTTGACAGATTCCCAATATCGAAACGTAAGCAAGCCTCGGACTTGTTTCGCCGTGGTCTGATAGATGATTTTTTTCCAATAAGGAAAGCTGTACATACTACGATCGATGTATCATGTATCGGAGAATCGTGATGGAAATGCTGAGTCTGTGACTGCGATCCGTACCTACTTAGTTGTTCCTGTCCAGATGAGTTGTGAAGATTTTGATATGTCGGCCCAAGATGCAAGTAAAATCCGCACGCGTATCACCATCTCCGTCATATTTCCATCGTCATACAAGGTGCAGCAAGCACTTTGCCCAAGTTCAGATAACAATAGTGCCAGCGCTGGTGCAGCCGTTGAATGAGGATCATTATATCTCGAAATTAACTTGCTTATGGATACGGGTACCGCCCATGTGGAAGGAAGGGATATCCCATGTTTTCGAGGCATCTACGTACTATGTTGCTTCTTTTGGGCACGTAGTGCGTGAATGTCCGGGGAGTTTGAGCATGAAGACGTTAAGCCTCGCGGAAAAGCAGCTCATGACGAGATGTGGAGCATCGAGTTTCTGTCACTGGCTGGCAGACAATGCATCAAGGAAGTTCGGAATATAGTATACCCCCAGGATTTCCTCCGTGCCGAACTCGAAATCTTCGGAAACGCACTCTACTCCATGTTTCAAGGACGATGAACGCAGACTTTGAATCGACCGACATCATCGCTTTTTCCGTCCCGAACGCTGCAGACTTTGACCACAACAAGTCAGGTTGCACGCTATTTTGGACGCTTTCCTGGTGGCAACAATCATTGCAGATACCGCCTCGCTGGCTCGCATGTGATCTGCCATCAGCTGGAAGTGGAGACCAAAGAAATGAGGCGATCGACTTTGGCGTGTCTGCTTACGAAAGCGTATGGCCTCAGATGTATGGTTACCGGTTGAACTCCGCGAATAACAACGTTCGCACATGCACGACTACAAGCACCCACGTTGTTTCTGCGATCTATGATAGCAACCTCTCTGGCATAATGCAGTGTTGATCCAACAAGGCTTTCGAGAAACTCATCTCTGTCTCGGTACTGGCATTACTCTATACAGGAGGGAGGGGGGCGCTTCAAGTCCATCATGATGACCTTCTCAAGGGAGTTAGATCATTTGTTGAGCGGTGGCCGCTTGATCTAGAATGCCATAAATTTTGGACGAGTGTCAGTCGGAAGACACAAAGTGTCGCACCATACTGTGATTGTCTCATCAATAGTTCCACGGTATACCGCCTTTGGTATACCACAGCCACTACGCAAGTCATCCGACTTCATCAATCACTCATGGCTACGTTGAATGCTTTACGAAAAACCGAGGTAAGTGAGACCTTTGCCGAAAGTGAGCCTTGTGGTCGCAGGTCTAACGGACGCTGATGCAGGTCACAGTGCGGGGATATTCGTGCCTGGTCAGTGTGATGCATTCGTATGTATAAATACGGCCCCCTGATGGACTGGTCATATCACCACCTGCATTCACGACAATGTTCTCTTCTGCCATCGCTCTCGTCGCACTCTTCGCTACTGCTGCCCAAGCTGGCAAGCGTGGTCTTTGCTGGACCTACTGTAAGCTGACTATCTTCTCTCACTTTAACACCTCCTTTCTAACTAAATCTTCACAAAAATAATAGATGACAGCACTCTGTAAGGATTGTTAGCAGCCATATCACGCGCCATGCTCATATTTGTGTATAGCGACCCAGGTCTCTTCAACAATGGAGACGGAGAGGTTGTGGCCATGTACGTGTTGAACATTCAGTAATTATTCGCAGCCATTGACAGCCTTCAAGTTACGACTATGAGACCTACGCCCCACCATCCACCAACGGCGCCGGCGGTCTTGGGTTCATCGGCATGCAGCGCTGCACTGACTGTACATCGAGTCCCATTGCTGACCTCGCTTCTCGTCAGGCTGCTCAAGGCTGGGCCAGTATGTTTTTCTTGCTTTCATGATATGGTTCCTTCGACCTCATTACGATTATTAGCCGTGTTCACCTTGAACGAGCCTGATGTCAACGGCATCAGCCCTAGCGACGCTGCTTCGTGGTATATTCAGTACATCAATCCTTTGGTATGCATCTTTACAACCAGATAACACATCACACATCATTCTCATCATTACTTCAGAGCATCAAAAAAGCTCTTCCCGCTGTTACTTCTAGCGCTACTTCTGGACAAGGTTTGAGCTGGCTTTCGGAAATGATCAGCGCCTGCAATGGTCAATGCTACTACGACTACATTAACCTTGTGCGTTACCACCGCCATTCTTCTTCGTATTTCGCTACTAATTGAACTTCATTGCAAAATACAGCACTGGTACGGGTAAGTGGTTATTGTTCTCACCGAGTGACTACCTCCTAACGTGGATCCTGCAAGACCGGACTTTGCCACCTTCCAGAGCTACGTCGAGTCTGCTCATACTCAATTCCCCGTAAGTCATAGCCCGCCACGCCCTCAGAATCAAGTTCACTGACGTGGACGGTGGATGTAGAACTCCCAAATTGTTATCACGGAGTTCGCTCTCCAAAACCCCTCTGGTGGTCAGGCAGCCCAGTAAGCAGAATCCCCACTTCTGCCATCTGTTTGTACTGACATTTGGGGTTTCCAGGGTATCCTTCTTCCAACAGGCATTCCCCTTCCTTGACGGCGCTTCATACGTGCAACTCTACTTCCCCTTCGTTGCGACGTCGCCTTCGCTTTTCCAGGCTAATGATGCCGCTGGCGCATCGTACGTCGGCACTGGATCCTGCTTGTACAACGATGATGGAACCGCGTCTGCTGTTGGCAACTTGATGTACTAAACTCGCACTTATATACACGGAATGTTTAATATGGGTCTTTCAAGAGTAATACGGTACATTAGAAGGGACTATATACAAGTCGAATACCTTCGATGGACATTTATTGGGTTATTTATTATTCATACCGGTGTCTGTGAATGAAAAATGCAGTTGTTGATATCATGCTAGGTCAGGCACTCGACTACCCAAGTTGGGAACTGCTGGTGTAAATGAAAGTTCTTGCCAAGATTGGTCAGACTCTGACTGAGAACAAAAAACCGGCAAACGCCACGCTTAGATTTGCTCGGTAAATCTGTAATCACATTTCATACAAAACGCTGTCGAAGATCGAAACACTGCTGTGGCTAGGACGTTGCTATTAGAACCTCTATCAAACCGTAACAATAATATCATTGGTCCGTATTCACGCTTTTTCAGCTCTCTGGAGTTTGGCATGACTAGTTCCAAGTCTTCAATGTCTGCGATTCCTGGGAAGCGCACAGCATTAACTGCAGAACCGCCTAGAGAATATCTTGTTTCTGTAGAGCTATACGTTCCAAACGCAGCAGGAAGCGCTCTGCGAAAAGTAATTGTTTTTGTGATATCTGGCTCTGCATCAGTTGATACAACATTACCCAGCCTCCGGTACCTCGTCGCAAGGGGGAAAACAAGAAGTCAACAACTCCTCCTATCAGCGGCCGGCCTTGGGATGAAAACCAAAAGAAAGTGAAAGGTGCAAATCACGCATACAGCTAGCTTGAGGTATTAACGGAACGATTCTCAGAGAAGCCTAGTTGGATGTCCTTGGCTAGATCTTCAACTCGAGCAGGTAGCTGGAGACCTGCTACTTGCAAGCTATCCGATGAAGATAATAGGTGTCTATGTAACATCTACGTGGACGTCAGTATTCATAATTTTTTAAATTGTTTCTTAAACAATGTAACATGGTCGACACATCCAGGAAACAATTCTTTACCAGACGGTTTACGTACATGCATTAAATCACACCGACATTCGTCAAGCAGACAGTTCCTTGTTTCTGCGGAAGAATTGCCTTGGAATCTACTCTGCAGGGTGAATTATTTTTTAGCCTCTCCTCCGTCCTCCCTCGTTGCTCAATATTTGGTTAGGGGACAGCGATGGGGCTCTCCTCATGCCACTGACCCGCTTTATCTACATTTTTCTGACACGAATGCATGTAACACATGGTTAGCGCTTCTACGATCCTACGCCAAACCTGAATTATACGGGCGACAACCAAATCCAGACGGTGGCTTGTATCGTATGTGGAGACAAGTCGAACTGACAATAATACAAGGGCGAAATCTGGGCAGTCCTAGGCAGTTATCAGAATCCATATCAAATACTACTGCCAATCCCGACTCAGATACTCGACAGGAGGGCGACCCTGTTGATATGGACGTATTCTGTGAAATCAATCTTAATAATACCCTCTGTGGACGCAGTACCTTGAAGAAGTGTATAGGTTCGCCCGATTGGCATGAAGGCTTCACTCTTACAGATCTACCACCATTCGATACTCTGGAAGTTATCGTGTGGAACGAGAAAAGACTCCTTAAGCCGATAAATCTGGGTTCTATACGTATTTCTCTCGGGAATTTTCGTCGCGGCGAGGTGGTGGAAGGATGGTTTCCTGTGATTCATGCAGGGCCTACAGCCGGTGGGATCCAAGTTGGCGACATCAGGATGAAGATGCGGGTAGATGAGTCAGTGCTATCCTCTGCTATGTTTTTCATTCACTGAATGTGTTTCCCAGAGATATCATATTGCCTTATTCTGCGTATTCGGGTCTGCTCCAGGCGTGTATCCAGTCGATTGTCTATGTTCTACGTGAATGACGGCGATAAACCTACAGGTACTTTATAGTCGTAACATCCTTGACTGGATGGACGATTTTGAGCACAAGTTGCATCTTCGCTCTATTTCGTCCGAGTTGATGTACGTCGCCATAGCCAAGAACGTGCTCCTCGATCAGGTGTTCGAGCTTGCGGATCGTGAAGTGGATGGGACGCCTCGTTGTAAGCTTTATCCTTTTTTTTTGTTAGCGAAGTCTCTGAAAAAGAATGCAGCACACAATACACTATTTCGTGGAAACACTATTTTGACGAAAACAATCGAGTTATGCATGGCATTTTATGGAAAAGCGTTCTTGGAAGCTAGTATTGGAAGTTCTATCCGCCGTTTGTGTAGCGAAAAAATTGCTATTGAAGTGGATCCCGCACGCAGTGGGAAAAGTACTAAGGATACTGAGCGTGACGTGGAGCTACTGATTTATTGGTGCAAGGAGTTCTGGAATCAAATTTATGCCGTCAGGAATGAATGTCCCAAGTACGTTTTTATAATCGATAAGACAGTAGACTGAAATAACTGACTTTTCTCATGTCAAAGTGAGATGCGTAAATTATTCGAACATGTTCGCAAACTAGTGGAGAAGCGATATAGCAGAAACAACATGCCAGAGGAGCAAAGCTGGGATTTGCCTTGGCAAAGCGTTTCCGCTTTTTGTTTCTTGCGATTTATTGTGCCAGCCATACTCCATCCTCATCTGTTTGGTCTTTATCCAGGTATTTATAGGTATTCTTTAGCTTGCGATCATATTCTGATTGTTTTTAGGTCTTCCAACCATGCCAGTTCAACGTAGCCTGACCTTAATCGCAAAGGTCATACAGAGCCTGGCAAATCTCAATGCAGTGAGTCTATGCATCACATGAGACTTGGTTTACGCACTTACACTGTCTCTGCAGAGTGTCCAGAAAGAAGACTTCATGCGAGGCGTGAAAGCCTTCCTGAAGGAGAGCGTACCGGCTATGGTAAAGTACATTCAAGCAGTATCGACACCTGTGGTAGGCGACACGCACGGTCTCCAATCCGGACCCGCCCACACTCATGCTCGATTAAATGTGGTCAACTCTCTTCACCAACGTGGTGCCACAATGCCTGCTTTAGAACGAGAGGCTATTCCCCTTCTTCCCCATGTACTAGACATTCCGAGGCACCTGGCAGTTATAAGCTCAGCTGTCATACGAAGTGTCAGGTTTGCCGACCATAAGCAGAAGATGTTCGATGATCCGCATTTGAAAGAACTTCGTTTGAAGTGCTTTGAACTGGAGGAGCAGGCTTTGTCTCGAGTCAATCAGCTCGCCAGCCGGATGCCTTCAGTACAGCGCGACGTTTTGACTTCTTCTGACGACTCACCTCGTGAACCAGATTCGACACCTCTACCATCGTCGCCGAGGACTTGCTTGCAACTCGAGGTAGCTCGTCCGTCGACTGCATCCTGTAATTCAACCCCCTCGGGGATGACACAACCTATGTAACCGTGTTCTCCTGTATGACCATTCTCAACCTGGGCATGCTGGTGCACTGAAATGTGCAAAGTCATGCAGGTTATATGAAGTGGTGTAGATTTGCTAAGAGCAGCAGGAGCCATTACTTGCCATATCTAGCTTCAAGGACAATATTCATGTCCTCAAATTTCTATGCTGCCCTTTCCTATATAAATAACAAATATGGTCCATTCATCCTCTACATAAGCATACATGTCTGATAAAACAAGAGTAACAAGAGGTCTGCATATATGTAAGTAACTATATCTTGTACATTTCCAGATAAACCTTTGAATAATAGAACGAAGATAAAGATAGCTCGATCTTGAGATTTTTGATTTGCCTCCAACGGCTTTTTGACCAACAACAGCGTCCCTTGCCAGCACCCCCAGATGGTTAGAGCAAAGCACAAGACTCTCGTTGATGGTCAAAAAACACGGGAGCGACTTGGTTTAAACGGCGGAGGCAAAAATATGTCAAATTCGAACAAGAAAGATAGAGCCAACACAGGAAAGCAAAGAGACAAAGAACAAAAAAAGTCACAGCAAACACAACATGATCGCATGGGGGAGCCCTCTTTTGAGATCTCAACAGATTCCAAAACAGGACACCAGACGGGCTCCTTACAACAAGGCATGTTTTCATGGTTAATTGCCACCATGATCATCGGAGATTTGGTCATCTCCTTTGGCAGCACCATTGGCAGCTTTAGTTCCTTGTGCCCCAACTCCAGTCTTCGCCTTCTTCGCCTTCGGCTCGCCATTCTTTGAAGTCCTTGTCCTTTTCCTTTGGTTAGAAGGAGCAGGAGGAGATTCCTCAGTGCGGCCTTGAGAGTCTGTATCAACGCTTTGACTATCAGCATGGCTTGCAGCCTCCGCGGGAGGCTGCACTGGCGCTCCATTAGGATGATGGGGAGAATAAACGCCAGTTCCAGGGTGCGCATAATGGGGGAAAGGCGGGTACCCTGGCGGAGGAACTGGATAATACGATAACATAGGCGGCTGTCCATTTCCATTCGGTACACCTTCATGACCAGGGTGGCCCTCGTGTCCAGGAGGCATGAATGCAGGTGGGGGGTACATATAAGGCCAATATCCTTCCGGGGGAGGAAAGGGAGGTAATGCGTGCATAGCAGGAGGCACGGCGGGCGGACTATTTGGTGACCCGCTAGGCTGCCATTCAGGATCTCCATTAGGCGGAGAGTAGATTGCACTATTAGCTCCAATGTTCACATTTCCCATCATTCCAATGGCTTACCTCCGTACGCCGCGTCTCCTGAATTCTGTTTATTCTTTCGCTTGTATGGGCCACGTTTTACGCCCTTCTTGCGCTCCTTTCTCACGCCGTCCACACAGGTTTCGGAAATACCATACTTAACACAGCGTTCGCAGGGACGAGCCTCATCACAGCGTTTGCAAGCTGTTGCGCAGTTTGTGCACTGAAGGTAGCGGTGATATGTCAGCGAAAAGACGATCAGGATAACATTCAGAGAAATATCTTACCGCCATTTTGACCTGTTTGCGCTTGGGGCGATTGCCAGACGATGTGGTAGACGGTGTACCCGTAAACTGAGGAAAGGCTGAGAAATATGTGAGACATGGCGGTAAATCTGATTTAGCCAGAGACGGCGCACCTTGTCCAGAGGGAGGACCAGGATAATAGAGTACACCAGGTGCTGGTGGAGGATACATCATGTAAGGTGCGCCAGGATGGGCACCGTTTGGAGGAGTACCATCGACATGGCCACCTTCAGAAGGAGGAGGATAACCGTATATCGGATATGGACCTGGGGGAGGGTAAGAGTTTGCTCCGTTGAAGTGCTGATATGGTGCGATTGCGGGATATGTATGTTCTTGTACGGGAGCCGAATTCTTGGCCTGATCATTTGACATGGCGGCTGATGGCAAAGACACCGAATGGTGCTATGCTGATAATCACTGAGGACAAACAAAGACCAAATGACAACGGCGACGCTGCAGCCATGATAGCGAGGTCGTCAACGACGTTGGGGTGTAGAAGAAAAAGTGCAGAAACGAACTTGAAGAAAACTTGAACCACTCCGCCCCAAATGCTGATTTTCCGATCCGTCGCCGCTCAGAACTTGTCGTAGTCCGCCCGCTGCTTTCCACTTCTCTGAGGTCGCGATGTGGCAATCGCAAGGAAACAATGTGTTTTGCCTGTTCCGTGACACAGATTAGGCGAGGAATAGACAAGAAAGAAAGATGTTGGACAGATGCCACCGAAAGTGCTGGTATGGTTGAGGTGCAAGTGGTGGGCCAGAGAACACGTGCGAACTAAAGTTTACAAACCCTAGGCTGTGAGTTTTTGGGGTGACCGTGCGCCTATTCATGCCATTGCATGTTGGCCCCGCCGACGCTCTCCACTGCAGAACACTGGTGACTTGAGGATATCGAACAAGACAGCAGCCATAATTATCTTCTTAACGTTTGAAGTGCTTCCTTTCAGTCTGCCACATGATTCTATCACCCCAACTTTCTCCGCCTCAACAAGCCTGACTCCGCTCATGGCATGGGCACCCTCCTTTTTCTGTTTTCCTCCTTACCAGCTCCATCCACATTTTATTCTCATTTACAGGTCATGCGAAGCGCAACTGCGAGGGGACATCCATCCCTCTTAAATAGCGTGCCAAACACCCGTATTCTGCATGTTTGGGGTTGGCGCCTATTTTCGACGGCATATCTTTTCAAACTCTGTCGACACCTATTCTGAACCTTGAATTGGGACTATCACCAAAAGGAGATGAGGCGGTTGTTCTCAAAATATCGTATCTGTGGTCATTGTTCACCGACGGTCCGTCATTACCTCCCAGTTGGCCATGTTGTATACTCCAGGAGTACCGCATATATGCATGGCGCGTCCGCTGAAGTCCCATTCCTAGAGAATAAAATAACGGTTCGTGTTCATTCAAATACAAATGGCCTCACTGGCTATCTAATTCATCTCCTATTCTAGCAAGCTAGACGCCCTTACAAAGTGGTATCCTTACGGAGCCATCATACGGTATTTAAAATCAGAAATAATAGAATCATCGCGTAACAATCAGCAGTGCCTCTCGATCGTTATCATTTGTTCACAGGTTATGGTGAGCATTTAAGTTCTACGCCTCGCCTTTACAATTGAAAATGTCCCAGATGTGGAGGTGTCCTCATAATAACTTACTGGACACCCACGAGACGCACAGCACCAATTGATTCCGCTGGACACTACCGCGAAAGTTATCAATGCTTTCGTTGTCGTGCCTGTAATGTATGGAATGGATGTCTAATTTTTTTCCCGGCAACCGCTCGCGTCCGCATGCCGCTCTCTCGAGACTGCATTCGCATGAGAACTAGGCAAAATATTAATTTACCGATGACAAAAAGCACGGGTTGTTCGCACGTCCGACCTTCAATACCATAGCTTCACTTGCATCGATTTCTCTATCATGTGTGATCGATCGATGGTCCGTTCCTTCGGGTGTCACTGCCATGGTTTTCTTTACGTCTACGGGGAAGTCCTGTTTTTCGGCCTCCTCCATTGGTGTGGGTTCTCGTTGATTCAAACTGATTCGCCTGGATCTCGGCATCTGGACTTTGTTCAAGTTACTCCGCGGACTTTCATTTCATTCTCCCCTTCAACCTCTGAGGGATGGTTCAATGTCTATCCCTTGGGCGAATCTTTCCTTTCCCTAGTCGAATTAGTATTTTGAGTGCCCTCGTTGATTTTCACTGCATCTAGCAAGTGACACTTGGCCCTCTGTCTTATTTCTGGTTTCGGATACCAACGAAATGGTCGGAATTCCTTACTCCGTTTCTTGCTGCGTCGTCGTGATGGCGCATCTAACATCCATGGGTGACGTCAGTTCGCTGCTCAAGCACTAACTCATAGATATATCGATGCTTAAATCCCTAGCAAAATTCCATTGGACCCATTCCATGCCACAACAAGGAGATCGATCCTATAAATGCTTTATATACCACCAGTCTAGATGGGTCTATTGGGACGTTGATTTTTGGCTTCTACACTGTATTGTAGCCCATCTCCCTTGATACGATGTAATGGCTCATGTCATTTCTTCTCACTGCAGCATTTTGGCCGTGTGTTAAATTTCGGGGTCGTTCCTCCTGGTGAACGCTACCGTCATCTGAACTATTGTCGTGGACCAGTTTCAAGACCACGATTGCTTGCCACGTACAGGATGCTTACGCATCCATATCTGCAAGCGGGTTATGGTCTGGGCACCCCCTTGATTGATCTTCGCAGGGTCCAGCTATAATTGGCTGAGCGGCGTATCAAAAACGCAGTTCGCCATCTGTTTAGCCTCAAGATCTCGCTGAGGGAGGGCATGGATGGCGTGCTTTGAAAGATGTCGCAGGGGGTTGGGTGGATGTCATTTTTATGGTGTTGATGTCACGTCTCTATCGCGCAAATGCGCTTTCTAAGCGCCTCAGGAGGTCCTCACCTCTTGTGAAAGTCTGGCCGAGGCATGAGCTGGAATGCTTACCTGATTTGCGCCAGTGGCTAACTCTCCAGCCACAGGACAGTTAGCATCCCAATTACAGTGGCAGGCTCCTGCTGGCCACAGTCGTCGTCATTGGTAGGATCCGACCTGTCCAAGGGCTGGAGGATTTCCACTAACAATAAGCTCTTTGGGATCATTCCAGCGAGTACCGTTGCGTATGAGGAGATACAGACTGGTCTGCGCTATGAATATGTACTGCCCCTTAATTCGCTTCGTGGTTCACGTTTCCTATCAGAAATGTGAAACCTAGCCCAGATCGCTATTTTTCTGGTCAGTGTTTCCGTTATCGGTCCTCCGAAAGCATTATTGTAGTGCTGGACGGTAAGCTTTTCCGCACCACTGTTTCTGCTCTCATTACTGTTATCGTGATAGGCGAAAAGGAAATGTACGGTGGTTGATATGATCGTTTTATGGAGTCAATAGCAATAGTCAAACGCAATCCCCGTTTTCCGAGATCGACTCCCATGGTGTAGCATAAAACAATGTTCGTTGGCTCTATCACGCTTGCCTGAAACGGCACATCTGGGATCGTCGTGGTCGATGGGTAGATGTCAACTTTGCAGAAGCGGCACTTATCTTACAGCAGTTATTACTTCATAAACGTGTGGTTCACAGTGAAATAAGTTAGTTCGTCTCCTTCGAACTTAACAGCATGATACCTCTATTAATCCGGCTAACCAGTAGGTAGTGCAGATAACACCCTTATTTTAATGGCAACAGCTCGACACATAGCCAACTCAAAGTCATTTCGAAAGGTTCTACTCCCTGCTTGATCTCGCCTGTCGCGCTGGCACGAAAGAAGGATGTCAAGTCCATCTGTAAAGTATCACATGTTGTAAGTATATCAATTGCATGGCTGACTCGTTAGGTGCCAACGTTCTCTCGATGTCTGGCTGCATACTGTATGGTTCCCGCAGCCGAACATGTGATTTGAGCTCGTTTTTATTGGTAGGGACGGATCTGCAAGTACTACGGACATGGCAAGGTTCAGATATCTGCTGAGGTGCTGGGGATAGATTGCTTGTGTCGTATTGTGGCTTGTTTTGCCTAAGTGCTGTATAACACGACTGATATCATTCCTTCTTATCATACAGGACATTTGATTTACAGTACGGAGGCGTTCTCTCCAATGAACGTCATTGCCGTATATGACTTCTTCTGAAAGGCCAGTTTGAAGGCCACGACGCTCACTACGCACAGGATGCTTCCGCATCTTATTTCTTGAGCAGGTCAAGGTCTGGACACCCCTTTTTTGATCCTAACTGGGTCCAGCTATAAACGGCTGAGCGACATACCAGAAAAGCAGCCTGTCATTAGCTTAGCCTTAAGATCCCACGGGGGAGGGCGTAGATGATACGCTTTGGAAACTGTCGCTGGGGGTTGGGCAGATGTCAACTTATGGTGATGTCACATCTCTATCGCGCAAATTGTGCTGTTAAGCGCGGCAGGTGGTGCTTCGTGTGCCGCCTGTTAAATGTGAACCGAGGAATGAGCTAGCATGAATCCCGATGCGCACTGGTCGTGTATCTTTTGCACCAATGCCGGAACCCGGAAGTATATAGCAGTGGAGCTTACTGGACATATGGTTAATCGGTATGCGCATACCGGTGATGCTGTCTGGTAGGAATTCGTTGTTGCTTTGCCTGTGTTCCAGGTGAAGGGATGCACACAAAAGACCAGGCCTCCTGGATTCATCGGGCGAGATCCTTTGCGTATGAATAGGTGTCTGCGTCATGAAGACATTTGTCCTTTGGTCGCTTCGTGGCTTGCATTCCATACAGGAATGTAAAACCTAGTCCAGATCGCTCTTTTACTGGTCATCTACCAATCTTATTCTCTTATCCACAACGCACAATATTCTCAACGAGCAGCCCTTCTATTGCGAGTATCGGTGCATATGGGATACAGAGTCGTCTGCACTATGGTTGTGTATTGACCCTAACTCATTTCGTTGTTCACGTCCCCTAACAGACATGTCAAACCTAGTCCAGATCGCTATTTTTCTGGTCAGCGTTTTTGCCATCCATTCTTCGAATGGAACAGGCAATATATATTGTTTGCAGTGGTGAGCCTCCCCACACCCCTCCCTTTCTACTCTCATTCACTATTATTGTGATAAACAAGAAGGGAAAGTGTGGCAGTTTATTCGATCAGGAATGTCATGGAGTCTTGTCAAAAGCAATCTCCATTTTCTCAGTTTGGTCCCCATCGTGTAGCGTAAACCAATAGTAAGTATCCATCAATTGTATGGCTGACCCACTAGGTACCAAATTTCCAAACAATATCTATCTGCATACCGTCGCGGGGTGCTTCTCGCAGTGGATTATATGATTTTGTTGCTACTTCCAAAACCACGATATAACATGCTCCAACTCGTAGCAAGGTCTTTAAATCTGTCAAGATGCTGGGGATAGATCGGTGTCGTATTGTGGCTTATTCCTTAGTGCTGTATAACACGACTGATATCATTCCTTCTTATCATACAGGACATTTGATTCACAGTACGGAGGCGTTCTCTCCAATGAACGTCATTGCCATATATGACTTCTTCTGAAAGGCCAGTTTGAAGGCCACGACGCTCACTACGCACAGGATGCTTCCGCATCTTATTTCTTGAGCAGGTCAAGGTCTGGATAACCCCTTTGTGATCCTAACTGGATCCAGCTATAAACGGCTGAGCGACATACCAGAAAAGCAGCCTGTCATCAGCTTAGCCTTAAGATCCCACGGGGGAGGGCGTAGATGATACGCTTTGGAAACTGTCGCTGGGGGTTGGGCAGATGTCAACTTATGGTGCTGATGTCACATCTCTATCGCGCAAATTGTGCTGTTAAGCGCGGCAGGTGGTGCTTCGTGTGCCGCCTGTTAAATGCGAACCGAGAAATGAGCTAGCATGAATCCCGATGTGCACTGGTCGTGTAACCTTTCATACCCATTGGGATGACCTGCAAATATGTGGCAGTGATACCTCCTGGACGTTGGTCAATCGGTATGCGCATGCGCATATCGTTGATCCTGTCTGGTATGATTGCTGCGAAGTGCTTTGCCCTTGTCCTCTGGGTGAAGGGACGCACGCACATAGCCAGGCCTCCTGGATTCATCAGGCGAGTTCCTTTTGCGTACGAAGAGATGTCTGTGCTATGAAGACGTCCGTCCTTTGTTCGTGTCGGAGCTCGCGTTTCCTCTGGAAACGTGAAACCTAGTCCAGACTACTCTTTCACTGGTCTTCGTTGCTATCCTTTCTTCCCTGAACGTCAAGAAGGCCAAATACCGTCGATGCGCTGAGTACATTTTCAGTGGCGGCCCTTCTATTGTGAGTCATTTCAGTGCCGTCCCACCTTTTTCTTTCTCACTCACTGTGGGTTTGTTCGATACTTGTAGAATAATAGAATACCTGTGGCAAATCAGAGTGTACATGTTTATAGAGCTGCAACCGCATAAAAATGTGATCACGTCCGGTATACTGAAATACTGCCGGATGCTCAACGTAGATGTCAGCTGGTTGATAATATTTGAAGAACCCTAAAAGATACTCGTGGTATGAAGCCCGTTGCTACCAGCTCGTGGGTGACCGCTGTTTGCTGTATCCAAGATAGCTCGGTTACTCCCACGTAACGGGTATCAGAGTGTTATCGTCATCTAAGCTTTATAGTGGGTAAGCGGAAGGCTTTGAGAAGGGAATTGCACCTGACGTTATTGGGTGGTTTTGGTTTATTAATGAAATAATCTCGTAGGTCTTTTTCGAACCACCAGTAAGTTTGATTCCGCTAATAATGGAATGATGCAGATGCTGTCATGCTTTTTGGCGGTGTACGAACTCCCCCATCTCTGTGAGTACACTAGATTCTATTCTTCCCTTTTCACAGACATACACCGTCGTATTTTTATCGCTTGCTATCCCAACCATATCATCCTGAACTACCTCCGAGTCATTAGCGGTCTATATACCGTCATATTGCATCGCTTTTAGATCTCCCCAACATTCGCAACGCTTCATCTCAGCGGTAATACAGACATATCTTACAGGTTCTAACGCTCCATGTCCGATGGACGTCCTTGTGTCTACTCAACAATCTGTTCCTTCCAGTGACCTCATCGATAAGATATGCCGCGGAGTTTCTACAATGATAAGATTTCGGACTTCCAAATCTCCTTTCCTCTATACCAGCTCAAAGGCCACGATTGCTCACCACGCACAAGATGTTTTTGCATCTTTTATTCGTGAGCGGGCTAAGGTCTGAGTATTTCAATCATTCCTTGATCGACTCTAGCTGAGTCCAGCTGTAACTGGCTGAGCGACGTACCAGAAAATCAGCTCATCTGTCCATTATCCCCAAGATCCTACTTGTACTAGGGGAGGGTAGGATAGATGGACTTTGGGAAGCGTTGCGAGGATCGGGTGGATGGTTCATTCCAACGGATACGTTCTCCACATTTCTATCGCGCCCGCTTGCACTTTGCAGGCAGCAGATATGTGTTTTACCTGCTCAAACGTCTTTCTTTCCGAACTGGCCAAGCAGCCCAATTCGGTTGCTCTCAATACGAGCTTCTTCAGTATGCTCCTTCGCTACGATTCTGCGGCGTGCATTCCGATTGGTCATGTTTCGGATGGAGCCACCTGAGCCTATCAATCTCAGAGCTCCTGGCGTACGAGTTAATTGGATGTTGGCGTAACGTTGGAAGAACCTCTATCCTTGAGTTCACTTCGTGGCTCGCGTCTTTTACAGACCGCGAAACTCGATTCAGACTACTCTTGAGCTGGTATGCACCAATTTTTTCTAATTTCTCTCCTTTGTGGAGACATGAAGAACATGGTTTTGTTGTGGGATTGTGGCGTGTAGGTATGTCACCAATTATATTCTTGCATCGATTAACTGCGATCACATTTCTGTTGTTACTAGGCTATACGTCATGTGTTGTACAGGAACATATCTCGTACCTGTTGCTATATGTTATCCATACCTCTATAGGTCCATAATTATAATTGTATAATTGCAAATACGGTATCTGACCCACTGTATGTGGGTCTTAGATGATGAGATGATAACACATCACAGTGACGAACATATCCACGACAAGACTAGCGAAGAAATTTGTAAGGAATTGCCGTTCTGCTCGAGGCTAAAATATTGCACAAAATGATAGTAACATTGGGCTGAAGTGGATGCCTTAAGCTTAGTAACGCCATGAGTCACGTTGAAAAACATGATAGCCTAATTGTATTTGACTAAATTACGAAAAGATCCTAAACATCACCGCAGACAATTGGCATTGGACCAGGAATATTTTGATACACATTCGCATTCAATTTTTGAAGGACCGAAACGTTCCTCACTCAGCACTCGGACTCCGAGTCGAATGACCTGAAAACCATGGCTTATCAACACCTTGACTTAGTAATGTTGTTCGCATTATATATAGACAGAGATTTGGCACGCCATGCCGATATTCCATCTTCTCTGTCCACTCTCAACTATCTGCCATGTCCACGACGATAGCAAACAAACCTTTCCCTGGTATCTCGTACTTTACACCTGCTCAAGTTCCTGCTGCAGGGGCTGCATTCGACCCTCAACCAGACGGGAAGCCCATCCCGAAGTTATTTCAGCCTCTTAAGATTCGCGGGACCACGTTTCACAACCGTATATTCGTGAGTGAGAAGGATGTCTCGACGTATCTGCCTACTGATCATTTGTCCGCACTGTCTTCAGCTATCACCCTTGTGCCAGTACTCAGCAGACGATGGGCACTTGACGGCCTGGCATCTAGCCCATCGTGAGTCATGTTCCTTATCTCAGCTATCACCTTGCTCACATGTTGCATTACTAGTGGGTGGGATATTCACGCGTGGACCGGGTCTAACAATCATAGAAGCAACTGCCGTCCTGCCCGAAGGTCGCATCACTCCTGAGGATTCCGGCCTCTGGAAAGACAGCCAGATTGAACCTCTTCGGAAGATTGTCGAATTTGCGCACTCGCAGAACCAGAAAGTGGGCATCCAATTGGCTCACGCTGGCCGAAAAGCTACGACAGTCGCTCCATGGCTCCACCCTCGACTTGTTGCAACTGAGATTGTAGGAGGGTGGCCGAACGACGTATATGGTCCTTCGGCGGTACCTTTTGACGATGACTGCCCCACCCCGAAGGAGCTCACTAAGGAGGGAATCGATGCCGTCGTTGTCGCTTTCGTTGCTGCAGCGAAAAGGGCACTACGAGCAGGTGTTGACGTTATTGAGATCCATAATGCACATGGATATCTACTGTCCAGTTTCTTGAGTCCGGCATCCAACAAACGAACAGATGAGTATGGAGGCTCGTTCGAAAATCGCATTCGACTGACTCTTCGAGTTGTCGATGCTGTCCGTGCGGTCATCCCTGAAGATATGCCGCTCTTCTTGAGGTCAGTCAAGCCTTTCTCGATTTATATCTTGTTTTACTTATGTATCGTGACACAGGGTATCAGCAACTGACTGGCTTGAGGAAGCACTTCCCGATGAGCCATCATGGCGCGTAGAAGATACGGTTAAACTTGCAGGAATTTTGGCCGACCATGGCGTAGACTTTCTAGATGTATCCAGCGGTGGAAATCACACGAAGCAGGCGTTTAAGGGTGTTGGAGCGTTTCAAGCACCATTTGCGCATGCAGTTAAACAGTCTGTGGGCGATAAACTGATTGTGGGGGCGGTTGGATTCATCACGGACGGTCATATTGCCCAGGACATTTTGGATAAAGGACAGGCAGACGCCGTCCTTGTAGGACGACAGTTCCAGAAGAACCCAGCTAGTGTTTGGGCGTAAGGAACTTCACTCTTATGGTTTTAAAAAAGGTACTCATAGACTTTAAATTCTTAGATTCGCAAGCGATCTCGAAGTAAGTATCAAAATCGCTCATCAGATAGAGTGGGGTTTTGCAGGAAGGGGAGGAGGGCAACGCAAGAGACTTGAGTGGTAGATTCCTGTGTATGTTTTCTGTGGGCTTATAATTGATACCAACGTAGGAACAGAATCAAATTCAAATTGTAGAATAATGTTTGGCAGTTTTCTTTGTGTCTGGTCGATGTAGGATTGGTGCGCTTTCTCTAAAATCATTTTCGTGTGTCCATAGTACCGCGATAAGAATTTCCGTGAAGAAACCGAGTCATTCTAACGACAGAGTATTCAATCGGGATAGCAAGCTTAAGCAAATTCCAAATTCCATCTGCAACAACAAGAGCTGTACATGGCATTACATAATCAGTAATCGGGGTCAACAACGCGTTGGGAACAAATCTCCTAAGGGGCACAATGTGCTGTGTCAAAGGAACAAATGTGAGTCACATTAAAAAATTGATAGCGTAGTTTTATTTGACATATTTACAAGTCCTAGAAATCACTGCAGACAATTGGCTTGCTTTTGGACGGGGTCCAGGAATCTTCTGATACACATTTTGATTCAAGTTTAGAAGGGCCGAAACTTTCCGCACTCAGTAGAGTCATTGTGACTCGAATGGCCTGAAAAGTATGGATTATCAACACCTTTACGTTGTTCGCATGATTTATACGGAGATTTGGCACGCCATGATTCCATATTCTCTGTATTCTTCCCCTCTCAACGTTCTCAACTATCTGTCATGTCCACGAAGATAGCAAACAAACCTTTCCCTGGTATCTCGTATTTTACACCTGCTCAACATCCTGCTGCAGGGACTGCACTCGATCCTCAACCAGACGGGAAGCCCATCCCAAAGTTATTTCAGCCTCTTAAGATCCGCGGGACCACATTTCACAATCGTATATTTGTGAGTGAGAAGGATGTCTCGAGACATATCCACCTACTGACCATTTATTTGCATTGTTTTCCTTCAGCTATCGCCCATGTGTCAGTACTCAGCAGACGATGGGCACTTGACGGCCTGGCATCAAGCCCATCGTGAGTCATGTTTCTTATCTCAACTATCACCTTGCTCACAACGTTGCATTAGTGGGTGGGATATTCACGCGTGGACCGGGTCTAACAATCGTAGAAGCAACCGCTGTCCTACCCGAAGGTCGCATCAGTCCTGAGGATTCCGGCCTCTGGAAAGACAGCCAGATTGAGCCTCTGCGGAAGATTGTCGAATTTGCGCACTCGCAGAACCAAAAAGTGGGCATCCAATTGGCTCACGCTGGCCGAAAAGCTACGACGGTTGCTCCATGGCTCCGCCCTGGACGTATCGCAACTGAGAGTGTAGGAGGGTGGCCGAACGACGTATATGGCCCTTCGGCGGTACCTTTTGACTCCGACTTCCCCATCCCGAAGGAGCTTACTAAGGAGGGAATCGATGCCGTCGTTGTCGCCTTCGCTGCTGCAGCGAAACGGGCACTACGAACAGGTGCCGATGTTATTGAGATCCATAATGCACATGGATATCTGCTGTCCACCTTCTTGAGTCCGGCATGCAACAAATGAACAGATGAATACGGGGGTTCATTCGAAAATCGCATCCGACTGACTCTTCGAGTTGTCGATGCTGTCCGTGCGGTCATCCCTGAAGATATGCCGCTCTTCTTGAGGTCAGTCAAGCCTTTCTCAATTTGTCTCTTACTTTACATTTACTTATGTATCGCGGCACAGGGTATCAGCAACTGACTGGCTTGAGGAATCACTTCCCGACGAGCCATCGTGGCGCGTAGAAGATACGGTTAAACTTGCAGGAATTTTGGCCGACCATGGCGTAGACTTTCTAGATGTCTCCAGCGGTGGAAATCACTCAAAGCAGAATGTTAAAAGTATCGGAGCGTTTCAAGCGCCATTTGCGCATGCAGTCAAGCAGTCTGTGGGCGATAAACTGGTCGTTGGAGCGGTTGGAGGCGTCACGGACGGTCATATTGCCCAGGGCATATTGGATCAAGGGCAGGCAGATGCCGTCCTTGTAGGACGACAGTTCCAGAGGAACTCAGCTAGTGTGTGGGCGTAAGGAACTTCACTCTTATGGTCTTAAACACATGTACTCATAGACTTCGGATTATTAGGTTCGCTAGTGATCTTGAAGTAAGTATTACAGTCGCTCATCAGATGAGAGTGGCAGCAGTTTCTGGGAATGTGATGAGGACAACGCAGAAGGCTTGACTGGTAGATCATATGGCAATTTTTATTGTGTTTGGTCAATGTAGGATTGATGTGTATTCTCTAAGGTCATTTTCGTGTGTCCATAGCACCGCGATAAGAATTTCCGTGAACAACAAACCGAGTAATTCTAACGCTACAACTAATAGCTAATAAATGTAGATACAATCCCATGTGTATGTGCGATAGACGGTATGAAGATAATGAGGGGTGATTGACAAACTAATATAATCCTTATATGCATGTCCCTTTGTAAAACATCAAACACAAAGCATCCTCGATACAACCTCTACTCCAGTTCCACTGCCATTACCAGATAAAACTTCACCAGCACACTCGTAACCATGCTCAAAAGGCTTCGCGAAAAGTGGATTGGTCACGACAGTCCCATAGTCTTCTTCGTCATCATCATCTTCGCCGTTCTCGCCAGAGAAGTAGATAATCGACGGGCGAGTCTCCATGTGTTCATCATGGTCCTGCCTTGCTTGACATTTTTCTGCAAGGGTGGCAGTAAGATCCGTGCTAGCAGAGACAACAGCTTGCATGGACGCATGGCGCAGTGCCTGGTCGCGCTGTACTAGGCCGATCAAAAGCTCCCAACGAGCATACCAGCTAAGCTCCCAGGGCCTTGCACCATTCCAAAAGTAACCTGCAGCTGGCGTTCCAGATCCAAACACAGGCTCAGGAAGTTTCGTAGCTACTGAGCCCTTTTTCGGCGAGCCAAAGGGAGACTCGTCTTCGACAAGGGTTTTATCGTCGTCAATGAAAGTCGATAGCGATTGAGAAGATCCGACGTTCTCTATATATTCAGTGTCTTCAGCTTCAGAGTGGGTCTGAGATGGGGTATCTTCAAGTTTTTTAGGAGCGTGCTCAGGCTGAGCAACCCTTTGGTGCATATCGAAAAGATATAGCATTTTGTGAATGGTCCACAGAGGGAACTGGCAGAAGCAGCGGTCGACGTTGACGGAATATGCGTCTCGAAGGGCTGTTACGTCGCCTATACGCGGGTAAATTGGTGCGTTCATGTTTTGAACAAAACGATTTTGGGATTGGACTGGAACGTCTCTGTCTAATCCAGATGACGGACTGCGCGAGTGGGGGTCTTCCTCTGAACATGTAGGGGCTGGGCACGAATTTTCTGCATCTCCTGCTCGCAGCTTACATTCATCCTGACGCGCCTGCCACTCCACCCACTCGTCGTGTCGTGAACTCCAGAACCATTTTTGGTGCATTAGAGCGCTGCGGGAGAAGCCGTGGTGAGGATAGGCGAGGCGCAAGGCTTGCTTCGCGCTGGGAGAGAGGGGAATAGGAAGGGAGGAAGTATTTTCGGGGGTAGTCGCGGTTTGAGCTGTCGGTCTGACTGGCTCTGGAATGTGAGTTTCGGATGATGTACAGGGTACATTTTTGGTGGGAGGAGGGGGAAAGACGATTTGGTATGAAGTTTGGTCTTCGTCTGAGAGCGACTCGGAGTCAGAGTCGTCAGAGCTAGAGTCATCTTCCGACTCTAAGCCAGACGAGTACCTCCAGCAGGTGAACGAGCTATCTGGGTTTGTATCCTGTGTAAACTCTTCGTCGGTGGGATGTCGTGTTTCTGAGTCGTCTTCGAGGAAGAAACGACGCGTTTTGTTTTTGCGAGACGCCGCCTCTGCTTCTTCGCAGTCTGAGTCCTGCTCAAGCTCTAATGAGCTCTCTTCCGGGACCTGATCTAATCTGAAACCAAGGCGCGTCGGACACCTTGGTGGAACATCCACACCAAAATCATCCGCGGAAATGAATGCTGTGAATGATGAGCTCGACGAGGATGTGCTGGCAGATGCCCCGTCTGCGATGTCGCTTTCGTGAGCGGAGGCCATGGTAGAAGGAGAGATAGAGAATAGGCTGGGACGTCGTAGGACGTTAGCGAGCTATGTTTCGCGGTTAGAAAATTCAAATGAAACAAAGGGCGAAACAGACGCGAGAGACCAAACAGAGACAAAGCGTGGAAGCGCGTCGCACATCACGTGGATTGATTTCTTATTGGCCACAGTTGAGACACGTGCAAGTTATGCCACTCCGAGTCAAGCACTTCTCATTACTGCTTACTGATTACAAAATTCGTGCACAACCTCTGATCTTCACAAACACGAAACAAAAATATCTAAATCTTTTCATCAGCAATTTCATCGTCATCCACCTCCCTCTTCTCTTCGATAGACTCTGGTTCGTCGTGCGGCAGTGTAGGGAGGGGTTTGCGAACAAGCGATACTCTTTTCAAGCGCATCTTGTTGCTACGCTGTGGCGAGGGCACCATGTACCCATTAAGACACGCCACCAAGCTGAGCCTTTGGGCAAGGGAACCCTCTACAGAAGGTGAGAGCGATGGCGAAGACGATGGTGCAGGGACGACCTGAACTAGTTCCTGCGTTTCTACACTATGGATCTCAATAGTACCATTGACGAGAAGAGTGGCGATATATGGATAATCCAGACCTATTCGTGGGCGTTGAGTAACACACTGCAGATGACTTCAAATTGACTTACAGATCGCCTCTGGGTGACTTGGCCACTGCAAAGTGCCTCGTACAGGTTCTCCATTGCTATTCACGAAAACTCCAAGTGTCCCGGTTTCTGTGAATGATAGAGCTAGAAATTCGAAGCTGTCAATCACAGTGATAAAAGGCTTGACGGGCTGGGTATTTTCGAAGGCTTGCGAAAGGGGAAGCAAAGGGAATAATGATGCATCTTCAAGGTCGATGATGTTGTAAAACTCTTTGTCTGCGACACACACATAGCGCCCTATACGTCTAGCGAGGGTAGCCCCCTGAGGGAGGGGTATCTCCTACAAGTACACATATTATAAGAACACCATGCAGTCATAACAGCATAGTTCTCCCTCACCTTCTGAAAAAAGAGCCGTTCGCGAAGGCTGTATAACGCAATGTTATTCCGTTTAATGACACAAAACTCAATAGGATCGACCTTTGCGGGCGGATCTGAGAACGAGGGAGCAGGTCGCTGCAAATGCAAATGATCAACTGTGAAAGTGACCACGTTTCGAATGGGCTTGATTGAAGGTGACACGGGATCGAGTGATGGAATTGTGTAAAAATGAATTTGATGGTCTGCTTGTTAAGCATCAGGGCAAAAGGTCTAGACTGGCCGAAAATGTGTGACTTGCCAGACAAAACGAGGGCACGAGATATACATGGGACAAGTACTATCTCTTCTATGGGTTTATCATTTGGGAGGGTTTGGCGAGACAGCAGGGTGTATGATTCTGGCTGTCTATTAGTCAAATGAGGAGCAGTGAAGAGTAAAGATAAAGGACTGACTTTGGTCGGATCTTCGGCCTGTAGGGCATAGCGCAGCAAATCGCCATTTGAGCACCCAACATAGACTTCTAGTCCTGTGATAAGAGAACAGCACGATGCTCATGAGTCAGAGAATGCAAGGGTATGAACACCCAAACTCCGGGAAATGGGAGGAAGAAGAATGATGTGTGACTTACCTAAAGCCTGCGCCGAGGTAAGCAATGTTGGTGTTGATGAGCTCTCATTAATAGCTGCAATGAGCGGCTGTATTCGATAAGGGGGTACGTCTAATGCTTTTAGAGCCATGAAGAGTTCTGGGGTTACGCTTGGGGTTAATGGAATGTGTTCTGATGGAATGAGGGCTGTACTCGTGAGCTGGAACGAGGCAATGTTAGTAATTGTTGGGCGGACAGTTGACGTGTATGGCTGGACATGTGCACTCACCGATGGCTTATTGGCAGACTGAGAAAGGTTGCAGTGGAGCGCAGCTGAGGTTGAACGTCGCCGAAAAAGGAAAGTGTACGTAATTACGGATGGTTAGCCAGCTTCTTTGCGGGTGAACGTAATAGACAATTTCCGTCTGCTATCGACCCCGGCGTCATGCGTTCCCCTTCGCTTTTAGCCCGCAACACCCAGCTCTCCTTATCCCCCCCCCACAGACGCGTCCCTTTCTTTCTCTGAACCACAATGTCCCACTCAAGGAGGACGTCGTTCTCTATCGTCAAGACTGATTCTTCACCAACTCTCTCGCCCATTATTGGAGTGGAGTCCGAGGACTGGATATCTGCCTGGAAACACGTATACGCAAGAGGCATGTCGTCTGACGAGCGCTATGCACCACCATTGACTGTTCTTTTTTTCAAGACTTAATCGACTCCCGAATCGTTGCTGTAGATGCCGAGACCAGTGTGGAAGACGCTTGTGACGTGAGTGCAATACCAGCGTTGTGGCGCTTTCAGTTGCTTAACCTCTGATGGACCACAGACTTTGTTAACGGAAGACATATATTGTCTCGCCGTAAGGACCCCTTCAACGAGTCCATCAAACTCTCCATATATGGGTCTATTCGACGTATGTAACAGCTACACTGACACTGGCTACAGCATCACTTATACAACGAACAATACAGTATTCAGACGTTAACGCATTCTTAACGCTGGCTGCAACAAGACACACTATATCTCCAGAGGAATTGCGAGCAAACCCTCGCGTCGACCAAATCGTTGCAGCAGCCAAGGCAGGACAGGTAGCCGTCCAGCTCGTCAGCAGTGAGTAGAGTAGCGCGCTTTTATTACTGCGCTGGCTTAACTTGTTCATTTCCAAGACTTATCCGAGAAGAATTTCTTAGAAACTTTGCCTTATAACGCCGATCTTATCGCACTACTCGGTGTATTTTCTCGTGGTACTCACAGGGGTACGCTATATTTTCACTGTACGACGTGTAAAAACTAACAAATATATGGCTTTTAGTACTAATCCAGTGCCCTGCACCTTCTGCAGGCTATCTCGGAACAGTCTCTGATCGCCGTCTGCTCTCCTGGTTTTCCGCCTACGCCAATCAAACCCCTTCCTTCCAGAGATACTTATCCAATCCTCTCTCTTCCTTGTCCTTACCATCCTTAAATATGTATGCTTCTGTGGTTGCCACGATATCCACTGCCTATCTGCTCGATGCTATGAAACTCATGAGCGAGCAGGGTGTAAGTAGCGTTGCTGTCATTGACGAGGGGTTAGGGACGCTCTTGAGTGCTGTCAGCGTGACAGATATAGGAAAGGTACGTGTTGGTGCCACTATGCTGTAATAGGCAGTAAACCTTATTTCAATAGATCGTCGTACCCTCTCAGAGCAATCACATACTCTCAACGCCACTGCATCAGTTTATAACCCAAATAAAGGTGAGTTTAGCAAGCATGAGCCCAAATATACTGACGCAGCCAGATGTAGGAGCCAGATGGATCGATGGACGGTGTAGACAAATATCCAGGTATGTACTCGCCGCATCCTGCGTTTCATTGGCTTATCTCTTTATCTGTAGTATATATGGTGATGCCTTCCAGCACACTCTCGTATACAACCCAGAAGCTCCTCGCTAGTACGTTCTTCAGGCATTCTAGTTCCACGACCTTCATTCCATTGTTCAAATTTTAGCAAATGCCCATCGGCTTTTTATTACAAATGACCGTCCTCCTTCGCCATCATCGGTATCAGGGAGCTCAGGTAGCCCTTGTGGTATAGTTTCTATCGTTGACGGTACGTGCTGCTTGGCCACCCACGCATCATTTACTGATTGCACCTTCCTTAGTCCTATCCCTTTTTGCTCGCATAGCTAATGTCCCAGACGTTGACCCAACACATCGCCAGCGCAGACGTGCATCTTCCTCGTCATCTCATTCCTCTCTATCTGCACACGACCTAGCCAGGTCGAGATCAAGTAGCCGTACCAGCCTGCGACTGAGTGCAAGCCCGAGGATCAAGCCAACCGGTATTCCAGGAGATAGTCATCGAAACTCTATTTCGAGTTTAGATTCGTTCCAGTGGGCAGAGAGGGTTCCAAAGCGGGAGTAGAGTTTATCCTCGAGTTGATATTCTTTGTGGTTTCTGCTAACCCCAAACGTACTGTACAATTATTGCATGGACTGTTGTAGTTATAGTTTGCCTCGGATTCTGTAGGGTGAAATACATGGCACGGTTGATGACATCTTCACATCGGGTCAAAACCCTAGCAGTGACAGGAGTTACGGCATTGGAGCAAGCTACTTCCTTTCGGCCGATTCGAAAAGAAAAAGTAAAGCTGGTCCGACCTAACGTGGATTTCATGATCGAGTCACGATAAAACTGTTCGAAATGACCTTAGTAATTCCGTTTTTCATTCTTCTCAACTCTGTCAGTGCACACGATGAGCCCAGTTGCAACTCTTACCGCCGTGAACAACAATGATACCCTCGGTTTAGCTGTTCCACCTTTCACTCCTCACGCCATCTCTGTTTCGTTGCCAACATGGCGAGATAATGTCGAGTATGAGGCCGGTGATAAACGAGTGATTGATGTGATGGTCTCGGGGTACCCTAGGTTCTTCATACACCTGAGCATACAAAAAGTACGTCCCACCATGCTCAGTACCCAGCGTCGTCGCTTATTCCTGCACTGAACATTCTTTCCCCAGCTTGCGCGTATATGTGAACAGAAATTTGGTGTCAAAGGCGAACTGTGTCTTCTCTGCCCCTCCAAGAAAGTTGCAGACCACTGCCGTGCCTATATCATTGACAGATCCTCACGATTAGGAGCCGCAGTGCCCGTCCGACTTGTGCAGTATCTCCTCTGTCCAGAAGACACCTCAGGCGCATCCACCACCGAGTCAAACACGAGATCACTATCCCAGCACTGTGTCGAGCTGCACATCGTCCTCTTTCCTGCGGATGCTTTCCCCTTAGCTAAGCAGTTTTGGCAGCACAGTGGTCTCACTGTGTCGAGTCGACTCGCAGAACACTGTCTTTCTCTCATCCCGGAGGCTGTTGAACCCCCCAAATCTCCTCGGTCTCCCACGTCGCCTGTACACTCCCGTTCCCCATTCAAGGCCCTGAATAAACATTACTCCGTCAAAAGCTCGCCAAAGATACCGCAAGTCTCTCCCGCAAGCACGTCACCGCCACCCCCTCATACAGATTTCTCAGAGAGCTTGACAAAAGATCAGGATACGTATGTGGAAGAGCGATATGGACGCAATCTCCCTGTGACCGCGGGAGAGTTTGCAAAACGGGCGCTTCGCAGACGCATCGCAGGTGTACTTGTTTCCGATGATACTCCAAACAATGGTGCATCGACTTCAGAGTTCTGCGCTGGAGCCCAAGATGTTGAAGTGGGGCCGAGCAGCAGAGGTGTGCGGGAAGTCGCAGAGGACGATGTGTATCTCTTTCCTACTGGGATGGCTGCCATATGGAACGCCCACCAACTGGCTTTGAACATCCGGCCTCCAGCTAAAAGCGTCTGCTTCGGGTACGTCTATCTTATCCAACATTTTATCAGCCAAAGGCCGCGGCTGACGGTTTTTTGCTTTGCTTCTGCTACGCAAAGTTTTCCTTACACTGATACACTAAAAATACTCGAGAAATGGGGTCCTGGTTGTCATTTCCTAGGCCGCGGACTTGACGAAGATATCGATACGCTGGAACAGATTTTGGAAGAAGAATCTCGCATCTCAAGGCCAGCTTCTACTCCACCCATTACCGCGCTTTTCACCGAATTCCCATCCAACCCTCTCCTGCGTTGCGCGAACCTTCCCAGACTTCGCGCTCTGGCGGACAAGTATGACTTTTTGCTCGTGGTCGATGAGACGATAGGCAACTTTGTGAATGTGGAGGTTTTGCCTTTTGTCGATATCGTGGTCAGCAGCCTGAGTAAGATTTTCAGTGGAGATGCGAATGTGATGGGCGGAAGGTATGTTGTATCACAGCAGATTATGATCCACAGCTCACGATTCTATTACCAGCCTTGTTCTCAACCCCGCTGGTCGACATTATTCTGCGCTGAAACGTCAGGCAGCCAGCTCTTATGAAGACCTCTTCTTCATCGAGGACGCAGTATTCATGGAACGGAACTCGCGCGACTTTAAGCGACGCGTTCGAATCATAGATTCTAACACGGAAGCTGTATGCGATTTCCTGAGATCACGCTCAGTGGCAGGAGGGTATGCGAACTCACCAGCCATCAACGAGGTCTATTATCCGAAATGGATCGCTCGAGAGAACTACGAGTTATGTCGGATTAAAGACTCTTCAGGCCGGCCAGATGAGAAGGGAGGAGGCTTTGGTGGATTGTTTTCGTTGGACTTTACCTCCGACGTCGCGTCTCGTGCGTTCTTTGATGCCCTTCCGTGCTATAAGGGGCCGAGCCTTGGGACGAACTTTACACTTGCGTGTCCCTATACGGTCCTTGCGCACTTTACTGAGTTGCAATGGGCCTCGGAGTATGGAGTGGACGAGGGGCTGGTGAGGATTAGCGTTGGGATGGAGGAGAGAGGCGTGCTCCTGAGAAGTTTTGAGGTTGCTCTGAACGCTGCAGAGAGTGCTACTCGATGATACGAGTGGTGTTATGACGAGTGCTCGGCGTTGAGGTGAATATACTCCCACTATCGTATACCAAAGCACATCACTCATGCAGTCGCTGAAAAGGAAAATGGGTTTCAACAATCCATTGTGACAGTTCATCCCTTCTTGTGTTTATGTTTATAGATTACTCAGTAATACAGCTGCTTTGGAGGTAGATGTCTCGTGCGCCCGGCCCATCAGCAAAACAACCGATGAGATATCGTTCGTGATGATGAACTGGATTCAGTGATGTCGACATGCTATGCTTGCACTCAAGATCAATAATTTTTGCTGTACAGGTTTAGCAAGGACACGACCAGGGTGTGGTTAATGTCAATGGGATTAAGCACATAACTCAGCTTGGTGACTTAGTTTATCCTAACAATAAACTTGAAGACAACTATATAATCTCCAGGAAAGGAAATAAGCAGATCTCGATAAGATTAATCTCGAGTACATGATATCATGCATGTGGTGAATCAAGACCTTTATCGCATTCGACCATGACCACCTCGCCCAACAACGACTGGGTCGCCCTGTGCGAGGCAAAACGAAACGCCCAAGCAGCGTCCATACCGCCATCCTGGGTGATCACACCACCGGCGCCGGATACCCAGCTCAACGTCCTCGATATCCCGCAGACATGCGGCCTGCTCACCCCACGCGAACTCGAGATAACAGAATTCGGCGCTCGCGATGTCTCTGAGCTCGTTGAGAAACTGGCAAAGGGAGAATGGTCTAGCGTCGAGGTGACGACGGCGTATTATAAGCGTGCTATAGTTGCACATCAAGTGGTCAGTCTATGTCGATCGATCGAGACCGGCGTCGTAGGCTTCCGTGATGCTAACATTACCATGTCTATTTATCTTCTGCTTCATAGACCAACTGTCTCACAGAAATATTCGTGGATCGTGCTCTAGCGCGCGCTAAGGAACTCGACGAGTATCTAGCACAGAATGGCAAACCTATAGGTCCTCTTCATGGCCTTCCCATGTCTCTCAAAGATCAATTCACCATGAAAGGCCTCGAAACTATCATGGGTAACATCCAAGTACTGTACAATTGGCTAGTCAACCTTACAGTTAACTATTACTATTACAGGATATGCGTCCAACATTGGCAAGTTTGCAGAAGAAGACTGTGTCCTCGTCGAGATGCTTTACGACCTTGGCGCAGTCCCTTTCGTGCGTACAAACGTCCCACAGACACTCATGGTATGTTCCTTCTTCATCCTATCTTATTTGACTCTGTCTAACTCCTGCTTACTCGCGTCTAGTGGGGCGAAACACATAATAATGTCTTTGGCCGAACTACGAATCCGTACAATCGCGGATTAACTCCAGGCGGATCCTCTGGTGGAGAAGGTGCACTCCTGGCCATGAAGGGGAGTCCTTTAGGTATAGGTACAGATATTGATGGGTGCGTCCCTATTAGTTCATATTTCACCTTCGCTATGGGCTTATCATCACTCTTTAGTTCCCTTCGGATCCCTTCTGCGTTTTGTGGCCTCTATACTCTACGCCCATCATACGAACGCTTGCCATACTATGGAGCATCCAATGCGTTGACTGGGCAAGAATCCATTTCTTCGGTCCTGGGACCAATGTCGACGTCCCTCTCTTCACTCAAATTGCTCACGCGATCACTGATTGACGCGCGGCCATGGGAGAAAGATCCCTTGGTCGTGAGGAAGAGGTGGTGCGAGGATGAGTATAAGCTGGTGGAACACGGGGGAGGAAAGGGGATGGTATTTGGGGTCATATGGGATAATGAGGTCGTTAGGCCGCACCCCCCGCTTGTTAGAGCGATGAAGTATGTGAAACAGGCGTTGGAGCGGGCTGGACACAAAGGTATGCAACTGTTTTGCCAAACGAATGTTTGCGGTATGACAACTGTCTGCATATTTTTTAAGTAATCGACTGGAAACCACTCAACCATATTGACATATATAAAAATGCTGTAAGTGCATCTCTCCTCCTCGCTTTCCATCTCATTAATCCCCTTCAGCAAACAATTTTGGTGGCGGATGGCGGAGAAGATTACAAGCGTGATTGTGCGCTTTCGGGAGAGCCCCTGATCACATCGATGAGCCCTGAGGCGGGCGCCCACCCAATACCTGGTGAGGCTGCTCATAGCATGGAGCTGGAGGTTTCTCTCGTGAAGACACTAGTCGGTCCGCCGAGATCTAGAACGGCCTATGAGGTGAGCTAGTCATTCCGCAAAGCAACGTCCGATGACTGAGCATTATATTTCCCCTGTGCTCCCGCACCATTCATATTGATCCCAGCTCTGGCAACTTCACAACGAGAAGCGTGCCTTGCGCAAAGCGTACCTAGATCATTGGAATTCCACGAAGAGTATTACAGGGACAGGAAGACCTGTCGACGCAATCATATCCCCTGCAGTAGCGTATACTGCAGTGCCACACGGGCTTAACTAGTGCGTGATCGACTTGCTCAAACGCTGACACCTACATCGTTCCTGTTCTCATGACAATGTGCTGATATCGCGTTTGTACCCACGCAGTGACTCCTTTTACACCACTCTTGGAAATTCGATGGATTACGCGTGTTCTGGTTTCCCGGTGACTTTTGTTGACCCCAAGCTAGACGTGCCGCTGCCTCCACACGAGTTCCATAATCACGAAGACGAGGCGTTTTATAAACTATGTAAGTTTTTAACTCTATGCTATTTTGACGATTTACGAGCTATATATATGCTGATAATCCTACCTAAAGATCATCCTGATCTGTTCCCTGGTGTTCCTGTTGGGCTTCAGCTCATCGGCCGGACACTTGAAGAAGAAGCGGTCATTAGGATGACTGAGATTGTGGATTCGGCGTTGAGGAAATGGAAGGGGGAGAATGGACTTCAGTGATGACGGATAATTTTTTGAGATGCTTGTGCTATGTGCATTGCTGTTCAGATCTTTCAGATGGTGATGCCGAGCGCCCTCTAGCACGTGAAACTACATTAGTCAGCAAAGCTTAGATAAATGCCGGCCGCGGCTTTCTGAATTGACGAGCCGCTGAATCAATATTCCCATGTGCGACCCGAGTGCTTGGATGAGAAAGTAGAGTGCACAGTCTTTGAATCATTGATTAGAATGGACAGCTCAATGTCTCGATGTCGCTATGCTCCCAGGGCTGGATGTCATCAAAACAAGCCTGAGCAGCACAGGCTCATAGTACAGGCTAACTTTCTTTATGATCGCCGCTCCTTCGAACTCCAAGTTTGTTCTATGGGCTCAATGTCTCTAAATCGTCGCGATTTGCGCAAGCTCGAAGATCGAATGGGCCCACAGTGATCACTGTGACGGAGCTGTTTAAAAATGGACGACTGGATCATGATTGTGGTAGTCAGGGCTAGGCACCTTTTTTCAAACATATTATCACAAGGTGTACACACATTCAGTCACTTGTTTGTAGTTTCTGTTGATACAGTGTTGCACGTGTGTTACAGGAAATCATACAAGGGTATATCGTGCATAGTGCTGAAACGTCAGCGCTTAGACTCTGCTGTGTGTATTAGCGCGCGATCTTATATTTAAACAAATCACACGGGCATCCGGTCAACAATCTGACGATCTCTGTGATGAAATTACCTGCAACAATGCAACCTTCTTCCGATAATGGACAGTAGCGTCATTTCTACTCGGATCCTTACTAACAGTGTTGCGATCTGCTCGTTTTTCCCTCGTTTTTCTTCTCAAGTTTCTATGGAGTTACACATAAGGCAACCGACGATGCTTCAGCCATGCAAAGGCACAAAGTACCAGTACGTTATGCATATGATTTACAGCACACACAGCTCCTGATGTAGTACTTGTGCTTCTTAACTTGAATCTAGACGCTTCAGCGCCCAGATCGCGATCTTCCGAGTCCCAAGTGCACACACGCAGAGATCTTCCCATGCAGTGTAGTGTCTGAGGATGGATGGGCGGATCTTCTGGAAAGTATCCATTAACCACGCACACACTCAAAAATCATGCAACTCGATGGTATCCACGAGAAGCTATCATGATCTCACGATGAGATGTACAGGTGCCTTGTGTTATATGCAGCGGCAGAGCGACAATCAAGCAACTTTATACCGGCGGATGCTCAACTGCTATGTAAAGATGGTTTAGACAGCATATGCCGCTTTCTCGATCCAACAATGATCATACTACCAGTGGCCTCCATCACCCGCAAACAACCTATACACATTATTAAACACAGCTGAGTCCGATCATCACCAAAGACTCTTTGCCTGATGGACCAAAATATACGCAATTCCTCAAGGTCCCCACGCTAAAATTGTTCAACCAAGTAGTGCGCTTATTCTTGTTCATCGCGGTTTTCGGTTGTGGCTGACTTTTTCTATAGGGGATGAGGTTACTGTTAAGGACGAAAAGGACGACATGCTTTACTCGAGTTAAATCGGTTGTAGCCAGTGCATTCCTGTTTTTTAGATGTGGAAATGAGAGTGTACCATCATTATCATTTCACAGGTCCTATACATAGTCTGCTGACCGGTCAGCAGCTATCAGAGCCCAAAAATAGTCCGACGCACTGTTTAAACCTTCGCTACCATCATTAAAGCGGGGTTTGCGTCTTCACAGCTTGATATGATCGACCTCTGGCATCATCTTTTCATCTCGACACTGCACATTATGGCGCTTGCTTTCGAGTATATAATGTTACTGGTGAAGTACTCATTCCATCAACGTACCACTTCATTCCATCAACATACCATACTTCATTCATCTACATACTCCTCAATGTCTCTCGCAAAGCAGCAAGGACCCGTTGGACTGCCAGTCAGTGTTAGCAAAGAAGTTGAAGCAAGGTGAGCGGCAACTTACCTTGGGAGCCTTAGGATGCACCTCCTGATCGCTCTATATAACGATTTCAGAGAACTTGGGAAATCCATCATAATCTGCAACGTGGAGCCTTACAACCCAGAGGGGTCAGACGATGACAGCGATAGTGACTCGGATGATGACTCGGATGTTGACTGTAATGACCTGTTCGTACTGAAATTTCTTTGAAAGACAATTTTCACCAACTCTTGTATGGTCTATACAGGGAAGCAAGTGATACTGGGTGCTTTCGGCCTCGTGGGAGCGACACTTACAAAAAAGTAGTGGGGAACCCGAAGCCCACAAGGACGTGGAGGCTACCCTCTTTCTCCTCATCGAACTCAGACCCGTCGAGATCGCGACCACCCAACCAGAGGTAAATACGATCCTGGAAATAGTCTAAGGTGGACATGCTTCTGACTATGATCATGATTGACTATAGGTACCCTCCTGGCTTGCCACCACCCCCACTTCGCCCATATCCCATGCAGCCGTCTTCAGCACCTTTCCAGAGGTATGTGCAACTTCACAAAAGTGCCAAGATGATAATCTAATTATGGTTGCGACTTAAGCTATCCTCCGTCCTCTGATCCCCAATATCCTACTCGTCCGTATCAAACGTCCTCCCAGAGGTAAATACGATTCATGAAGTGTTCTTAATGCACGTGTCTGATGATGGTTTTACAGTTATAGTCAAAGCCCTGCCGTGGCATCAACCTCTTCCGCTTACCACCGTTCTACTCACGCAGTTTCGGTGCCTACCTGGAGGTAAATACGACGGGATATTTTAAGATTTTTCAGCCTCTAATTATGATTCTGTAGCTCTCCTCAAGTTCCTGCAGCATCATCCAGTTCTCACCAGGGATACAATCAAAATCCCGTCGCGCCATCCAGTCAACCTACCTACCAGCATACACCCCAGCAAGCACACTATTCGAACCCACCATCCGACCAGAGGTAAATACAATTCCAAAAATGTGCCTAAGGTGCACGTCGCTGATCATGATTCCACAGATATAATCAACGTCCAGTCGCACCTTCAGGTTATCCTATCCAGCATGCACCCCAGCCGTACAGAAACCCATCATTAGGTCAGGGGTGAGTACAATCTCGCATATGTGCTGAGATCCATGCCTCTGATAATGGTTCTATAGATATAGTCAAACGAGCCAGACACAGTCATACCCCACCAGTAGCAATATTTATGGGACCGCCCCTCCTTTGCCGCAAACGAGGAAGCCATCTAGGCCGTACTATCGTCGGTTCGATCACGACTAAACACCGTTATGTCTTTACGAATCGTCACGAATGTGAGGATCATGCTGCTGCTCCTTTATGATTAGCTTCGCCGCCCAGTACTAGTATATTTATGGCAAGCACGCAGTTGAAGGATGGAGACTTTTGGCATATTTATTTAATCTTTACTGTCTAGCAGTGCGATAATATATAATATAGCTTCTCTAGTATATACCATGTTTTTGACACGAACAATTATACCCCACTGTCTAGCAGTACGATAATATTTAATATAGCTTCTCTAGTATACACCATGTTTTTAACACGAACAGTTATACCGCCGATGCTTACAATCAGAGTTCGAGTCGGATTCAGAGTCCATGCTCAAAGGCATAGTCATCGAAGGTCGAGCGTTCGTAGTTAAAGCTTTTAAAGCTTGAATGGTCTTGGCTGGAGTGCAGTCAGCGCACGTGGTAGGTCTCAGGCTCCTCCCCGTCCACTGTTTCGAGGTTCAGAATGTATCCCACCTCAGGCAGGGACTTAATCCGTTACGTAAGGGCCTCAAAGACCTATTCTTTGTCGATGGGTTTAGGACCTTAATTATCCCCTCGCTGCCGAGGTTTCCCAGCCAAGTATATATATAGTATTTCTAAATACAGCGGTACTTGAACAACCCTCTGCAAACCCTCCTGTGGTGCCCTCTGGAGTTTGTAAAATATTTCTTTGTTCCAGGGGCCTTCTAGGGCAATACTTACAGCATTATTTCCATATAATGCATACTCTTTATGTGCTCGTGAAATGCTCTGTCAAACCTCTGTCAGACCCTCAGGCAACCTGTAGGAATCCTTCTGTGAAACCTCGTGAGAACCCTCCAGCCACTACTGTGTCCGGGTCAATCATCCATATATGGATATCCAGAGCACTACCTCCACAAAACATTACCGCTTTTGGAAGCAGCTGGCTCCATATGTTTGTTTTTTCGCTATTTCTGGGAATCTTAGCTTGTAGATATCACTTTAAACACCTATAGCATACTTAGCAGTGTATATTAATATTGCTCCACCTGACAGATAGTGTGTTTATGTAGCAGAATACCATCATAATTCAAAAAACATCGCCCAAAAAAGGAAATAAAAGAGGAAAGAGGGTTTTGGGAGGGTTGGACAGGTTATCACAGCTCATAATTAGGCTCTGGACATTATCCAGACCTTATAAATGATTTTTTGTAGAGAAAACTGGTGCTCTTTTGCTATGCACCATGTCAGAAACACCAAAACAATGATAAAAATAAGAAAAAACATAAAAAAGCGGAATAAAACATAGAATAGTGCATGATATAATATCATACAAGGTATAATAAGGTTGCAGAAATGTTTCAACATAGTGTATGCATCGTTATGGCTCGCATATATGTTAATCAGGCAAATGCATAGACCTCAGTGCTGAATTAAGGTGTATTTAAGGCTTTTATAACAGTAGTGATACTAAACTTCACTTCAACCCACATATCACGCCCTTGAGGGTAGAATATCCATCAGATAAGCATATATGCAAGCCATAAAGATGCATACACTATCTTGAAACATTTCTGCAACCTTATTATACCTTGTATGATATGACAAAACCGGATAAACCCGGTCTCTGCCGAAGCAGCCATTGTTCTCCTAGGAGCACAATTGTACTCCTAGGAGTCATTATACTGTAGCGAGTAGCACCTCCGACTATAAGTAGTAGGGGGTTTAGTATTGAAATACCTCAGTTGTTTCTATAGCCTCTTGGGCAGTGGCTGAGTTTCACATAGGTTTATTACTACCTACATTAATCCCATGTTCAGAGATTATCCTGTTGTGTGAGAAGCTCGAGATGGCTTGTATCACTCAAAGTGATGCAGATACCTCTTTGGAGCTGACACGTCAACTTCGCAAGTTTTGTGGGGTGATGCGGAGGAAGGAGTTGCAGAATGCAGAGCAAACAATGCTGGACCGCTATTGGCAGCAGTAGGTAGAGCCATAGATGAATGCCATGTCACAATGTTACACTATGTCACAAATTTGGTGCTGCATACTTCTCATGTTGCATATCGGAATGGCCGGCGCAAGTCGTATGCGCTATGAAAAAGTCTACTGTAGTCTGCACCACTAAACCAACGAGACTTCATTTTATTTCAAAGGCGTCATACACAGGTTCGTAACCTCACGAAACTTTTATTCAAACATACATGGCGCCATAGGTACCGGATCAAAAAAAAACTAACGAGAAGATTGGACAAGAACGGACGAGAAGATGCGTATGTAGAGAAACAACATGATAAGATAAGGAGAGGGGGACAGCGTCTAGAGTCTATAAGTCTAAGGGTCATGAACAAGCCCGTACAAAAAGAATTACATAACAATATTGGAGCGGAAATAATATTAAAAATAAAAGCCACTTGCCGAGTGCTCAAGTGAGCGGTGCATGCCCATTAGTCTGCTGGTTCACTTCGTTCTTGGCCTCGTCCTTCTTTTGACCCAACACATTGACAAGTTCACTGACCCTTCTGGAGACATTATCCAACATCGGGCGGACACGTTCTTTAACCTCCGTTGTGACTTTGTTCACCTTCTCGTTCATAGGAACATTAGGGGCTGTGACGATATTCCGCAGATCTGTGATTGTTGCAGACAAATCAGGGAAGTTTGACTGTAGTTGCTGCGGTAGCTGAGCAGTGGAGGACTGGAGCTTTTGCAACTCCTGCACCATAGAACCAGAAAGTCCGTGTATGCGTGTTTGAGCATTGGTAAGAGAAGAAGACGCAAGGTTAGTGATGTTTTGAGCAGTATCAGTGGCACGTTGACTGGTACATCGAAATGGATCAATATTGATAAAAACTGAAACAACTGATAACGCACACTAATACACTCTGCGACTGGAGCTGTTTGAGATGTTCTTGTGAAAAAACATATAGGTTGTCTTTCAGGTGTTTTGAAAGAGCATATGCGCGTTGATATTGATATTGCGAGTCTGAGCCAGGCGAAGAAGCACCAGACTCGTTGCCTATCTTGTTAACGGCAACTTGGAAGTAGTCTATGATCGGTGCGAATCTCTAAGTGGCGATGACGGCGAGAGTGTGAGATGAGGTCATGCGTGACGTACTCTAATATCACATACCTGGTCAATGCCCTGTGCGACGCCATAAGCTGGCGATTTTACCCGCTCGTCTATTGTTTTGTTGGCTGCACTCATCGCGCTCTCTCGCCGCTCCTTGACGTAGTTGACCATTTCCTCAGGCTTCGCCTTGAAGGGGTAAGGGTATCTCGACTCTACAGCATCGAGACCCTTGTTGGCATAACCATCAGCGCGAATGATGAAAGGTGCGAGGCGAATCTGGATTGGCTCTGTGTAGGAGTATGCAGAGTGGGTCAAAGCCTGCGCTGTCGTGTAAGGCGAGCGAGTGAAGACATTGCCGCACAGGGTTGAATCCAAAGTCGATAAAGAGGAAGAAACAAGAGGGATCGATAAAACACGAGTGAATATAGTGACCTCTGGGGCCCTCTGAGTCTGAGTTTCTGTTGCCATTTGGACGATGGTGGGTGTTTGGAAGAAAGAGGAGGCAGGTTCGAAAACGCACTGAGAGAGGATGTTCAAATACTACCAGTCTGACATGTGATAAAAGTGAGGTCGTCACGTCACCATGCGCGTCAGTTACGAATGTGTCACACCTGCCTAGAATTCTGACAGCTAAAAAACCTTATTTAACATCCGAAGAATGCAGTACAGAACTCCGATCTTATCACAAGCCGCTATCTCTTCTGATTTGGCTATCGGCATCTACCGGTCCCAAATGATAAGACCAGCGAATATCATCTGCTACTCCACCGCATTTCCAAACTATGTAATGCCCGTGTTTATCTGATCACGATATCACTAATCTCTGGCCGCGAAGTATTCCGTGAATCCCAGGAGGCATATGCTTTGCCTTTTTTTGATTTGTTTTTAACCGTTATCAGTGCATCTAATACGTCGCAATACGGAATAGGGACACCAGAAAGTCTACCCTGAGAATTACCAGGCTCTTATTTTCTCCCATTTGGCTGGATACCTTACTACTTCAAGTTGTGTCGTTGAGTCTGCACATGTAACGTGCCGCATCTTTTCCTGGAACGGAGAACTTCATTCACATGCATCGATCAGGCTGTGTTACTACATCGCTCCAGCCTTCGAAGCTCCAACTTATTGTCTCGGCAATACTAAAAAGTACTCGTTAGGCTATTACCACACGTCTCGCACTCTATATCTTAATATTCTAGACTCGGTCCCCAGTTCCAGGGCACTGCCATGACAGACAGACATTTGAGACAGGGCTCAAAGCTGACGCTCGAGGAGGCAGAGGTTGTAAATGTTTTCGCGGTTGGATAGGGACTTCATAAAAGTCCTACCGTGACGTGACAGGACCGTCGGAAGGTCTGATAATATATTAATTAACATGCATAATTTTAAAGAAGTGAGCCATAATCTGAAAACGGATGAAAACATGAACCAATGATTAGCTAAATTTAAATTTAGAAGTACCGATTCATTCCCTAACCCATCTCATCTCAAATCCAATCCACCACTTTCAGGAACACTGATTGCTTCCGATCCCAACTCCTGGTGCAACACCATTTTTTCTGGATGTCTTGGGAAGACCGTTTCTTGGCTTTCTACACTGTTCTGGAACGCCGACTTTTCGTCAGATTTCTCGTCAACCTCCTCCTCTTCGCCGCCAGAATCGTCCGCTGCCTCTTCGATTATGGCGCCTTGTTCGCGTAATATGAGCCACGTTTTATCTATGACCTAGTGTATGACATAGTTATGGGTGAAAGATCCTAGGGAATCATAACGCCAAGCAAAGACGCACATCCAGATTTTGCCCTGAACTCATCGCCTTCACAATCTGTCCTTCGTGGTGGGCGTGCAAGGTCCGTCGGAATGACCTTGCGAGGAAGGAAGATAGCACATTGAGAGACCAATCTGGGGGTACGAGTGGGATGACCTAGGCGGTATGGATAGGTCAGTTAAAGGAAGAGGGAAATTAATAAGGTAAATGCTTGTTCAGATATCAGCTTGTTCGATGATGAATAAACACCACCGAGAGTAACGAGAAGCAAAAAGAGAAATTGTGAAATGATACATGTATACTCACATCCACTACATCAAGATTCATAGCTTGAGAGTCGAGCAATCGCGCAGTGTGATACGACTCTCTACGTATATTCAGTTAGTCGGGCCATATATTGATTCGACCGATTGTAGACGTACCCTTCGCTCATGTATACTTCCAGCAAAAGCCTCACCAAATCCCTTTTTGTCTGGTCATCCACAGCATCGATCTTCCCACTCGATTGCCCTGCCCATCCAGCAAGACTGTACATTTCCACAAGTGAAAGCGCCGCTTTGGGAGATATCACTCGGCCTCCGTGCGTACAATATGCCTCAGCCGATACCGTATCACGCAAGACATGTACAAGCGTCGAGATAGCTGTACGGTGGCTGCCAAGCTATTCAGTGAAATTTGTTAGAGGGGGGCCCGTTATCGACTGGTCAACCATGACGGACAAAAAGTGAGGAGGAACAAAGCCCACCTTCCCATCAAGTATTGCTAATTCAAGCGCAAGTACCTTCTCATTTTCTCCCATACCTTCCTGTAGATGTTCTCGGACCTGGGCTACATCGTACTCGAAGCTTTGAAGATATAACGCCGTTTTTAGCCGGATTCGTTTGGCAGGTGAATCGGGGGTCGTAGATGCAAAGTATGTAAGGAAAGGTGTGGGGCTTTGCGAGCGAGACGACGCAGAAGAAGCAAATGAAGAAGCTAACCGATGACTTAAGTCAACTATTGAAGAATGAATGACTCGGCATATCATTACCTTTCGCTCGCCAGAGCTTCAAGGTTCCTTCGTCATCAAGACATTCAAGTAGCTGATCAACACACGACAAAGCCAACTGCATATGTAGGCTACGGTCCTGTAAAGCGATGAGGTCATGGTTAATTTTTATACCGAATCCGAAAACAAGGGACGCAAAACAAAATTTCTGAGACGTAACCATAGTCGCAGTTCTGCTGAAAGCAAAAACAAACTCACCGAACTCCGTCTCTGTAGTACTAGGAATTCTAGGAACTGGACTGCTGCAGCAGGATTCGTGGCCCGTAGTTGTTCCAGCATCGCGAGATCGTCTTCAACCTGGGACTTCGCCTGTCGTTTGTTTGAATCACGCTGCGTCAGAAGCTGATATCATGCAAATTAACCAGTCAACAAAACGCGAAAATAGTATATCAACTTCAGCACACCTTGAGTGCGCGATCGGGATCTTTCTTCGTTAGCCAGATCACCCATCGCTGGATAAGTGCCTTGTCTCGTTTCTCGGTCAACAGTGTAAACATGTTCGATAGCGGGTCAAGAACGTCAGGGTCTGTCCACTCGCCCTCTATGAGTCTGGTGACAAAAAATAGAAGTTAGCGGCAGATATTTCGAAAAAGATGAAAGAGAAATTCAACACGAGGGGTTACTGGAAAGACGTACTTTGCCCAAGCTTCACACAACTTCACAACTTCACCTTTCTCCTTGTATAAACTACATAATATGCTAAAGTGTCCTGACTGTATCAATGCTTGCTCTATTTCGTCAAGTATGACTTCATTCGAAGGATCTTGTAACAGCGCGTGGAGATCTGTGGGTTTATCCCCCAATACAAATATTTTAGCAAGGACAGTGTCAATCACCTGTGGTTGACATGATTCAGTATAATCAATAAGTTGTTATCAGCTGTGAGACAAAATAAACAACAACTCATACCTGCCCCTCCTTGCCTTTGATTTGCTTTTCTCCAGCATCTTTCATGATCTCACCCCTGACGTTGGGACCATCCTCCACTCTTCGCCTTGTACGCCATTTCCTTAAAAAAACTTCCAACATATTCCTCGCTTCGCCATTCAAAATCGCGCGCAATTCGACTGTAGGAGGAGCCTCGCGGGTATTTGGCGCGAGATGCGGAGAATAGTTCCTGACTAGGTTTGCAGCAACTGGAGGTCAGTTCCGACCGTAGATGACGGGGAACGGACAGATGGGAATGGGTGAGCAGCCGGTGGGTGGTGGTTGGAGGGGAAACGGATTATGGTGGTACGTATTGACATTGTTGGGTGGGATGGGGGAGGGGCATAAAAGAAGGCAACTCACTGATTTCATCTACTGAAGCCTCAGGTGGCATGTGTTCCACGACACCTTCAAACAAATCTATGCCATCTTCTTCTCCGAAGAGGTGCCCACGAAGGTCGGGGAAGTAGCTGACAAGTACACGAGGGTCGAGATCACCTGCAAACAGGTTTTTGCCAGCGTCTTCAAAGAGCGTTTCGGCAAGACATTGGAATCCAATGCGCTGATAGACATAGCGTAACTCTTCTGCCTACGCAGTGAAGCTATTAGTATATTATTCAAGCCTGGTATTGTCACGTTATACTTACCTCTCCAACGTCGACAGTGATTTTGCTTTCATGCTTTTTTCTCTGTTGATCTGCGAGGTCAATGGCATCTTGAATCTTATGCGCATCCAAAAGAGATTCAGCCTGAGATATGAGTGTGGAAGGTAGGAGTGACTGTATGGAATTCTGGCCAAGGATAAGGACACCAGAACGCGGGAATGACGAGGGTCTCATTGCGGCAACTGGATATTGTAACCTTGGACCAATGACAAGCAACTCAGTAGATACTCTGGCTTTTCGAGAATATGCCACCCTTGTCCGCCAGATTGTTCTGAACGGGGATGTGCTGTCCGCTGTCCACGATGTTCAGGTAATGCTGTACCAATGCTGTATTGCCTGAGGTGGGCACGCATAAAGCCGAAGACTAGTATTACATAATCAAATCGTATGCAAATTCTGCCACAATAAACGTCAGTACTTACGCTTGACTCTATTCATGTCTTGTCTTGGGATTTCTGTAGGATCAAGCTATCGCCAAAATTTGCCTTACTCTTTGCTTCGATGCGATTTTCTTGCGATTTTCTAGCATTTTTACTCTCCCGGCGCTTTGTGTCATGACGAATGTGGAGAATTCGATAACCATAGATCTTTATCTGAGCTTGCAAAGCTATGTCTGGAACATTGTGCTTTATAGTCACATATTTTCATCTCAAGATTATCCACTGTAAGCCCCCAATATGCACCCCTCGACTTTACTGGCGCCAGTCCTGAATTTTGCGAAGAAGATACTGTCTCTTGGTTTTCCCATTTCTTCCATACGCCGTTTATTTTCCGTGCTCTGCTTCTGGGCGAAGTTATTCGGTCATAAATCGCCAGCTTCCGGTGGTCCTTTGATAAGGCGCGAGCGGTTTCATAGAAAGCGAGACAACCCGCCAACAACCATATGTGCAAGTATATTACCTGGTGTAGAAGGGGAGATAGTGATTACCAGGCCGCCGTCAACATCGATCCAGCCTATACATTCTCCCTGTCCTGTTAGGAAGTTTGCCTCGCAGGATGGATATCCAACAGCCGCGATCTCAAGATCATCTCTCGATAAGGCTTGTAGCAATGATAATATCAATAAAGAGCCCAAATGCTATACCGTAGAGGCAGGCATCTCTACCATCGGTGCATCCTCAAGTGACAATGATACACTTACTGAAGATCCTTATTCACTCTATACATCAAATCTCATGAATATACCACCATATATGCGATCAGTGGCGTCTCCTTCATCGTCTCGCCATAGTTTGCACGTTCCATCTGCTGATAACAATAACTTCAATGAACCTATCTTACGGCCTGTTAGTTCAGCGTCGAGTGTCAGTCGACGTTCGCGGGCTTCTTACCCTCGGTATACAGCACCGCTCCTCCCTCTCACAAATATTGAGGCGACCAGTAGTCACAATGGGCCTAACGGTGCTGTCGCCGTAGCTCCTGCTAGGCTTATTGCCCAACCAAATGGTGACAGGCCTGGAACTCCTGTTCTCGTTTTTGAATCAAGCATCCCAGAAGTTCACCCTCTATTGACAATGCATGCCAGTGAACAGAGATATGGGATGACGCACAAGATGTTCGTGGTTTAGCGTCCAACCTTATTGTTCACGCTAATTTATTCTTGCAGATCCACCGACCAGCAATCACACGAAATTCCTGCTCTACAACTGAGCTACCCAGAGCACGAGTGAGCTTGTGTTTCGTTCTAAGACATCCCTTTAATCTTACCTTGCTTCAGTGGAGCTCTTCCACCTGAATGGACCAAACCATTGCAACCTGAAGGCGCGTGTTACTTTATGCACAAGGAGAGAGTAAGGAATCAACGACAATGAGGAATCAGCATAATTAGAGCTCACCATTACAGAGGATATTCACCCATGCGGACATCTGTGACCCCGATGTGCTTGATGACATCATAAATCTCGCAGACCACATACAGAAGGAACTTCAATGCCAGTTATCTTCGGATTATCATAACGAAATTGAACTTGTGATCGAGCCCCGTACGGGGAAGAATGATGCGCTTGTGGGTCTATACTACTTCGTGGACCCACGGAACCAATGTGTATTTTGGCTGGAAAACTGTGATGGCTCACCTTTCCTCAATGAATGCAAGGGTGTTCGTCAACTCTCTCACAAAAGTAGGTTCATTTGGCATTTATTGCAATGTCGTTGATACTAACCCTCGTTAGAATTGGCAGTAACTGCTCAATACTGGTGAGTTAGGATTCAATTTGGTTTCAGATAACGCCTTTTTCTGAAATATCATAGGAAACATTGGGAGTTATTCCCAAATTTATGCCATGTATCTGAAGATATATTAGAGGAATTGAAGAACATGTTATTGCAAGCTCGCTGTGGTACGTGTAGATTTAATCATGCGGCTTCCATTAACCCTTGCTATTCCCCGACCATGGTAGATCATATAATGTCAGAAGAATCCACGGCCCCGCTCAATGCTGAGGTGTTGTCACAGCTCTTTGACATCGTGAACAACATCAAATGTGCCTGTTCAGCTTCTCAGCGAAAGATAATACGACTCACATGACACTTGCAGTAACTGGTAACCCAAATTTAAGCGTCTATCGCGCTTGGATAGTAGGTGAGCAAGTGATTCGTGGTTGTAGTTCATTTTTACAGGGGCTAAATATTTCTGTGAAGGCAGGATTATGCATGAATTCGGTAAGCTTTTCTTCTTCTTCTTTCTATGTTTCCTTAAAGAGTATCGAAGCACGCAATCAATTTCTCAACTTCTACGGCCAAAAGTGCGCTCGTCTTGGCGTCTTGCAATCGATTTACGGGGAAGATCTTGAGCAACGATCATGGAAAATGTCTGTTCTCTCTCATGCTTTGTTTGGCGCTCCAAAGGTGCATGTCGAGGCATTGCACAAGCTATATGTAGACGGCATTGCGTGTACATTTACATGGAAACGATTTATGGAAAACCTCAACAGCGAGGTCCAAGACTTTAACTTGCTGGTGCGTATATTGACATCGTCTCCTTTCAATCAAGGGGCTGATTCATCCGTTTCGGTTCAAAGGCTAGCGTTTTACTTAACGCCAACGTGGGGTTCTTAGCCATACAAAGTGTTGATAATGGCAGTGGTGCCAATGACAACGCTCGGTCCTTAACTCAGATCGCCAGTTATTTATCCCTGGTTGCAAGTGTTGGAAGCATCGTTCTTGGTTTAGTACTCGTTCGGCACACACGTACTAAAAAAAATGATTCTGCTGACAAAACTGTACGTTGTTTCCTGTGTTACTGCTACATTCTAAGTGATTGGTTGTTGGTCTTGTCAGGCCAACTTTTTGAGGCATATGAAGCACAATCAATTCGGCCAAGAAACACTTGCTGTGATTTATAGTCTTCCCTACGCTCTTCTCATGTGGGGGTATGTCGTACATAAATGACTTCTGGTTCTTTCTAACTGTAAAAATCTTACCAGAATGCTGCTATTCTTGGCCGCATTTTCTTTCGAGTGCTACAAACCTGCAGACGACCTCTCCCGCCTATTAGTTGGCATCACCTCACTAGCGGTAGGCCTTCTCGTTATCTGGTGCATTGTTGCTCTCAGGGCGGGGCTGAATGGACGTGATGCTGACTGGCGGAACTTTGTCCCACGGCGAGTACAAAAAATATTGGATCGAGAAGTGACGGGCCAAGACATGGAGGATGACAATGGTTCTCAACTGAGCGTCATTTCGCGTTTATGGCAGTTCGCTTCGCTGGGAAAGGCTGTCAGAGCCCAGTCATCTCAGGATCCGGACATAGAATTGGCGGCAGCAGGTTCAAATTCTGGTGTTCATTGTACTTTACGGGTTCGAGCTGCAACTGGAGATTCTGTTCCGTCGTCCGAGGTTGAAGCTTAACAACTCTGTATAGAATTTCTGTATTTATATTGGGTGTAATTCTAGAGCATTTACTGAATCATGTATGTAAACACCAGTTCTACGACTGAATCATATAGCTTGCTCTTTGAGGTTATCATCCGTCTTGAACACAGAAGAATAAGAGATGAAAAGTCGGCAGATCGAACGGCATCTAGTCTAATGCTGACTTCGATAAACTCACCTTGAATATCGAACAAGATGTATACGCGATTCTATAAGATTTTTGAACCTAATTTGAGGCATTTTACCAGTAGAACCCACACTTCATTTAGACCTACGTATGTCAATCTCATCTGGACTATTTCGTGGATCGAATCTACGAGTAGGACCCGATCTATGATCAAGAGTCAAAGACCCAGTCGCCATAGATCACACTGGGCTCTGTACTCAGCCCAAAGCTCGACCACATGCCCGGTGATAATGCAAGGCCATATGGCGGACAGGTAGTACACTAATAACATCAGTCGTTAAAAAACTGGATAGGACGAAGAATAATCTAACACCAGAGAAGGGGAACTGACCTCGTTGACAATTTGGCCTGTAGAAGACATCCCTTCGTAACTGACTGTTACGTATTCAAGACAGCGTGAGCCGCCTTCGTATTGCTAAAATAATATTAACATTAAGCATGATATCAAGGCATGTCATTCAATTTGGATGCTGACTTCGGAGTTGATTGATACGATCTAGAGAACGTAGGCCGTCAAACTTTTGTTTAGTACCACGTTGATTTGAAAATAGAATAATGGACCATACGAAGTCGTTTAATTCCATCGTCGTACCGCAAGTACTGTTGCCCAATGCAAGGAAGTAAACGATAGTTGCATTGTCGAACCGCTTAGAAAGTGTGATAGTTTCTTCACGCAGTTGCAATTGATCCTTCTGCAAATTGAGGCTTGCCGCAGAAGCTAAAGAAAGCGTCAAAGAAGAAAGCAGAAGCTTAGTGAATAGTTTCATGAGTGCGTGACGTTTGTTATAAAAGCTCAGGACCTTGCTCAAACCAAGTGAGTATGTGGATTAACTTGAAGGCCTACCTTTATATCGGATCAATTCAATGCTTTTTTTTTTTAAAGCAAGCGCTTCTTGACATCAGTACCTGTTCCTAGCTGTTTTTGTAGCTTCTTATGCAGTGACCAGACCAGGAAGCAATATATACGCCAGTGTTAGCAACCATGTTCAGTACAATCAAAGGAATCTGAGTCATACCGTATTCCGGATCGTAAATCTGACAGCCTGAGACGGGGAATGCTAGCCGATTGAACAGGAGCTTTCATTTTTACATGGCGCTCGAGCTATGCCAGCTTGATCGATGTGTGAGCTGATATTCACGGCACACATTATAATCTGAGTCTCAGCAAATATTATGGACGTTCCACCGCGAGACCATGACATACTGGATGCCACGGTAAAATTACGGGTGAAGACGATGAGATGATCATTGAGTCTGGACGGCAAAGGTCAAACGTGTAAGTTTTCTCTCATACTTATGTTACCTGCTTTTACTTTGTTACAAGCGGTCGTGGCTGTGCTCGGTTCTTTCCTGGTTTGTTTCCCACCACGGCTTGTCTGAAGTTGATTCATGGCGCTTCCACCAGCATCCTTTACTGTTGGTTCTCTCTACCTTGCTGGTTTCGCTCAAGCGCGTGCTCCACATGCAGGCCTCATCATTCCATCCAGAACCTCTTCAGGACGCCTCGTGCACATCCGCATAGACCGCGAGACCTCTCCAACATGGGCATACCAGTCCAGGGCTCAGAAGATCGAGGGAGACATGTTCTTCTCCACCCTGCTTAAGCTACGAGATGTATCGGCGGGAAGTATCACTGTCGCCCAGCTCGAGGAGGCCGCTATGTCAGTGCCTGCGCCCGACAACGATGAATTTGGAGAGTGCTTGCCGTGGGTGTTGCAGGTCGTGCAGACACTCCATGATATGGACTTGATCGTTTTGACTGATATCAAAGATCTCGGGAAAGAGTTCGAGGAATTTGCTACTGGAAATAAGGCGTATGCTACCAGAACTAAATTCCCAAACGTGAAGGCCTCTCAGTTCTGTACCTGAGTTCTAAGTGTTGTATAGGGACAAAAATGCGCATGCCAAGAGTAATTGGGGCCCTATATACGTAGGATCTTGCCGGACTCAGTGCTATATACCTTATGTGTCTGCTTCATTTGTTCATTTCCTGTATTCGCGTGATCAAATACTTCCATTCATTTGACGCGACGTGGGCCTATAATTTGTCTCGAGGCTTGAAACATAGCCTCTCCTCTCATTCCTCGCAGTAACAGGGGTATCTTCATCAAAAGAAAAACAACGTACAACTTCGTTAGTCCTTATATACAAAGCTTCGCACCAAACTATCAGTCAAATCCTCCAGTAGACAACGAGGGAGGAAGCGCATCAGCCCCAGCACCGCAAGTCACATTGATATCCTTCGTCAACTCCAAAACCACTGTCGAGCCCTTGACAAAGACGTCAAAATCGAGGTAACAGTTCGACTGCCATGGTTGTCCGTCAATAGTGACATTCTGCATATATACATATTCAGCTTTGGAAACTATAAATCGCTCTGCTGTAAATGACGAACCTTTACGAAAACGTTTCCTCCAGTCCCATCTGCAGGGTTGCCTTGGAATCCATTCGATTTGATGGTCGTAGTTGTGTTGAAAATCGGGTTATAGAATGATATTTGTGGGAAGAACGGAGAGGCGAGGAGATATTGGCGGGTAGCTGGGACGGGATACATTCCAGCGAGGTAGAAAAATGCGTAGGACGCCATGACACCTTTGGCAGACTGTCAGATCAGACAAGAAGAAGAAAAAAACGGTCTGTTTGCTAACCAGAATCTGGGTTGAGCTCTCGAGTAAGACACTTGTTTAATACTGAGATGAAGAAGAGAAAGTACGCACCATCGTTCCCAGGAATACCACTAACAGTAGTATTAAATGATTCGGCGATGATTTGACGAGACTGTTGCGTGCTAAGCCCTGGAGCGTTAGCGTAATGGTACATGAACGGAATCTGCATAGACGGTTCGTCTGTCACGTCAAAGTATCCCTGTGAAAACAGTCTAGTGACAAAGTAACTTGAGAAAAGGGGAGAAAATATACCTGATCAAACATGATGTTGAGCCGGTTGACGAATTTTTGAACTCCTCCTTGAAGCTCAATAAGTGCTGCAGTATCGTGAGGAACGAACTAAATGGCAAGTGAATCCTTAACTGATACTTCGGGTCACAAAATACTTACTTGCGAATACTACCCTCAAGATGATATTAATGCGCGGTTTCGTAGAATATGAATGTACTTACCACCATGGGTGAGGATTCGTAGAACCCATCCCTGTTTGCAGCATTCAAATAGCACGTCGCATGCGTAGGATCGTTGACGCTGCAGTGACGAGGATCGGTATAGTTAAAGGTCCCATCCACAAATCGATTCTGTCAAATTCAAAATTTATCTATGATATCACACAAGAAGGCAAATCAAGAGAACATTACCTGCACCATTCCTGTCACCTCAGGATAACCCGGAAGGGTGATATTGGGGTTCCAGACATTACGGAAGTTGCCCGCGCGTTGTACATACTATCCACATGTATTTAGTCAAACGACTGAGACATAGGACTATGATACATACCTTGGTAGCATCGGCCGTTTCGTTGAGCAGTTTGGACACTTGGGAAATCGCAAAATCACCAAAAGCGTACTAATGTTGCGTTGGCATGAACTTCTAGGTAATCACTCAACACAAAATGAAAGTCTGCACACCTCAAGAGTCCTTGAAACTTGTTTTGTGTCGGCACCACCAGGTTGATAGATAGCTTGTGGGATATAATCTAGTTGTGGAATTATCAGAGAATTGATAGATATTCATCCCTTCAAAGCGAGACAAGAGCTGAATGAGATTTACTATATTGCTTCCAAGCAGTCGCCTGTCGTCCCTGTAAATCCCAATTAGGAGGCTGGTCCTCTGCATCGGCCAAAAGTGCGTTGTACAGGCCAGTCGATGAGACATTGAGAGTTGAAGCATATTCACTAAATCTATCGTAATTCCGATGTTGAGTTCTTCCCAGTAGAATGTAGACAACGAGAACTTACTTGACCCAGAATTCTCCAAGGATCGGATCTGCATCTAGTTTCGAGGGAATTCAGCATCAGCATTTGCATAGCCCGCACGATGGCATGAATTTGGACTTACTGCTGCTTCCTTGAATCCACTGTTGGTCTGTTGAGCCACGACATTCGGGAAGCCATCCTATCATTCTCATACATCAAGTGCATTGACTTCTGACGAGACTGCCACTCACCTTCGTGCTGTTGGATATTTATCATGCCTCGTACAATGCGTGCAAAGTTTACAGGGTCATGCAAAGACATCAAAGGGTATAAGTTACGGAATGTATCCCACTGGAATAAGACGATGATTTAACACTGCATTTGATAGCGAAAAATGAATATTGTACATACGTTGCAGTAAAACGAATCATAGTAAGGCTCTGTTGAATTCCATCTAGGGTTCTCATCGGTATCTATGTACAACAAGCCCCATCAATTAATTCAGAATATACCAACTGATGCACTCACAATCGGCTGGTACTATGTGCGTCCTATAAAGCTGGAACAACATATTAATTGCTAAGAAGTAGCAAGCAATTGCAAATCCTACCGATGAATAGAGCAGTGACACTGTTTCGTTATCTACGCCTGTAGTATCTACTTGCACGCGAGTCAAGATATCATTCCAGGCGGCACGGCTCTGCTGGACTGTGCCATCAAAATCAAAGTCAGGAATTTCGTCCTCGGCGTTGGCACAGGCTTGCTCAGGAGAGATAAACGAGACCCCAACACGAGCCAGAATGGTGGTGGGTAGGCTGGAGTCATTGGAGGCAGGCGGGAACGTCAGGAGACCGCCCGTTTCCGAAATAAACCCTGTGCGATTTTAAATTATAAGTCCAGAAGTCTGGCATAACACAGCGTCTGGCACATACCGGTATATACTTGAATAATGTTGGTGCTGTATTGCACAGGGTTATCGCCAATCCAGACTCCATATTCGGCAGGGCTCGTGAAGTTATATCCTTCGCCTTTGAAGTCGATACACGTGTATGCATTGTACCTGCCTGGGCCAAAAGAAGCTTGAAATCTGGCTCCTCCTATAAAGCAAGCGCGCAGGGACAGTGACAATAAGTGATAATATATTTAGCATTACATGGGCATTCCAAGCTAGCAAGTAAATGTTACCTGTAACGCGTCCAGTAGTAGGGTCGATTTCCATCGTCGGCTCAGTACTACTCGTTACCGCGTCATTGGTGATATCGATGACAATGCGCGGCTCAGTGGAATATGCTGGGAACGTGTAACGATGTAGAGCAGTGCGACGCGTGGAAGTAAGTTCTACTCGTATGTCGGTAGACTACAAGTAGTTCATCAGTAACGCAATTTGAGCCATACGCCTGGATCAAACACAGGTAAGTGGTGTGGCGTACTCACGAGATTAGAAGCAAAGTATCCTGGTGAACCAATGTCGTCGGGCGAACCTAATGCCTCAAAAATGAGTAAATGGTTGGGACATTCGCGGTCACGTGATATGGATTCATGCATATAGTACGCGTCTAGAGCAACTTACCATCTGCAAGTAGTTTGCGTGGAACCTTTCGGGATTCTAGAGACGTCTGACAGGTTGCAAACGATTCACAGGTTGCAAAGGGCCATAGTTTGAAGTTTGAAAGCGATGCCGACTGAAATCGATGGAAATAAATTGATAACGACTAACCAGAGAACAGTATTCACTTACCCCGCCAGTTCCATTATCGTGCAGCTGAGAAAACCCAGTCGCATTGTATGTGGGATCTGCGTCGTATCCAGCTTGCTAAAATAACACGAACAGGAGACTATTGTTAATTTGAGACGGTACGTGACTAAAATAGGCGGGTACATTGCCAGGAGAGTCTGTGTCCATGCCAGGTTTCGCCATGCCATGAGGCGTCGTGGCACCTGAGACAGATGTATAGCAAAACATGTTTCGCTGACATGTAAACTAGCGAAACGCACCAGGAAAGACGTGGCCTCCGTTCGTTGTGCCAATGAAGACATTAACATAGCTCGAGGGGTCAGTATCAGTAATTGGCGTGATAGCGCCAGACGAGCCAGAGGAAGCTAAATTTGCAGTTGCATAGGAGCTGAGAGGAAATGAGGCATATAACGCAGAAAATAGGGCGAGGAAGCGAACTTGGACAAAAGCTGGTTTCATCGGTGGTTCACTGGGAATGCAAACCCACAGGTGTGCCCACGATATATATACTTGCTAGGGAATGCATGTGCTCTAACGTCATGTGTGAGTGTATTGAATCAAGGCTGATCAGCTGAGGGTCTCATTGCAACGTTAAGACGGTCAACGAAGTCTGCTACGAACGTCGAAAGAACGCCAGGAAGCATTCAATCAGCCGAACAATATCTCGTGACCAGCTGACTAATCACACGGGATTCTTGCTGCCATCGCGGACACTCATCTGACTCTCCGCTGCAAACACACTTCCTAGTGCGAATTCCCAGCACTTACATTCTAGGGCTCCCTGTCATCATATACTGGACACGGCCAGCATCACGATGCCATCCCAGTTGATGCAGCTCTCTGTTGGTCATGCGCAACCCAACAAACACTGGCACCACACAAGAAAGAAGTGGAAAAGGACACAATTTTAGTTTCAATTGCCTGTAAGTGATCTTGGCACTACACCACATCTGGACAGCTGCATTCCCCGTCGCAAACGTAAACATCGCCGTCGTTGAGAATTTAGTATCAATACTAGTAAGCAAGAGTCTTTCTTTTCTGGAGAATCATGATGTTGTTGTGAGGACGCCACCTCCTCTTGCACAATGGAATGAAGAATACGTATACACCATGTTCCATCATTAGAGTTAGAACACTGTGCTAGTGTGCCTATCACGTTACTGTAAAAGGACACGCACGACTTCCAAGTCGAATGTGTTCATACTACTCGCAGGGTGGCCATTTTCCACACGAAGCCCATAAACATCCGCCCTTGTTTCTCTACTCTTTGATCATAAATTGACAGCACTTCTCTAGCGCATCTACTCCCCTTTCTCCCCTCTTTTGCCTTTAAGATTTGGGTTTGTATTCAAATTTGGAGAATCTTGATTTGGACAATAACGTCCACCGCTACCCTGGGCCACCTCACTGACCTTGTCCTCTTCGTCTCCTTCTTCGATACAGGAGAACAACAGAACAACACCTCCTTTTTGAATGTTCGTTCTTAGGCTCTATCCATGTCAACCACGGGATTCTCAGTCCGTACTACGTGAACAATACCATGATGGCCGAGACGGCAAGAAAAAGGGTGTGAAGGGGAACATTCCGCAAAGAGCTTGCTTCCATGAACAAGGAGGGACGTAAAGGGATAGTTGCAGGGTGTTTCTTTATAGGAGATTTGATGACGGATATTCGTCAAGGTCATCTTAAAGTACACTCTTTCTATTCCCCGGCGACGGCTCTTGCCGCTGGGAGTCTAGAACGCTTGCTGCCTGATAATAGATTACGAGTCCAAAGGGAATAAACCATTGAGTATGTGGAAAGGACATAAAAGTACGACAGCCACCTGGTGAAGTCATCGAAAATGCAATTGTGGCATACAAGATAGAACCTATGATGCCTCAGATCACGGCACTAATATGACCGTCCTGGATATGTAGAGGGGATGTTTAACTCAGCGAAAAATTGCCGCAAGAAAGAAAGAAGCATGACGTACGTACGTCCTTCAAAGTATCAGAAAGTAACACCAACGATAAATAGAATGACACGTAGGAAACAGGATGAGAGTACATACATTCTGAAGTGTTCGGGTGTATATATCAGTAAGTCATATGTTTGGAGTCACAGCAGACAAGAGCACGCACAGGCTGGGAAGGCCATAGAGATGGTACATAGCGATCAGCTAAATATCTTGGCAAAGATCAAAAGGAGCGCACAAACTGAGAGTATGGTAATTAGCCAGAAATATGGAAAGAGAGGAACAAGGTAAACATACAATCTGAGGAAGTCAGAAAGAACAAGATGTATATTCAGCCGCAAATCTGGTGCCAAAAAAAGCACGAGCGTGACGTACATGCTGAGAAAGTCATGAGGGGCATCGCAGTCAGTCAGCAGCCTAGCACGAAAAGGAATGCGAGAAGCTTACATGCTACAAGTGATATATTGCTTGACATTTAGCGCATCCTTTCATAAACCAATATAGTGATGTGTACCTTCTGGAAATACCGCAAGGATAGAAAAGTCAGTGACAAAACTTCTGAGAAGCGGAAACATGAACACATACATACTGATGGTATCAGGAGAGCAGTAGTCAGAAAGGGAAAATACAATAGGTGTAGGTAAATACTTACTTTCTGAGTAATAGCGAAAGCACGATAGTCTTAGTAAAATGTTTTTAGGAGAAGAGGTCAAGCAACGCACGTACTGCAAGTCACAAATAAGTCGGCAGTGAACGAAACGGGGCGAACGAAAAACTCACAAACTGATCCCATGCACGCACCCATTGTTTACCTTTCAGAAAATCTCAGTAGATAATACTATATTACTTACAGGCTGCGTAAGCAGTCAGCCTCTTCTAGCATATATATTCTATAATAGAAAACCTACTTCCTATAAGATGTAGAATTACGTCAGATCGATAGAACACCCATTATTGTGAACTAACTTACAGCCTGTTGACCCGAATGCAGCCATGCAGATGTTAGGGCTTTACACTTGGATTAAAGGATATGACAACACACCAGCTGTCGACAAGCCGGGATCTGTGAGAATGACAACACATGAAAATCAGAGAATCGACGCACTGTCTAAATCCAGTCCCCGTAAGGTAGAATATGAGGCCCGTCATTATATATAACTTATCAAAGATGGAAACAAGTTCGTACATTTACACGGTCAATCATACTATTCAAATCCCTCAGCGTCGATTGTAAACTTCGAGGGCATTGCTGGAGTTCCTGTAAAGAAGCCTAGTTAGACCTATTTAACATTGATATTCAGGCATACTTGTGGTGTAAAGCGCGGAGTGAGTTTGGCAGGTCCGGGATCGCGTGTCCTAATGATAGAATGCACCCAGGAATCAAGTGGACTGGCGATGAAGTCCGTCAGAGAATCTTTAAGCGATGCAAACATAAGTGAATCTGGAAGATGTCGCCCTCCATCAGCTAAGCCACTCCTCATGAGCATAGTGAAGTGCGCCATCTCTAGTACATGAAACTTTCTCTTTGTTTCTTCGCATAAAGGCCAGGCAATCAACCGCAATGGGGAGGTGACATTCTGGAACATCAACGAAGTAGTGGCCGGAACGCGATTGAGTCATGAAGAAGTCCCGCAAAGATTTATGAGCAAGGCGAATCGGGTCATCGTCAGACTCGGAAATAAGGAGGATAGATTGAATTTTGGAGAAGGACCGTACAAGATCCCGTGAAGTGATGTTCAGCAAAGATGATAGTTGTTTGATAGGAAGAGGACATTTAAGAAGTAAGAGCATATCCCTCGCCCACTTATGGTCTCGCAAGCTTCCATATTCATCCTTCGACGAGGGTGCGACAGCTTTTGAGCATACCTGCATATATAGAGGATCTAGGCTATGTGCCTTCAGTGCGTCTAGAAGCTGTTGGTTCGACATGCCTCCAGCACGTCCGACAAAACCAACGAACGTCGAGGCATACATGTAAGATCCCTCAGCTTGCTTGACGCAAACATCGAGGATTGCCGACGAAGGCCAAGGCTCTGTTTCTCCATTTGCTATCATGAGCCGGCGGTTGATGGCATATATTTTCGCAAATTCGCTCTGGAAGAGTAGACGAATGTCATCTGTAGCATCAAAGTCTTGTAGCTTTAGCTGTAGCATGACAGGTCTAGCGTCTAGTCTTTCGAACCTTGAACGGATATGTTCTTCTACCCTGCTTGTGATGAGGATACGAAAAGGGACCTGGCTTTGGACTATACATGCATCGACTACAGCGTCAATGAATTCATCCATGATTTCTCCATCCTGGACTTGACACTCATCTAAAGCGTCGATGACTATCACCATGCGTTCCGAGTGTGCAATGGATAACATAGGCTCCACGATTAACTTCTGGAACTGGTAGCTGAGTGAAGAATCCACAATATACGGCTTGTTATTTAAGGCTTTTTTTATCACCAGCTCCGCGCTTTCGAACGTAGTGAAGAGCTGAAAAGCGAGAGTCGGGATTAAGCGGGAGATTTTGTCTCGACTTACTGTGCCCCTCGCAAAGAAGAAGCTAGCAGCAAGTCTTCCCTCATCGGCATACCATTTTGCTATGGTCTGCGCGATGGACGTTTTCCCAAACCCAGCTGGGCCATTAAGCCAACAAATTGGACGGGTTTCGTCCGCCCACTCTTTGATCTTAGATAGGACTCTCTCTCGAGTGCCTACCAAGCAACGGGTTTCCCCCACCGTACGAAGCCCGATCGATCGGCATTAACAAGTCGTGTGTATTCGGTACGTTTGCTGCTCACATAGTTGAGGTCACGATCAGATAATGATAAACGCTACACACTAGATTCCATAGAGCTGGGGAGGTAGTTTCGGACAGAAGGCGTTTGCCCTTGATAATGACTGCGGATGCTTGGGCCCATTGGAGCTGAGGGAGCGAAAGAACTGATGAAGTTGTAATAGGATGGAAAGTAGAATGGGCGACGAATAAATGATGTACATATAGATAACAGTCATTTGATGGCCTCATGCTTTGGCACGATGCACCGTGCAGGCGGTATGAACACTAACTAGTACTATTAGTAGGCGAATGAGTACTAAATAAGTGCCACGTGACCTGGCTTTCCTTGTCTTCTCACATTGATAAACAACTGTAGAACCAAGCCTCAGCTATGTTTCGCATTCGTCTAGAGCATCAGATGAATTCGAAACATGGCTCAGGGAACGTCTCATTCTCATCTATCACCATAATGTCACTTTTAACGCGCAAGGTACAATTTTCGGTAGCTTTTATTCAGTGTCCCTCGCATTAACCCTTGACTTAGGTTCAGTTTGGAGAGCTCATATGTAGCCACACTACCTAGGAACGTTCCAGTCGTCACAAACAGCCTCATACTCCTGCACTTGGGGACGATAAAACGTCTCCTGATCAATACGTATCGAAAGCCTCCCACCCGTTCACTTCCCAATGTTCCCTTATCTACAGAATCGCACCCTCGTGTATGCAGAATTCGAGCTTGCGGACACGCACAAACCCCATGTCCCTCATCCATCTAGATCTATGCACTCATCAGTCCCATCTTCCTATGTCATCACTTATATCTAGTTCCCAAGCTGATAAAAGAGAGCGCATCGCTATCCAAGATAGCCCCTTAGGCTTCAGCGCCCCAGCCTTTATATCCAATTCAGATAAGCTGGCGCTGGGAAAACAACAACCAAGCATGTCCGATCAAAGTAGATCACCAAATTCCGATACGGCGCGTTTCCCTTCACCCTGTACACTGTACATTGCATGTGATCTTTGAAGCGCCCACTGCGCAGTCATGCACATAATCGCAAGATATACCTGGGCAAACACCGAAAAAAAAAAACGGAATTCAAAGGTATGAGCATATCATATTTTTGAATCATACAATGACATGCCCTGATCAATGGTGCTCAATATGTCTTGTCATAGTCCCGCCATTTTCTCCTATCATTTCAGGACAAATAAACTCTAGCGCTGATGTTCCAGTTGTACATGCGTAGAAAACGTGTGTCAGGTCCTACAGATAACAAGGCGTTAACTTCAAGCGCCGGACTTCTTTATATGCTTCTTTCAAGCGCCCTATCACACTTATAATGTGCACTGTAGCCGCAGTTCTTGTCAAACGCTACCCTACAGCATCATATCACCTGAATCGAACCCTCACATGGCCGTACGTTGCCCTTGCCTCAGTATATATTCTTCGAACTAACGACGTATTTTTTACAGGTGTTACAGAAGATTACTTACAGCGACCCTCTCTACCGCGAAGGCAAGTTATACTTTGCAGTTACATATTTATCGGGCACATAGCAGGCCTCTGACATCACAATGGCAACGTAGTGGAAGAACGCTTCAAGGCCCGATGGGTAAACCCTGAAAAACGTCTTCCTTCCGTACGCGCCATCTATAAGGTCGTACTTAAAAGTGACAGAGCTCAATACCACTCGCAACAATACAAACGCTACTTGTACGTTAGATCACTTCTTTATCATGATATCACAATTAACTTCTGTGTGTAGGGAAAGACTGCAATCGCAACGACCTGGCAATAAGCTAGTAGAAGAGAAATTATTTCACGGACAAGTCCGTGCATGCAACATTGGTGATGATAATGGTCGGGCTCCTGTAACCACCCCGTGCTCCTCGCCGCAATGTGCAGTATGTCACATCCTTCAATGCGATTTCGCAGATGGGGCTGCCAGTACGTACATGTTGGCGCTTACTCCAGGCGCTAGAAGTATTCACATCCATCTACAGAGAAAAATGGATTCTTTGGTAGGGGTATCTACACCACAACCGCTTCTAACAGTAAGTACAAATTACAGTTGTACCCCAAGGAACCACTGCTAACGCATAGCTCCTCCGTTCCTAGAAGCCGATTATTTCTGTCGGAATGTCAACTCAAATTCACCGTATCGATTTGTTTTCATGAGCAAGGTTGCCGTCGGTAAACCGTCACTTCTTGGCAGCAAGAACGAGAATTTGAACCAGGCTCCCTCTGGATACGACTCGGTGAGCAGTACTGCAGTACTCCTTGCACTAGCGTGTGTGAGTCGCGCTGCTGACCGCCATTTATCACGCTCTAGGTCCAGGCATTGACTACGGATGCTGGCGGGGTTGTCAAGTACTCGGAAAGAGTTGTGTACCAAGACGAAGCAATGTGTCCTTATGTTGCCATCGTATACAGCCTGTAATATGCGGAAGCAAGCAATGATTTGGTCTATCGTAGCTTTCAAGATGAAGCTATTTTGTAAGCGGTTCTGCAGGCTTATCTCTCTTCTGTGTCCAAGACAGACGGTAGATAGAGCAAGTAATATATTTTGGTTGTGGAAATTCATCAACGTTTACAAGTGCATACACGATACTGGTGCACCGTGATTCAGCAAATGCCCATAAACCTATAGCTACCCAGAAAATACCCTTCAAAGATTTTATGAATCGAAGTTCAGTACAGTCACCGTGGGTGCTCAAACCTGTATACCGTAATGAGATGAGACTCATTATTTGAACCTACAGTTGCCAGCTCCGTGTCCAATTCCAATCCCAGTTATCCCAACAAGTGGGAGAATTGCAGTAAACTCAAACTTTGTTCGCTTTGCATTGCTAATTCCCGCAAAGTTTGTTCAAGATGTTATTTCTAGACAGTGCAAATTAGAAAGTAAAGCCTTGAGAGGACAGATATGGTTAGAAACCGTTTGCATTGATCATTTACAAATACACAATTTCGCCGCTGGTGTCAAAGCTACAGTCGTCCCATCATTTTATCATTTCATCCAGAGCACATTCCAAGCGTAACTATCAAATCAACACTAAATGTGGACAACGTGAGATCTCATACAAGACGACGGAAGCAAGATTACTGCACCTTTGTACCGAGTGGATTTGTGGCATCCGAAGAGGCCTTCACGAAGAAGGCAATGAAGAAAAAAATTGACATGTTGACAACAGTCCGAGAGTAGTCTGAATCGAGTTTCGCGAACAAGAAATGTCCCACGAGCCGCGAAGTGAACTCAAGGACGGAAGCCTAGCGATGGAATAAAACGAAGAGCACCCCTCATACGGACTCGAACCAAAAGCTCCAGCCTAGACGATTCACACAAGCACATATGTATATTCAAGTCAAAGACTGCCGAGCATTCTAATCTTGATATGTTCTTCATTCCTCGTCGATATAGACTGGCGGTTGTGACTGTATGTACGGTCACAACACCGAGGGCTTTGGGGCACTACGAGAGCACCAAGTCCACGATAAAGACTATCCGGATATTCCACGACCAGTGACATCTACCCAATCTCCACGACGTTTCCAAAGACCACAGCTCTATTCCCTCCCCTTGTGATAAGGATCGTGGGTGTTCATTAGAACTGTAACCTGTTTTTCTTGTACGTCGTTCCACGCATTAGCATGAAGCCCAGCTAGAGCCGATCACAGGGAGATGTGAATACTCAGACCTTAGCCCGCTCACGAAGATAGAAACACGACGAGGTGCATTCCTGTACGGTGTGAGCCTCGCGGCTTTCGAGCTGTCTTGGTGTTCAGTAGAAAACATAAGTGGCTTTCTATACTGGGCAGGTGTACTGATTAGATAATAACCCTAACCCCCAACATTCAGATACGTCTGAGGAAATTGGGGCCACCCCAGGACGAAGAACGGTCAACAAAAAGGAAAAGCCCATCCTAGAACAAACTAACGGTCACACCTATGTCAATTCCAGTAAAATCATTGCACCCCTTCCTCTAAATAACGTATTTAACCAAGAAACATAATTTACTTTGCGTGTTGACGGCCAGACGCTTTGTGCCCACCCCCCTTCGCACCTCTACCTTGTTTGGGCGCCGTAGCTTTATTTCCCGTAGACCCGGCAGTCTCGCTCTCCGTTATCTTCGCCGTGGCCGAGGGGCCGGTAGAGTGCCCAAAAAAGTCGTCCCCCTCATCATTCCACAAGTCTCGTTCTGGTTCTCCGCCAGAAGGCGCTGCCTTTGCCTGACGTTTGCCCGTTTGTTGCGAGGAGAGACCAACATTTCCAGAAGGATCCAAGCCGGCCAGTTGATCATCATTGAGAAGAAGCTGGACAATCTCGCTCGGTTTCGCAACATCCGTGATGTTTTTGTTCCCTACGACAATGTCTTGCACCTAGGAGAGCGCAATCCCCATGTCAGTACAGGATGTCTTATGCGCAGACTCGTACACCTACATCTTTCTTGACTCGAGCCATCTGAATAATGCGCTCATCTATGGTGCCCTTTGTGATAAGACGATAGACAGTGACTTGACGTGTTTGCCCTAGACGATGGGCACGATCCATCGCCTGAGCGTCGTTTGATGGATTCCAGTCATGGTCGTAGAACACAACCGTATCTGCAGCTGTCAAGTTGATTCCAAGACCACCCGCACGCGTACTCAACAAAAAGACGAAGATGTCAGGTCTAGTAGAATCGAGTCAGTTTACATCACGTCACTCATGTTATCGAACTGTCTGTATCTTACCTAGTCTGCCAGTCCATGACCATATCACGTCTGTCTTCCAGCTTCGACGAACCATCCAAGCGTAAGTATTTATATTGTCGGTAAATCAGATATTCTTCCATAAGATCCATCATACGTGTCATCTGGAAGTAAACCAAGACACGGTGATCGCCTGTCTTCAGCTCCTGAAGGAGGGCATCAAGACGCGCAAGTTTAGCAGAATCATATATCAGCCTCTTGGCTTCGGGAACCTGCATGTTAGAAAGTGGCAGCTGGTTGAGGGGGGAGTTGCCGATCAACCCAGAAGGCGAAAGCGCTGGGAAATGGGACTGATAAGCAGTAACGCTATCTTCCGATTCTCGAAGATCTGGAGGTAATCCATATAATGCCATGGATTCCAATGGCGCGTCAAGAAATTGTGACTGGCGTTCCAAAAACGTGCGATCTATGCAGGACATGGTTATCGGCGGTGCAACTGCTCCAGGTACAAACCATCTGAGGTCAGGCCGCGACAAACAGGACTGCGACCAAAGAGACCCGCATATTGAGTTCAGTTTTGGGAGGCCTTCTGCAATATCTAAAGGTGAAAGCACAGCACTCTTCGATTGTAGCGAAACACTCGGACCGGTAGGTGAAAATTCGGTGTCGCTACAATTCTGCGTCATTTTGGGGGCCTTCTATTTGAAAAAACAACTTACAAATAGCGTGTGCTACCTTCGATGTTCTTGATCTCGTCCTGCAAACCAGATAGTCGTCTACGGATGAGAGGAGACATATGAAGATCATGCGCGTCGCCAGACGACATGCTAAGAAGACGAAGAAAGGCGAATGCAGGGGAACCTGGCAAAATATAGCGTTAGACAAACTAAGCTCCAAACACAAAAATGCAAATCCTTACCCTCGATATCATCATATATAGATTGATGTATCCATTGAGTTGTCCAGATGTTAAACAGATTCCTTATACAGCCACTCTGCCCACCAATTTCATTGTTCTCACAAGGTACTCCTAAAAGGCCACCGTCCTGGTACAGCAGCCGGGGTATGTGATACTCGATGGGATTTCGCGTGGAGTAGCGTAGTGCAATAAAGTCGCCTTCGCGATTCATAGGCCCTGACTGGCCGAAGCGAGTAAACGAGAAAGGTGCAACGACATCGGCGCGCTCGAATAGTTCGGGGTGATTGCACACCTAAATAAACACGATTAGTCAAAAACTCAATAGTGCCTTCAAGCTCACAATCACACATACCTTGCGGAACTGCATGACAAGGTTCATAAGAGATCGAGCCGAGTCTGCATCTCCGATATTGGCGGCTTTCTCCAGCAGGTCTGCAATCGAGACATTTGCGAGTAAAGCCCTGTACAGCGCACGCTGCCGCGAACTTAGATCAACATATATATCCAACTCGATCTGAGAACAAACGGATTCAAAATTTAGAAATATCAGACATTGGGCAATAAATTGCAGCGCACCTTCTCGCTCAGCTCGTTCTGCACATGACGCTTTACTCGCCTGAGCATGAACGGCTTCAAGATCATATGTAGACGCCTTAGTTGGTGCTCGTTGAGTTTGCTCCCCTTGTTCTCAGCCGCGTTCTCGATGTCCTTTGAAAACCACTCGTTGAATTCGTCGTGCGAGTCAAACAGACTAGGCATGATGAAGTGTAACAACGCCCAAAGCTCTGCAGATGAGTGTAGGTGTGAGCAACCACAACATAATCATTATCTCAACCAAATCATACCTTGCATCGAATTCTGAATAGGCGTCCCGGTCAGGAGCAGACGATTTCGGCACTGGAAGCCAAGTAATGTTTTCCACCTGACACTAGACGAGTTCTTGATGTTCTGTGCTTCATCCAATATCATATACTGCCACTTGACCCGTTGGAAATACTGCTGATCTTGCGTAATCTACGTTGCAAAGAAAATGTTATCATCCTCGATTCATCGTCCATTAAAATCAGATGATACGAACAAGTTGATAGCTCGTGATCAATACGTGAAACGGTGCGTCTTGATTATAGCTGATCTCTTTCTTACTCCAAAACTTCCTCAGGGTAGTGCGCTCTTTCACATTGCCCCAATAGGGCAATGCCTTGAGACCGGGAACAAATCGAGTAATCTCCTGTTGCCAGTTATGCAGGGTAGACGCAGGCGCAACTACGAGGAAAGGACCCCATATGTTGTGGACTTCGGCAAGATAAGCAAGGAGTGATATTGACTGGACAGTCTGTCGAACGTTATGCGTTAATGGATGATTGAAACGAGTAGAGACATTTTTCTATTACCTTTCCAAGACCCATCTCGTCTGCAAGTATACCATTGATACCCTGCTCATACAGCGTAGCCAGCCAATTAAGACCTTTCAGCTGATACTCCTTCAGCTGCGCCATAAGCATTTGAGGTTGTTTCACAGTGATCTTCCCGCTTAGTGATGTCGGATTCTGGAAGTTTAGCTCGTCCGAGTCAACTATAACATTGATGCACATGTGTCAGAAACATTCAAACATCACGATGAGGAGATATGCGAAGACTTACGATCCACCAAAGGCGTACCCGATGACATCGAAGGGTGCGATTCGTCCTCATCCCGTATATGTGCCTGAGCTTTCGCCAATTGAAGTGCCTCATTCGTCTTCCGTTCTAGCGCAGCTTGTGTATCAAAGTGTTGAGCTCGCTGTTTAGCGAGAGAAATTGCTTCTTGCGCATTGAGCCGAGCGTGTCGGTGCAGGTTGGTATGGTCGTCTACCAAGGGTAATTAAAATCATTGGAAGCAGGATGAGTCAGGAGAGACCTACCGTCATCGAAGTCGATATCGCGCAATTGACTAGGATCTATGTCAGGGACATCGGCTCCAGCAGGTGTAGGTAGATTGTCCCCATCTCCCTGCACTTCCGCAGCTGAAAATATCATATCTCAGCAAGTGTCCCATGGATAATGAAGAGGACGACTTACTCCTAAGCTTACTCCCCACGAAATGGCTATATAGCTCCGTCTGGCTGATCAAGAACTCAAGTTTTCTTGCTTGCCGCGCCGCTTCCCTCTTCTCCTCTTCCACTTTAGCGCGGTCAGTCGCCTCCTTCTGTTCACGTTTCCGTACGTCGCGCTCCTCTCGCTCATTCTTCTTCCAGAATACCAGCATCTCACGCATCATCCGCTTACCCTTCGCTTGAATATCCTTGTTCACTTTCGCGGTTCGCGTGAATGGGCGGCGCGCTTGCATTGACGAGAGCATGGCTAGACGCTTGAGTTGTGCTTGTCGAGCTTGGTAGCCCATAGCTGCATATTTGTACACCTATATTAAAAAGAGTTCTCAGTTCACAAGTCCAGATATTCGCAATCCATACTAACCTTCGCAACATCCCGCCTCGCAATATTCGTCCACACCTTCTTCTGGGCCTCCTCCAGCGCCTTTACCCTCTTCATCATAGCATTATCATCCACCTTCTTTGCTCTCTTGAGCGGCGGTACCACATCGTCCAGCTCATATACCAAATTCGACGTACTCGTCAGAGCAGGCGACGTAGGCCGCGACACAGGCGTCACATCCCCGGACACTGACGCAGGCGCAGAACCAAGTCCAAGCAGCTCGAGCGTCTCAGGAGGGAGGTGATTTATCTTCCTTTTCGGGCCTGGCTTCTTTCGCTGTGACTTGTTAGGCGTTGCAGGACCAGTACCCGGCCCTGGTACACTGTCTAGACTGGTTTCGCGTAGTTGGGCCTGCTTACCCTTCCCTTTGCCCTTCATTGCAGGCTTATTGGGAGATGGCCCTCCCTCACCTCGAACCACTGACTTCTCCAATTCATCCGCGATATCGAACGCGTCCCGCTCGATCTTTCGTTTTTTATTCACCGGCCTATCTCTGTCCTTCTCCCTGTCTTTCATGCCAGGAGGAGCGAGCGGGACTTCAAGATCGCTGCTCTCATCTGAAAGCGCACCTGGTGCTGGACGCTTCGCGCGTTCCTTGCCTTTCCCTTTGCGAGCGTTGTAAGCATGTGAGGTGCGTGCACCAAGAAGTGACTCTTCGAGCTCGCGTGCGGCGTCTTCAGCGCCTGTGCCGGTGGAGTGGACACCTGGGTCTAGAAGGCCGTTGTAACCTTCCAGCCCAGGTTCGTATGGGTCACCATGGTCGAGTGGAGGAGAATGACGCATGGATGAATGGAGGTCGTGCTCTGTGTGATGCCTGGATATTGGTGGTGGGGCTGGTGGAAGAGGGAGGGGAATAGAAGCGATGCGAGATACGTAGTGTCGGGACAAAGTCATTGCTGTAGAAGAATTACGCTCCTTTAAGGGGGGAAAAGGTTGATCTCAGCGACCAGCGCAAAAAAAGACAAAGACTGAAAGAAAAAAACACTCACGAGAACGCTACGCTCAAACCAGTCGACCACCTGCTGTCTACGCTTCTGGGTTTCTAATATGTACTCACTGAGCTCGCCAATCCATATCTCCTCACAATCGGACAAGTCTGAGGATGCGAGATAACGGTCGTCGTCCATTGCGAGTTCGTCACCTCTTTGCTCGAGCTCAGGGTGGTCCACCGCGGGCGACTCTGTCCTGCCGTTTTTCGACCACGACAATTGCTTACTGCGAGTAGCGTACTGTCCCCAAAAGAAATGAGTTTTTATTGAATATACGTATATAGTCAGAGACTTGACATACCCGTTTGGTCGCAGGAGGTTGGTAGTCAGGGTCATCATCATGACCTTTTCTCCGTTTCCTTGAAGCGCCCTCCCTTTCGCCGTCTTTGTAATATAACCCAGAAGAAGGCACCCTGCTTCCATGGACCATCATCTGTTGCTGGGCGTCGCGTTCGGGATAGTAGTTGCCGCCAGGACCGAGTGGAAATATGTCACCATGGACCCATTCACCGGTGTACGGGTCCCAACCGCCCGCACCCTGATAAGCAACAGGTTGGTATGTGTATCCTCTAGGGAGAGGAGGATGGTCGCCTACGGGGCTCTGGCTGTGGTCGAGTCTCTGTGGATGGTCAGGCTGGTGTGTGCGAGGTGGAGGAGGAGACATGGGGGCTGAGGAGAAAGCAGAAGAAGACGGGTCTTGTTGGAACGATGGATGCGAGTTTGACTCAGCCGGACGCAGAGAAGGCGACGGTTCGTCGTTGAGTATTCGGCTGAGCGACATTACAGAGAAGTATTAGGGTACAAGTAAGGATACAAGAATACAGAAACGAGGATGGTGGAGGTTCTGGAGAAGATGGAGGAGAAAGATTTGGATTTGAGACGCAAAGCCTCGTGGGATCTCAGAGGCTGTGGGCGAGGATCAAGGCTGATGAGTCTTTGTTCTGAATTTTGTAAGGGTCTTTCACTGTTTTGGGTACGAGTTGGAAATATGTGTGGCGGGATGTGTATGGCGGTGGTGAGGTGGTTATGGCGGTAGGAGGGGGGACATGGCAGAGTTTGGAGAGCGACTCAAGGTTTGTGTGGGTTATATATATTTGTGCACTTCAGTTTCGAGGCCCGGAAAACGACGGATACCGTCGACGCCAGCGAAAGCCACATTTGCTGTCAAACATTGCGCGTCTATTCAGGGAACCTCTTTCTTCTATTTCAGTCTCGGTACCACCCGGCGCTTACAAAACAACACCTCTATAACACATAGACATGATCAAATCTATAGCCTTTTCTAATAACACCACAGCATCCTCTATCCAAGCCTAGCCTTGTTCCCTGCCTGCATCAACAGGCTGAATGGTACACCTGCTAAAGGTTTCAGCCACAGAACTAACAATCTAATGCTATACGTACTGATCCCCGCGAAATAGACGGCAGTCCGCATGAATCCCTGGACCTCTGTTTTCTGTTGGATGTACACCCAGTTGTACAATGCGCGAAGCGAGACACTGTTAAATTTTATATTTTGGTCAGGTCACTAGCGCGCGTCCTCCAATTGGGGCAAGTAAACATGAACGGTTCTCACAAAATGAGGGAAGCCTTGTTGAGCGTTTCGTGGTCTAGCCCAACAAAGTTTCCAGCCAACTACGCAACGTGCCAAAAAGGTCATATTAATCTCGAACACCATCGGATAGATACATGTAGCTTACGATAGCAGCAATCCATATAGGCAGCGTTTCATTTCCGTTCTGCAACGTCACAAATAAGCAGACCTCCAAGGTAAATTACCACTGCTACACTTACCATGTGAGCAGCCTCCATTCTCCTCACTTTGGCTGCGAGCTCAGGCGAGAGCTTCTTCGAATCTGCCGCACGCTGGACGTTGCCTCGTGGGTTAACACTAATGGGAAGCGATGCTCAGTGCTCAGCTTCTTGGCTCAAAATAAAGCAAAATTTACTTATCAAACCCGATGGTAGAAGTGATCGTGACCGTCTATCATAAAAAAAACACGAAGCGCCGTTAAGTCTGCGACTTGGACAGCCACGCTGATACTGGACAAAGGCCGCGCAACTCACCTTGAGGAACGCAGGGAAGAACGAGACCACAAACATGGCCGGGATAGAATACAACGAGAGTGGTGCTGTGAGGTCAAAAAACATCGTTGGCAGGGAGGATGAGTGGAAAGTATAATAACAGGGATATAGTACGACAAACCTCCCAGACCAATCAAGCCACCATTATATACTTTTTGACATGCATAGTAACCACTCACCGCCCAAGCTGTTATTCAATGTCAATGTGCTGATCGTAGTGACCTGTGCAATTTGATGGCCCTCGACATGAAATTAGCAGGACTCGGGTCATGTGATCAACACGTCTACCGCTTATGCCACGTGATTCTTTACTTTCCTTCTCCCTTCCGCCATGCCCAACCCAAATCCAACGCCTCACCGCACTCCCCTCCGACGCATCTCCCAGCACTCCCTCTTTGCTCTCTCCCGCTCCTCCCAACACGCCCCAGACGCGCCCCATGGCCTTGCTTTCCTCGCACCCGCCCTCTCCGAGCTTGTCGACGAAACAGAGGCATTACAGGCAAACGTCGACCGCCTCAAAGCACTCAGCGACTCCCTACACACATTCAACGAGAGCTTCGCGAGCTGGCTTTATGTCATGGACATGAATGCGCTCACTGTTGATTGGCCTCAGGTCAGTGCAACGACGGAAGACTACCCCTGTCATGCTTATATGATGTCGTAATCATAGGCACCAGCAGACGCGTCGTTCCAACTCGCACAACGCAGAGCCGGTGGGTGTCGCATAGCGCATATAGTCGCTTTGATTTCTTCTTATCCAACTTTATTTTCCACCTCATTAGAACAAGATGCCCTAGCAACTCTAGAATCCCTCAAAGCACCCCCACCATCCGATATCGACCCAGATAAAACCACCTATACCGACACCGCAGAGGGAGAAACCACCTACACCATTGGCACAACCACCAACGCATCTGCCAATACTGCCAAACCCGCAACAAAGCCTAAGAAAAAAGGGAAGCCAAAACTAACCGCAAAGGAGAAGAAGGAGCGATCGGTAAGCCGTCACTTTCTGGCTGCATGATGGTCGGCTTCATCGCACTAATCGGCCCTTTAGCTTGCTATGGAGAAAATAATCTCGTGCCTGCCCCTCGAATTCCGAGGCAATGACCCGGTACGTGTCTTGTCCTTGCCTAATCATGATACCGGACCGTGCCTCATCCCATCTACAGAACCTGCGTCGGAACATGGAGACCGTCATCGAAGGTATGATGGATAGCGATGGCCGCGGTGTCAAACGTACGTGTATCCTATCCAATAGCATTGGAAGACGCCCGTAACTGATCTCATCAATGTAACATCAGTCATCGAGCTCATCGCCCCACCCGATTTGAATCAAGCTCGCGTGAACAAGTGCCTGATAGCCCTTGTCAACCGGAAGATCGTGCGGAAGGATAATAGTACCGTGCGTAATGATGATTTTGGGTTGCTCGCGATATTTAGCCAATACTGACTTGCTATGCTTATGATAGGGTTCTGTTCTATATCATTGGCACGGACTTCCCTGAAACTACATTACATTCATTGTTATTTACAATATACCCCATATATCTTGTCCTCAGTCACCAGACCTATTCATCAATGTAAATCATCGAAAACCAACGAAAACAGCCTTTACGACGTATCTGATATCTTTAACGCTAGAAAGCCAGAAATAACAATAAAAAAAATAACGTTTAATCAGAAACTCAATGGATCATCAGATGCCTCGAAATGTTGCGTAATAACGATTTTTCTTCGCGCTTTTGCCAGAGGGACAGTGTTTTCGCGCTCAGTCGCAGCGTCGTCTTCGTCGCCACTAGCATCACTCTCAGTCACACGCGAAGTGACTTTCTTGCTTGTCCTCTTGGACACGACTATCGGTCCTTGGTTGCTAGAATCCGATAAAGGATTACTCGCATCAGACCTATCGTTGAAATCGCAGTTATTCAAACAGCTAGGAGAAGAGCATACAATCACCAACCCTGTGTTATTCAACCGACTCCTCTTCTTTTCTGGCGAAGCAGGCGCGCCCTTGCCAGGACTGCGCAAACGTCTGTATTCCGCCATTATCAGCATTGTATCAACTCCACTTGAGAGAGAGCAAACAACGTACTTCGACGTCCGCCGTGTGCTTGTATGCGCGCCACGATTTTCCTTGTTTTCAGGACTGATTATCCACAAGTTTTAGTGGCAGATGTAGAACAAGAGCCGAATACTTGCCGGGCTGAAGCTGAGGCTTTTCGTTTCTTGAGAGCAGCTGACGATTGGGGATGGGATATTTTTTTCTTTGCCTTCGGCGTCGGTGTAGGAGAACTGATTTTGTCAGTAAAATCAACCGCTACTCTGCCAATACGCAAGGGAAGGAATTCACCTTGATCGCGACTCATCATCAGACGATACTTCAAACTTATCTATCTCCTCCACGGTAGCACTGACCGTGCAATGAAACTCATCAATTCACGACCATAGCGGCAGGGTTTGCACACTTACCGTCCTCGTTCTGGAGGCGCTTCCACTGGAGGTGGTTCTACGTCACTCTCACCGGCGACCTCGGCATCGCTGACAGGAGGGTCTTCGTATTTTGGTATACCCACCCCAATATACTCGTACAGCTGAACAAAGTCATCTGTGCAAATATATTCCTGTCTGTGGATTTTGCCTAGCCGACCTGAAAACTGCTTCATGAAACGAATTTTGAACCGCTCGAATAGTTTCGCTATTGCTGAGTTTTCCAAGGGGCATTGCTAAATATAAATGTCAGCGACTGGGAGAAGGAACTATCCGTTCGTGACCCGGTCGTACCTCTTGCAGATGCGAGACCAAAATGTCCAGCTTTAACATCGAGCTCGTTTCGAGATCGTCCGGGACGTAGAGATGGCCCAAGAGTTGTGAGAGTGTCTTCTGATCTTCATCTGCAACGCTTTGATGTAGCCAGGTAGGATGCAAAAGAGAGAGGACGTACCACTACGGTCAGAGTCATACAGGGCCTTCAGTATATCGATCGCCAAGTCTACATGGACATCCCGCGAAACAACATTTGTGTCTTCCCTATAAAATCGAGCGACATGATTCATGAATGAATAACTGCACAAGAAGTCCAAGGAAATGAGTGTCACGGACATCTTTGCAGCCTTTTGGGGGTTTGTCCAGTCGATGAAGAGCAATCCAAATTGATAAGGTGAGATCATTTCTTGATCATCTTCCAGGTCCTCGAAAACGCGGGTTATCAGATCATATGCTGTTATGAATATCTAAGGCAAAATGTTGTAAGCCATGGGAGCAATAGAAAAAATAGCACAAAGACTGCGCACCGACTGCATCCTGCTTTGATGAAGTGGATACGAGTAACAGTAGACTGGGAAAAAGTATGATAGGCACTGTCGCAACTCCAGGTTTTCCGCTGTGGCAGGAGATACATATGCAAGAACAAGACTGGTAAGCACCTATGTCATATACTACTTTCAGCCAAAGTAATCTAACATCGAGTCTGCCTCTCACCCTTGTATCCGTCACGACACCGCACAACAAGAGCTTTGAAATCCCCATAGAAATCACTGCTTGCACTGCAACTGACTCCTCGTATTCGAGTGTCTGGAGCAAGAACGTGAGAATACGCTCTGCCTTTGGAACACCATTATATTAGTCTTAGTACACGACGGGAAGAATAACATTGACTCACTACATCCTCCGAACGGCCGAAAAATTCCTTGTCGTACACCATCAACAAATCGAAGACCACCTGAAGCACTTTGAGCTTGAGTCCTTCTGGTGCACCCTGCACCTGACTCAAGAAGAGCTGGAAAGAACTCAGCGCCATGTTCTATGTAATGGTCAGAGGCGCTTAGCAACAAGCAACTGCATGAAACCTACCTTAGCGATCAGGCAGCAGAGCCCCAAGCTGATCAGACCTTTCTCCCTCAGAAGGGATTCCTTTCTTTTGACAGCTGGTATAATCAGATCAGCGAGAATGCCCTCAAGGACCGAGTTGTCTTCAAAGCTCTATGGCACATTAAATTGTCGTTGTTTACGCATAACATGAAGATGAGAAAACTGACGCAATTCACTCGTTCAAGGGTGGCAATGCAAATAGATAGACATCTGACATCTACAGCGTCGGCTTGTATCTTTTCTTCCGGGGTCATGTCGCGAGCTTCTTTCGTACGGCGCATAGAGCGTTCTCTGTTGATGGTCATCTGTGTCAGGTCTAATTCGCTTTCATCGTTAATAAGTTGCTATGCCCAAAAACTTGTCAGATTCGAGATTAGCCCTGCAGTTTCAAAATGGGCTTACCGAATCACCAGCAGCCTGCTTTTCCACCTCATCTCGAAGGTCAAGGATGGCTTCGACCGAAAGCCGGATAAGCTCACGTTCTCCGTGTACAATGACCTTTAAAACATCCAAACAACGTTCTATCAAAATCTCGGGCAAGTAAGCGTGAGCAAGTAATTCGCCTAAACGAACTACGGTGAAGAGGTATATCCAAGGTAGAACGAGACCACTTACGAATAACCACCAGGAGTTTCCTTCTCCCGACCTCGTCAGTGTAGTCCAAATGCACAGCGCTCTTGAGGAGCTCGCTTAAGATAAATTCACGCTGTGTTCTCTGTTCCTCTCTGCGATCCTGATTCTCCTCGTCCATATCTTCCTCGTTACCCAATAGCCTAGCCTCCTCATCCTCTTCTATGACCCCTAGCAATTGATTGAAGGCTTCTTGGACAAGGAAAGCGAAAGCTGTCACCTCAGGCAGAGCAGACGCGTCTAATCGTCCTTGGCCGTCAGCAGATACACAGTGCTCAATGAACGTTCGAGCTAGGAGAGCGCTCTCCGGAGATAAATTATCCCAAAATTCTTCTATATGAATTAATAATAAAGTCAAGAGGAATAACTAGAAATAAAGCGACAGTTAGACTCACTAGTAAAACACATGGAATCCAACACATCCATTCTTGTCATGAAGACTGACAAGAGAGCATCCGTAGCGATTTGTTCCCCAGGACCAATAACGTCAAAAATCTCCAAAAACCTTACTAACCCTTGCGTCATACTGTCTGATGGCTTTTCTGTCCCATTATCACCATCAACTTGGACCATATCGAACCAAACACCTAGGACTTTGCCAGCGGCTATGCGCACAGCATCTTCTCTGTCACCGAGACCATCTCTGACGACTTGTTCTCTGTCAGCTATTGTGAGCTGCCGGGGGTGTTCAACTTTCTTCATGAGAACAGACGCGTAAACTAGCTTTCTCATAATGGGATCAGTATCTCTTGTTCTCGTTAAAATAGCGGGTAAAGTCAATGGCGATACGGGCACATTGATGAGCGCAGCACGTCGTACTTCACTATGTGAGATTTGCACTAGTTAGAATAAGCTGTAGACGAAGACAGATTAACATAGCCAGCTTACGCGGCAGAGTCCAGGCAAAGACATTCGAGGACGGCTTGCATGATGGATTTCTCCCCCGGTTCTAAGTCATCAATATCTTCGGTGCCGATGAGCTTGGAGAGGGCCACGACAGCATGCGCTCGGACTAGGGACTCTTTGTCAAGTGTTCGCTCCATGAGTTCATCCCGGAGAACAGTGTACGCGTCTTCGCTAGATGATAGGTCTAAGTATAGCAATATATAAGACTAGGTGTCCGTACGTACTCTATCGCTCCCAAGCTAAATATCATCTCTGAAACTATGCTCACTGTACGAAACCGTACCACCTTATTCTTTGCGGCGAAACCTTGGGAAAGCCACTTGAGCAGTCGAGCAACGAAACGAGACGCAGGAGTGTCATCATCCTCATCATCTGTGATTGAGGAAGTAGATGGGTCGGAAGGATGGGCCACATGTTCCATAGCTAATTATAGATCAGTATCAAAGCTTAAAAGAACACAGAGAGACAAACCTTTCTCATTGACAAACTTGACGAAAGCCCCAATAAACTTCACAATGCGATCTACGACAGGGGGTCCTTTCTTCACGACAACGATACGAGAGGTCATGTCAACAAAAACGTCCCCAAAGGCCTTCTCTCCGGCGAGCATGATGGCACCATTCTTCGAAGTTTGGGTAAGATTGGCGGCCTTCACAAAAAGTTTATGCAGAGCAACACAGTTTTTACGGTGATTGGCAGTCGAAATCTGTGCTTGATCAAATATTGCACCTGTTGAGTCCAGCAGAGAGTCCAGAAAATGTGAAGGAGGCATCAAGCAAAAGTTGCTGCACAACCAACCAACAGGACGGCAGTAAAGATGAACTCGATACACAATCATCAGGCGCGTCAACGATACGCGTTTAGACATCACGTGACACCATCGCGGGAGTAAACTCATATTCACCAATCAAGAGTACTTTGAGTAGATACGAACTACAATACTGGATATTTCATCATTTCGCTACCCATTCCGTATCTCAAAGCGCTGTGATGCGATGAATTGGTATGATTAATCAACTCATGACAAACCTTGACCCATTGATACATCGTACTCAAGATCATATCTGCGGTTGTTCCGAGTCCTGACACCGATTACTGTACTGGTAAAAACTTGAATACGATACGAGCGTGGGCCTTTGAAATCTGAAATTGAGAAGAGAAGAAGTGCGTATTGATTATTTGCAACGATCGGCATAACATTGTGACAGGACGGCATAGCTATGTACCTACTCCTAGGACCTTGGACGTATGTGTATTATGTTAGATAATTTATTCGTAGATACGACTTTCATATCGTACTATTAAAGGAACCCAAATTATGGTAATATACCACCATACGACCACCATTCCTGTCTGAAAAATACATATATAGTAAGATAAAGGGTTATCAGCTAGCTTATAGTCAAACGAACAAAATGAAATAAATTCTGTTAATGTGGTAGGGTTGATCGGGACCATCGGGTCAGTTGACCTGGGCGAGGGGGAAAAGAACAAAAAGCTTACGCAAGAGTCTAGAAATAGCATCAAATCAACGGCAGTGGTGTAGACGCTCGCTGCCGGCGACTGGTCCGGTCAGTGATCTCACCTCGAGGGCCAAATGATCCCTGCCATGCTGTGCCGTCAACAGGCAAAGACTCATTAGTGGACGAACGGTGACGCTTCCCCACACGGTGATACGTGAAGTCCTGGGAAGTATGAGGTGCTGCCAGACCGGATCCACGCACAGGGGAAGCTTCTGTGGAAGAGGCCAGGGTACTTCTCAATACATCATTTCTCCAAGTCTCGATAGAGCGCAACGGGTCCTCTGGGGAGAACGCTACAGATTGTCGACCGGTACCGTTGGGAAAACTACACTCGCTAGATCCCCCCTTCGAGGTAGACTCGAGGCTAAAGTCGAAACTGCCCACACCAGTTCCTTCCGTGAAAGTGTCCATGTCCCTCAGCAGCGGCGCAGCTGGTGGAGCCATGCTATTGTCCCACTCAATGGGATAGAAGATGAACTGTGTATCACTATGTTTTCCATCAGACAACGGTTAGTCTGACTGCGACCGCAGCAGATCTGACTGACACACCTTTCATAATGAAGGAATGGGGCACGAGCAGGCTCTGGGGTGGGTAAATTAGTTGTATTTGTTGAAGGGGTCGTGCCAAGCGTGTGCTGAAGGAGAGGAGGACTGATGTATGCCGCTATCTGAGCAAAGTGATACTTGTATGGAAACGAGCTTACATCAGAGAAGAGGTGGGAGTGCCGACAAATGGGCGTCGAAGATCCACTTCCTCCAATGAATCTAAGAAAGCTGGATTAGACACTACGTGTCTCTCTTCGCACACCATGAAATATGAAGAAGCGGCACAAACGGCTCGCGAAAGAAAAGCGTGAAGGGTCGGAAAGGAGAAGAAAGAGAAAACCTGTTATATACACGAAGAGCAGAGTGAGGGAAGTGCGAAGGAGCAGACGCTGCGGAGTTTGTTCAAGGGGTGCGTTACTTGAAAGGTATGGGCGCCAAACCCTTAAAAGGAATATAAGGGAAGCTGTGTAAGTTGCTTGAAATTCAGACTTGCTGTGCTTGTCGTGGAAGAATCACTTATCCTGGCGGGTCCATTCGAGTCACCAAGAAATATCAATACTTGAACAAACGCTATTGCGGGATCTACTAACAAGGGTGGGGGCATTCCTGACTTGAGCATGGTAAGCATAGCTTTCAGTACTTGGACGAGGGTGATGGCATCGCGGACCGTCGTGGAACGCGTTGGCGGATCGGAAAAGCCGTCTGAGAGAGTACATAACACAGTCGTTGGATCCACCTTGTCAAAGTATATGATCGGAAGTGTGCACACATCACATACCACTGCATCAACTTATATCTCACGGAGATGATAGCTGCGCAGATGACCATATGTAAGGAACCAATGCCAACCGCAGAAATCGCAAAGGTCAGAGACGTACGGTTTCAGACATGATCATGCAGTCGGTGCTGTTCCCTCACCGTCATATGTGTGGCAGAGCGAACTAGTGTAGTGAAGGTAATCGATCAGATCATTTCTCTCGTCCAATAGAAATGCCTATGCCCACGGGTTTGTGGTTAGACTCTCCGAGGAAATCAAAGCCTGTACAAGCATGTGTTACGTTTAAGACTATGCCATAAGTCTTTTTCGAGACTCACTATACAATGAGTGGAGGCTGTATACCATGCACTAGCGCTCAGAAAACATACATTTGGCCAAGCATATGGGCGACAATCTTGTCAACGTTTGAGTTTCAAGTTGTGACTTCAATTTACCGGTCACCGAGAGAGTAAAGCCACAACGTTATTTGTCAGTGTTTGTTTTTCTGGTCTGTACCGGTGACCGACGTGTTCAAACGAATTTTAGCAGAGTTCCGTTCAAGCTCTGCGATACCCATTTCACCTCCACACCCTTTACACCCAACAGATAACCCACGTTCACAGATACAGCTTACACGAAATGCTCAACTTTGAAGATGTCGAGGAGAGAGATGGTTAGTCGAGATCCTTGCAATGCTTGAACCCTGATACGACTACCAGTGTCATTTTTTTTAAATATCTTTATAGGCGTACGCTTATCTTGGAACGTTTGGCCATCATCTCGCATTGACGCGACGCGCACTGTGGTTCCCATTTCTGCGTTGTATACTCCATTGAAGCAGAGAGAGGATCTCCCCCCCGTCCTATACGAACCCGTCACTTGCAAACCGCCGTGTCGCGCCATTCTTAACCCTTACTGGTATGTTCTCTATCCTCTGCACCGACGGCACTTTCTCATTCAAATATACAGCCAGATTGATATCAGAGGCAAGCTATGGATATGCCCTTTCTGTCTATCCCGCAACGCTTTCCCACCCCACTACAAAGACATTTCTAACACCAATCTGCCTGCGGAGCTACTGCCCAAATACACTACCATCGAGTACACTCTTTCTAGGCCAGCTCAAGTCCCGCCTATCTTTTTATTCGTCGTCGACACCTGCTTGGACGAAGAAGACTTGAAAGCTCTGCGAGATGCGTTGGTAGTCAGCTTGAGTCTGATCCCTCCCTATGCTCTCGTTGGTCTCATTACCTTTGGGACGATGGTACGTGCTATATTGATTTGCAATGTGTTCAATGAATGAGCAAGTGTCGTAGACTCAAGTTCATGAACTTGGATATGCGGAGTGCAGCAAGTCTTATGTATTCCGTGGAGGCAAGGAATATGCACCCAAGCAAATTCAAGATATGCTTGGGCTTAGTGCGACTACTCGCGCTGCACCTCGCCCTGGTCAACCAATGCCGCAACAGACATTCGGAGCCGCACGTTTCCTTCTGCCAGTACAACAATGTGAATTCCAATTGACTGGCATTCTGGAGGCATTGGCTCGCGACCCCTGGCCTGTCGCAAATGACAAACGTGCGCTACGTTGCACTGGCGTAGCTCTCAGCGTCGCCGTTGGGTTACTCGAGGTTAGTACATGTGACTATTTGTGCATCTCAGAGGCTAATTCACCGGTTTACAGACTACTTTCCCGAACACAGGTGCCCGCATCATGCTGTTCGCTGGAGGACCGGCGACTGAAGGACCGGGAATGGTTGTAAGCAATGAGCTGAAGGAGCCAATACGATCACATCATGACATTGAGCGGGACAGCGTTAAACACTTCAAACGTGCAGCCAAAGTAAATAATTATATACTATTCTTAAACTATGGCTTGATAATTTTCATTGCAGTTCTACGAAGGTCTGGCCAAAAGAGCGTCGAACAACGGACATGCAGTCGATCTGTTTGCCGGATGTTTAGATCAGGTGGGCTTGCTGGAAATGAAGTCTCTTCCAAATTCGACGAATGGGGTTATTGTGTTGTCGGACTCTTTTGCTACATCCATCTTCAAGCAGAGCTTCCTCCGGATATTCAACAAGGACGATCAGGACTTTTTACAAATGGGCTTCAACGCCACGCTCGATGTGCAGGTAATTATTCTATAAATACGAGTCTGCTGATGAGGCTGATTGGTCTATGCACAGACAACGAAAGAGTTGAAGGTCTCGGGACTGATCGGCCATGCTATCTCAGCCGGAAAGAAGTCTGCATGCGTCGGGGAGACGGAGATCGGAATCGGTCAGACGTCCGCATGGAAAATGAATTCAATTACGCCACGTACTTCCGCTGCTGTGTATTTCGAGGTGGTGACACCCGCTGGCCAGGCGTTACAGCCTGGATCACGGGGACTCATACAGTTCGTAACACACTACCAACACTCTTCTGGACAACAGCGACTACGGGTGACCACTATCGCTCGGAACTTTGCAGAGGCAGGCTCGCCCAACATTGCTTCTTCGTTCGATCAAGAAGCAGCTGCAGTACTGATGGCCAGGATCGCGGTGTTCAAGGCAGAGATTGACGACTCACCTGATGTGCTGCGCTGGTTAGACCGTATGCTCATTCGTCTTTGCCAGAAGTTCGCCGATTATAGGAAGGAGGATCCCGCAAGTTTCAGACTGACAGACAATTTTAGTATTTACCCTCAATTCATGTTCCATCTGCGGCGAAGTCAGTTTTTGCAAGTTTTCAACAACAGTCCAGATGAGACTGCATTCTATAGGTTCGTGTTGTCATTTTCCTATCATGTTTTATTCATATGCTTTTCAGGCATATCCTCAACGAAGAAGACGTTAACAACTCTCTTATCATGATTCAACCTACGTTGATGTCCTACACTTTTGACGTTCCCCCTCAACCAGTACTACTGGACAGTGTTTCTATTAAACCAGATGTCATCCTCTTGTTAGACACGTTTTTCCACATTCTTATCTTCCATGGAGAGACGGTTGCCCAATGGAGAAAAGCAGGCTATCAAGAACAAGAAGGATACGAGAACTTCAAAGAACTTTTGGAGACGCCGGTAGCTGATGCGCAGGTTTGTTCTAACCTTTTGATCCCTCTTAACCACTAATACTTGTCATCAGGATCTTCTTGTGGATCGCTTCCCAATTCCTCGTTATATTGTTTGTGATCAGGGTGGAAGTCAAGCACGATTCCTCCTCTCAAAACTCAATCCGTCAACAACGCATATGTCGGCGACTATGTATGGCTCGGCCCAAGGTGCTGGAGCAGGACAAGCTATCTTCACAGATGATGTCAGCTTGCAAGTTTTCATGGAACACTTGAAACGCCTTGTAAGTTCACGTTCGCTTTCCAGCCCTTACTGCAGTCATTATCTAAAACATTTCACGCAGGCTGTCGGTGCCCAAACGAATTGATATGTTTCACGATCGCCTTAGATATGTTTTCTGCTCTATTCCTTTTATTGAGAATCAAGCTTTTCTATTCCTTCGCTCTTCTGGTCCACTGGCATCCTATATTTTTTATATCGTCTTTGTTGGTATCGATAGCTTATGTGGCTTTGTCCATATTCCTATACGCACTTTCTTGAGACGAACTGTAGCTTTCTTCCCCATATCCATGAATGCGAAGTGTTCGTTGGTTCAACTGGTGCCTTACCTCTCGATGTGCAGGCGCTGATGACTGTCTATACCGTGTGTGTCTTGCCTGCCTGCATTGCTCGTGCAGTGTTATATTTTCGTCTTTTGATAAGAGCTTGCATCTTGCATCTTGATCCGACCCCCTTGACATGTAGTGTGTAGCGTTTGATGGCCCCAAAACCAGAGTACCTAACGACTGTGACAGTCGTGTACTAGGATGCTGGTATCAGGATTGGAGAGTGTAGTCTTTCAGATGCGGCACTATCATGCACACCGGTGTCGCTCAGATCATTACATTGACACTTGAATGAAGTTGTTAGATGGACCAGCATTCTGAGTGAGGTTACTCCTGTTATAGTATGCGTGCCCCTGAAGCTGACTCTGAATTTGAATATTTCTCCTTAAATGATCATTCAAACTGGCTCTTTTCACTTGCATCTTTCAACCTGCATCTCATGATCGCGATAAAGAATATGGTTGATGACAGCCGTGCCATGATTCTAAGGTTTAACTTCCTCGGACCATTCAAACTTCCTAATCGGATCATGCTATTGCGCTACGAAGATTTATAAGACCCAGAAGGTACAGTTCTATAAACATCCACACGAAACATTACTGAGTCTTAGTATGGCATTCTGCACTTGATGCAATTATAGTATACCAATTTCGATATCGTTTTACGAGGAACACGCCTTATTTGATACGCCCGTTCAAATCTGTCGCAATGCCTGTAAGGACTGGGCTGTCATAATATGCATGTGGAACTCGTCTGCATGGCCGGTCCGGTGGCTTTTCATCAAGTATCCGTACGGCAGATATAGACGGACTCTTATTATGCAGCTATCGAACTTCTTGAAAGGAGTATGAACTGAGACGAACGTGTAGCAATATCCAGTTCGACACGTATGGCAGTATACTACTAGCTCAGCTCAACGTGCTAATTGCCGCGGCGCGGAACTGTACTTTGCGGTGCGATCGTAAAAGCGATAGTACTCTCGATGGTACTAGTAATAGATCCACCAGACACGGACTTCTTCGAAGGACGGGAAAATGGATGCGTGCCTCAGCCCACATGGACCAAGGCTCTATCAAGTCATAGAATTCTCATACATTGTAGCTATTATCGTTTCTCCCCAAATCACGCATATGTGCCTCTAAATGTCGTTATCTCTCTTCGGGAGCATCCAAGAAGCGAGAAATGCTTAAAGGATTCACCACCTCGCATCAACACACACACTCGTCCGCGTTCAACCTTTCGACTCAGACTGGTACACGATTGGGTATCGCCACTCATGGTTTCTTATCCCCAGGGCGAACAGCCGACCACCAAGTCGAGTTCAGATGCTATTCAACCTGCTTTCGTAGATGCTGCCGCTCACTATGATCATTCACGGGAGGGAATACCATACGACAGCAAGGAGTTTGCATTGATAGAGAAAGATACTGGCGCCGATTCAGAAAAGGAATCTGAATTATACTATGGCGATCCAGACGCAGACGACGTTGTCCTGGTAAATGGCGAGCCGGTCGTCTCCTCAGGAAAGGATGTATCGCGCTATCTGATAGACCTACGCGATGATGGAGATCCAGCTTTAACTTTCCGGTCACTTTTTATCGGAACCGTGTTTGCTGGTCTCGGCGCTGCACTTAGTCAGGTACGTCCCATGTCATTTACAGAGGTTTCACAATATTCACTTCCCTTGCTATAGATATATATGCTGAAGCCAGTACAAGTTACCGTGTCTATGGTCTTTCTCCTTTTGCTCATTTACAGTGTCGGGTTGGCTTGGGCTAAATTCTTACCTGGGAGGTCTACAGTTGAACATACTCGACTGGCATGGCTGGGTTCCACCATTGAATTCATAAATCCGGGTGAATTCCAACTGAAAGAAGTGCGTATAGGTACTATAATTTCAAGAAGCTGACTGAATTTAACACATAGCATGTCATCTCTGCATTGGTGGCTTCAACGGCATCATATGGAAGTACGGCCGTCCAAAACTTTGCTGTGCAGCGGGTATGTTGTCGATCATGAATTTTGTACTTCTTCATATTAATTTTCGTGTAGTTGTATTATAATACCAATGTTGGGGCAACCACGGCTGTTCTTGCGACTTTTTCCACGGCATGCTTCGGGTATGCATATTTCGTTTTGTCATTGCTATATCAAGTCTTGAGCTGAAATTAGATATGGACTGGTCGGCTTACTACGCCCTTTGACCGTTTATCCGAGTGAAATGGTGTACTGGAGTGTAAGCAGCTGTAACATAGCATATGAAAGCGAAACTGATATCAATCCATAAGAATCTCCCAACAGTCTCTATATTTCAAGGTTAGAAGCTCACCGACAATGTTTTTTATTGCTATTAATTTCTTTGGGTCAGCTTTGCATTTTGATTCCGCTGCTAATAACAAGCGGGTCAAGCTTTTTTGGTCAGCATTTATCGGAATGTTCCTTTACGAGCCCATACCATCCTATATTTTCCCTTATCTAAATGGTTTTAACATCTTCTGCCTTGCCTCCCAAAAGGCCTCGGCGAAGACCCAAAACCTCTTCACGAATCTTTTCGGTGGCGCGGAGGCTAACGAAGGTTTGGGCCTCCTGAGTCTATCGTTTGACTGGCAATATATTACGTCGTCAGTAATCTATCATGTTTCTTGATTCATGTTGTTGACTTTTTCCATTTGTTCTAGTACATTCATGAGTTTGCCCATCACTCAACAAGGTATCGTACTGCACCACTAAACGTGCACGCAAATGACATACTTTGAACTGGACAGCGAACTCGTGGATTGGCTATGCCCTCTGCTATATCATCTTCATGGTGATCTATTACACTAATACGTGGAATGTACGTATTTCTCAAGTCTAAGAAATATCTGCATGTGAAGCCTATCTCATTTGGTAAACAACAGTCGCTGGCTTTCCCAATGATATCGACATCGATATTCTCCTCAAACGGCTCTATCTATGATCAGTCAGCTGTATTTGGATCAACCTTCCAACTCAATCAAACTGCACTGGACGAAATCGGCTTACCAGCGTTAACAGGTTCTAACGCCTGGGCCAACCTAACTGCTAATCTTTCGGTAACTGGATATTTTTTATTCAACACCAATCGTAATACACACCCTTTTTATAGATCGGTGGTCTGATTGCCCACTGTATATTTTTCTGGGGCCCTTACGTGAAGGAATCCTTTCAGCAGTCTCGGAACAAAACTCAACCTGATCCTCACTGGAAGGTAGGCATCAAAATATACCTACTTGGCGGCATACACTAAGAGTTATCACAGGCTATGCAGAAATACGATGAATGCCCTTGGTGGTGGTATCTAATTTTACTGGGCCTTGCATTTTTTGCTGGCAAGTTGAAGGGACTTTTCTCTTCTGTACAGCTGACACAACTGGAACTTTATAGGCTTGATCGTTGTCTTGAAAGGGCAGACTACGTTACCTTGGTGGTCCTTCTTAGTGGCTCTGATTCTGGGAGGTAAGTAAGTTTGATCGATCGTGTAAAGCATTCGCTAAACGAGGTTACAGCTTTTGTTACGGTGAGTATCGTAGAAATACATGCACGGAGATACTTACTCTGTACTCTAGCCATTTTCCACACTACTTTTTGCTCGCATGGGAAACGGTGTCGCTACTCAACAACTGATGAAGATGATTGCAGGACTTATAAACCCTGGAAGACCTGTGGCAAACCTTTATGTACGTGTTTAGATGGCTTGTTTATTTTCGAATACTCATAGTTGTAGTTCTCCATGTGGAGCCACGATATTGTTGGGCAATCCATCGAGCTGGCTGGCGACCTAAAAATGGGGCAGTACCTGAAAGTACCTCCCCGTGCGATGTTCTTGACTCAAGTCTGGGGCACCATTGTTGGTGAGCTTGAATACTATAGATTGATATCACGAGTTGCTTATTTGTCGTAGGGGCGATCGTTAATTATGGCAAGTACCTGGAAATTTTGAATATTAGCCCTGTTGTCTAAGCTTATACCATAGTTGTGATGGTTTCAATCGTCGATGCCCAGCGCGAAATTCTCATCAATCCTGTGGGAAATGATGTATGGAGCGGCCAATATATTCAGACTCTTAATAGCGGTGCTGTCACATGGTCTCTTGCGAAGGATTTGTACGGACAAAACGGCCCTTATTTCGTTATCCCTTTGAGTTTACTCATCGGGGTGGTGCCTACGTTTATTCAATGGCTCATCTCCAAGGTGCGTTGTTAATTATACGATGATAGCAGACTAGCCCAACTTGTGAATGTTAGCGATGGCCTATGATTGGACCAGTGAAGGTGGATTCAGTCATATTGCCCATAATTTATATGGTATGTACAATTTTGGTCCTATGGCCGAATAGAATCAAGTAATGACTTGTTTCCTTTTAGTATTCATCCTGGATGTCGTCCGGGGTCAGCTCAATAATCTTATCATCTGTCATCGTGGGACTAGTCTCACAAATATGGCTTCGAAAACATCACCCGGGTTGGTTCAGAAAATACAATTATATCCTCGGTGGTGCGCTCGATGGTGGCGCCCAAGTCATGATTTTCATTTTGTCGTTTGCTGTATTCGGGGCTGCCGGGAAGGTTAACCCTTTCCCTACCGTAAGAACCATTTACCGCCATGTAGAATATATGCTGATCGTTTCTTATAGTGGGCAGGTAATCCTGGAACTGGAAATGTGGACTATTGTAATGGTAACGGCGCTTTGGACTGAGGAATAAATACATACAAATGAAACGGTTACATGGGACTCAGTTGATATATACACGGCTGTATCCATGTTTGTACAGTACTTGTAACACTATCCATACACTAGATAACGAAATTGTAAACTTGAACGTGAACTGTAGATGAACATCGATGAATCCTTCTAGTGTACTCAACTGCAGTGGAATCGGAACTGTTACTAAAATAAGTATGATTACGTAATTGAGGCACCGAGCACCGGCGGCTGAGTTTTTCTGGAAAGACGCCGTATATTTTGCCAACGTATACACGTTTCCCAGCGCCAACGATATCCTTGTCTGGTCCTTCCTTCCGCAAGATAGAAGGCCTCTTTCCCCCCAACGTCCCACTTGTATGTAACATCAGCTTCTGGGAAGTCCTTTCAAGTTTGACAAGCCTCATTTAGGTTTCGCTTCACGTTCGCCAGTGAGGGAGACGGAGCATCATACTGCTGTTCAAGTACAGCTCAATATGTCAGTGACATATATTTGCTGACTTACAACCAACTGATTTCTTGCAATAGGGCTCCTGTAACCGTCAAATCTTCCGAAATATCAAGAGCCAGTCTGCACGTTGCTCTTCCTTGGTACACGCACGTGTACTCGATTCCATTTCTTTCGTTGTACCCTCTCCTAGCATACGCTTACTATGTTAAGTATGATGATTGGTTGAAGAGTGAAGAGTGGACCTTCTTAGCCTGCGTATCACTAGGAGCTGGTCACGCTCTCAGCTTCTTGGTTACACGATGGAGTGCTGGCGCTAAAGCTTGGGTAACGACCCGCAAGGTACGCGTGATATGTTCTCTATCAGTAAAAAAGCTGACCCTCGCATGAATGAAGGCTTATTCTCTAGAAGAAGCCGACTGCATACGCTTGGTACCTCACGTCCATCGTGGTCAAGGCGACATCGTGCCTCTCGACAAGAAAATCCGTTCAGACCCCAGGTCCTACACTTTCAGCTATCAGCGAGACACTTATGTCATTTCCACAACGTCGCCGATATCTTTCACTTTATTACCTTATCCTTCGACCCATTGCCCACCTCTGTCGTCGTTCACTGCCCCGTCTGGTTTGCGCGCTTCAGAAATTCCACCGCTAACATCTTTATACGGCAAGAATGAATTCAACATCCCTATTCCGTCCTTCTCAGAGCTGTTCGGTGAACACGCTACTGCACCATTCTTCGTATTCCAGATCTTCTGCGTCGCACTATGGTGTTTGGATGAATACTGGTATTATAGTCTGTTTACGCTGTTCATGTTAGTCATGTTCGAGTGTACCGTCGTCTGGCAGGTAAGCCTCTGTGCGACTTCGGTGCATAACATACAGTTGACCAACAACTGTTCATCAGCGGGTGAAAACATTGACCGAGTTCCGCACAATGTCGGTTGCCCCGTATGCTATCCAGTGTCTTCGGAACTCCAAGTGGGTAACGATCCAAAGCGATGAACTTCTGCCGGGTGACGTAGTGTCCATCGGTGAGCCGTTTTTATCTCTCCGTGCCACGTCTTCTCAGTAGAAGTATGTAGCTCGTCAGCAGTCGGAGACGACCGTTCCTGCAGACATCCTACTCGTGCAAGGTACTTGCATTGTTAACGAGGCCATGCTTTCGGGCGAATCAACGCCTTTACTTAAGGAGTCCATTCAACTTCTGGAGAGCTCGGATAAAATGGACGTCGATGGCGCGCATAAGAACGCAGTCTTATTTAGCGGCACCAAAGTTCTACAAGCCAGCCCTACAGGTGCAGATAGTGCATTATATGATAGACGATCCTGGTACTTACGTTGATGATTAAAGGACAAGGACAAGTGTCCGCCAGCACCCCTGATGGTGGTTGTCTTGGTGTCGTGTTGCGAACTGGATTTGGTACCGCTCAAGGGCAGCTTGTCAGGACGATGATTTTCTCTACTGAGCGTGTGTCTGCCAACAATCTGGAATCGTTCTTGTTTATTGGATTTTTACTTATATTTGCCATTGCGGCAAGTTGGTATGTTTGGGTTAAAGGTTCGTTCCTAATTCAAGTTCTGTGCGGTATATTTATTACTCTATGTCGCATATAGGAATCGAAAGGGACTTGAAGAAATCCAAGCTTCTTCTTGATTGCGTTCTCATTATTACAAGTGTCGTTCCTCCCGAACTGCCCATGGAATTATCCTTAGCAGTCAATGCCTCGTTGGTTGCTTTGTCCAAGTTTGGTGAGTTGTGTTTGCATCCCAAGATAACTTCCTTTCCCAACAGTCTTTCTCCTTAGCGATCTTCTGTACTGAGCCGTTCCGCATTCCATTTGCTGGAAGGGTTGATGTGTGTTGCTTCGACAAGACCGGTACGATCACCGCCGAAAACCTAGTCCTTGAGGGTATCGCTGGCATCGAGTTCGTATATACCACTAGTTATCATCCCGACATCACTTGGCTAACTTACTAACAATAGTGCCTCTGATAAACGCAAATTGGTTGACGTCAAAGACTCGAGTAAGCAGACAACACTTTGTCTTGCTGCTGCACATGCGTTGGTCCGCCTGGACGACGGCACTGTTGTAGGGGACCCCATGGAAAAAACCACTTTGGAAGCACTGGACTGGAAATTGACTAAAGGCATGTCGTTCCATTTAAATAAAATATCATTCTCTAATGTTCATATCCAGGTGACCAAATTGCACCAAGTTCATCGTCGGCACCCAATGCTGCCAAGATTTACATTCGTCGTCGCTTCCAATTTTCTTCTGCGTTGAAGCGCATGTCTACTATCTCAACTTTACCTAGTGGAAAGTGTCTCGTTGCTGTTAAAGGTGCTCCTGAGACTATCAAGGGCATGTTAGCGGAAATCCCAGAATGGTATGATGAAACATATAAGTGGTATACAAGGCGAGGAAGTCGCGTATTGGCTCTAGGTACCAAAGAACTAGACAGCATGGGGATTGAAAAGGTATGTCATCAGCCAGGCCATAGTCCGTTTTTCATCTGATTGCCTCCAGATCAACAAAGTTCTTCGTGAAGATATCGAGAGTAGACTGAACTTTGCTGGCTTTTTAGTATTCCACTGTCCTCTCAAACCAGACGCAGTGGAATCGTTGAAAATGCTGGCCGACTCGTCTCACCGTGTAAGCATACTCATGCGCTTTACTTCTTTCGTTACTCACCTCATTCCTAGTGCATCATGATCACTGGCGACAACCCTCTGACTGCCGTACATGTTGCACGTGATGTGGAGATCGTTGATCGGGATGCTTTGATCTTGGACTTGAGAGAGAATCCTGCGCATGAAGCTGGTATTGTCTTTTCTCATGATAGTAACCCGGTTTTCTTATAACTATTCTTCCAGACTTGACATGGCGCAACGTGGACGAAACGAAAATCATTCCTGTCGACCCTTCAGAGCCTTTGGACAAATCTCTGCTTGAACAATACGATATATGTGTTACGGGAGCTGCCATGAAGCAATTTGTGTCTCGTCCTAGCTGGAACGACCTCGTGCAACACACATGGGTTTACGCTCGTGTTTCTCCTTCCCAAAAGGAGTTCATTCTCACTAGCTTTAAAACTCTTGGATACACTACTCTTATGGCTGGAGATGGTACAAACGATGTCGGTGCACTAAAGCAAGCCCATATTGGTGTTGCCTTACTCGATGGGACACCCGAAGATCTGCAGAAGATTGCTGAACACCAGAGAATCGAGCGCATCAAAAAGGTATACGAAAGTCAACTGAAGATTTCAGCTCGGTTCGGTCAAGTTCCACCTGCGGTGCCGCCTGCTATCGCACACCTGTATCCGGACGTAGTTGAAGCACAGAAGAAAGCGGTTGAGGATCTGCAAGTGGCAAGGAAAAAGAACCCTATGGAGAAGGTGAATATCTCACAGGAGGTGGAACGTTATCCAATGTTGACGCTCTTCAACGCCTTTAGTTTGACCTCAACTCTATCACCGATAAGTTGGCGGATATGGAGGGTGACGATGAAACTCCTCAGATTAAACTTGGAGATGCATCTTGTGCGGCACCTTTCACGTCCAAGCTATCTCATGTTGCTGCCAGTGAGTGTGTTGACTTCATAGACGATACAAATATACTAATGCGGGTTTAGTAACGCATATTATCAGGCAAGGCCGCTGCACACTTGTGGCTACTATTCAAATGTATAAGATTCTCGCATTAAATTGCTTGATCACTGCATACAGTCTGAGCGTACAGTATCTTGACGGTATCAAGTTTGGTGATTATCAGGTGACAGTGACGGGTATGTTGATGTCCGTTTGTTTCTTATGTATCTCTCGCGCCAAGGTCTGTAGTAATATGCTATTCGGTGGCAAAATTTTTACTGATGTTCGGTGTAGCCTGTTGAAAAGCTGTCTCGCGAACGACCCTTGGGCAATATCTTCAACTTATATGTCCTCCTCTCTGTCTTGCTGCAGTTCGCCCTTCATATCGTTTCCCTTGTCTACATCACCAACCTGTCTCACACGCTTGAACCGTAAGTTCTTACTATGCATTCTCCGAGATACGGTATAACAAAACATTCTATTAGGCCTGGTATCATTGACCTTGAAGCAAAATTCGAACCTAGTTTACTGAATACTGCTATTTATCTTTTGGGCCTTTCCCAACAGGTTTCAACTTTTGCCATTAACTTCCAGGCAAGTACATTTGTGGAAGTTCAAAGGATGGTACTAAAACATACTATTAGGGTCGGCCATTCCGTGAGGGAATTCGAGAAAATTCGACCTTGTGGTGGGGTCTTGTCCTGGCTGGTGGTGTCGCATTCTCTGGTGCTACCGATTTTATGCCTGAATTAAACCGGTGGCTACAAATAGTAGAAATGGAAGGATCGGTATGTCTTGTATGAACATATTATTATTCCCCAGCTCACCGGCATACCCTTAGTTCAAGTTCAGGTTAACGAGTATCATGATAGCGGACTTTGTTGGCTGCTGGTTGATTGAGATCACCTGCAAGAAGCTTTTCGCAGATCTTGAACCCAAAGAAATGATCACTCGAGGTCGCGAACGGAGAGAACAGAGACGGCGGGAGCAAGCGCAAGCTCATTTATTGGCAGAGGCGACTGCAGTGAACGAGAAGAAGATTCAATAGTCGGTGATACTACAATGTCTGGCTTTATCAATATTATAGATTTTCCTTATTACTCTAAAGTAGAGAATGATTTGAGTATGCAAGACATCAATAGCCTCCTTTCACGGGCTAAAATACTTTTGGGGATGATGATGCAAAGTAATCAGGATGGACGAGTTGTGCCAGAAGGTAAATGACCGAGATACATAACAGCGAAATTGAAAATGCCAATAACAATATATTCTATGGCTACAGCTTAGTAGTTAGCTTTATCCTTCGTGCGCTCCATAGCTGGGGTACGTGACCTGTTAATACAAGACTACACACGAACAGACCCAGTTCAGACTTACGATTGTAGTGTAGGAGCTTTTCAATCAAGTCTACATGTGTGAGGACCATCCGCCGACAACAGTACCGCTTCAATTGCAGTTCATCCAGAGCGTCACTTTCAATGATGAGTCAGATGAGGACCACTGGAATAATTACAGGATATAGCTTACCCTTCACTCATATCGTTTGCAAGAAGCTCTAAGTAGGCATTCCATTTGTCACCGATAACCTTTCCGCATGAGAAACACCTGACTGGGATAATCTGGACAGAGTCAGTAAAACAAGATTATAGAAAACCCCGATGCTCACCATGTTGGTGGTGCGGAAGAGACTTGGAAAAGTGTGGGAGCGTGAGATATTGGGCATGTGACCCCGCGTAAGCACGTGCTCTCGCGACACCGTGTCTCCTGAGTTGGATTGGCTCTGAACGCGCCTTGCAGCACAACGGCAACCATGAGCGCGAGCTTTGAGCTTCAAGACGAGCTACAGGCCCTGCAAGACCTCGAAACATACGATATCCAGAATGAACACGATATACATTCCTCAGATCCCGCACATCTCCTTGAAGGTCGCTTTGTCCTTATTTTTGAGGATGAGCATGTCTGACTTTTTACTTCCAGGAGCCGTCGAATCTGTTGCAGAGTCATCGGAGGCCATTACGGATGCGCAGACTTTTGATATATTTCGGAGCTTGCTCAAGTATGCAGATGCAGTTCCAGGACCAGTCATGAGCAAATTACTCGACTCAATTTCGTCTGGTTTCGCTGCTCAGATAGACGCTACAATCAGAGATGTTGAGGAAGAAGATCAGCAAACGTTTATGGCTCATAAACTTCCGCTAGAGATGTACTCATTTTTGTTACACTGGTTTGTCTCCGCGGCGGAGAAGGTGAAATCCAATGGCGAAGAGGAAGCTGCTCCGCCTCCATCAAAGTCGCGTCGTGGAAGAGGGGGGAAAGCTGCTGCTTCACGATCCGCAGCCTCACGACGGACAGAAGCATGGACATGGATAGATCAGATACCACATACACTCGCCTTGATCAGCAAAGCTCTCAGACTCAAAACTCACCGCATATGGCTCACTAGTCCGGAGAGGGATGCATTCATTTCGTGAGCAGAATATTATTACCTGGATTATTAGAAATATCTTACTTATAACGCTAAAGATGCCTCACACGACCAGCCTACCACATCATTGAAACGGAACAATATATGAAATCTCAACCCATAAAGCTAGGTGTTTACAAAGTCATTTGTCTTGCCGTAAAGCACCACGGGCACGCGCTTGCAGCACAAATCAGTATCATGCAGTCACTTCAATATTACGAACACCTTTCGGAACCCATGGCGGAATGTTTAACAGTTCTTGCAAAGGAGTTTGATCACGCACAGTTAGGCGACGAAATACTGCGAGAAATATCGGGGAAGACGTTCAGTGGCCAGGATACTAAAGGACCCAGGGCGTTCTCGAAGTTTTTGGTGAGGTACAGCGAACTAGCACCTAGATCCGTTTTGAAACAAATCAGCTTGTTATTGGCCCATCTGGATTCCGAGGTGAGCAGTATAAAATATAGCAAGCTAGCTTTTTTGACAAATGTTCACAGTCGTATCCTATGCGAATGGCGTTGGTGGAGGTCATAGGTTCTCTTATCCGTGAACTTGCGCTATCCGCAGACCTTGCAGCTGACGCCGCTCAATCTCAGAAGCAGCTTGATGGTCTATATGAACTGCTCGTCTCACGGACGCTAGACCTATCTTCATATGTTCGTTCCAAAGTTCTCGCCACGCTGTCAAAACTATGCGATTTGCCCGTGAAATTCCCAAAACAACGACTCAAGATCACGAGGGCCGCTGTTGCAATGTTAGACGACAAAGCTGCCAGTGTGCGGAAGGGAGCCATATCGCTCATTGTGAGACTCGTAGTAACACACCCCTACGGGCTGATGCACGGCGGACTTCTTGGCCTCGCTGAGTGGGAGGATAGATACGCAGAGGTGAAAAAAGAACTCGAGAAAGTTGAAGGTGCAGTTGGTAAAGCGGTGGAGAGGGAAGGCGATAGTGATGACCAGCAAACTGATAAGGAGGATGAGGGAGATGAAGATGAAGATGAAGATGATGACGGTGAAGATGAAGAAGGTGAAGACCAAGATGAGCACGAAGATGAAGACGATGCTGATGGGGACGCTGAACACGATGGTCCCAAGAAGAAGAAGAAGGTCACCAAATCTAAAAAGTAGGCCTTCAGGACCATCTATGCGAACTATAAATGACTGTCTTCATTTCCAGGAAAAAAGTGAAGTCAGATAATGACATGGATGTGGATGTCGAGTCACAAGAAGAAGCTGATGAAGACGTTGACATGGATGAAGAGGAAGATGACAGTAATCATGCCAATGCGAAAAACAAGAGAACAAAGAAGAAAGAGAAAAAGAAACCGCGCAAGTCATATCTGAACATGGCCGCGCTTGCTTCTGAACAAGAGGCCTTGGCCGCTTTGGAGTCCAACCAGATTCTACACCTTCGATTGAGGAAAAAGTATTACGCGGAAGCCCTGAATTTCATCAGAATGGTAGAGGGTGCGACAGACATGATCACCCAACTTCTAGGAAGTACGAACAAAGCGGAAGTGCTGGAGTCGATGGAATTCTTCAGAGTTGCTTGGGAATATCAGTTTGACAGTGCAGAGGTAAGGATCCTCAACCCTATCTCCTGTCTCTTTGATTTACAATACTTATATCGAACAGAAAGGAATCAAGCGCATGCTGCATCTCATCTGGGCAAAGGACAATAACTCGACGTCGGAAGAAGGCAAAGAACTGAAAGGTGTTCGTTCAAGGCTGCTTGAGTGCTATCGAAGTCTGTATTTTGAACCTCTCCCTGACATGGAGCCAAAGCAACAAGTTAACAGAATAGCAAAGAACATGATTGAGTGCGTATATGTCTTGACCAGAATATGACCAGTTTCGCTGATAGAACAATAAAGGTTAACCTATGATGCCACCTTGGCCGAACTGACCAGTTTGGAAGAAATGCTGAGGTCAATGATGGATGACGGACAGATCCATCAGGACGTCATATCAAAACTTTGGCAGGTCTACAGTACGGTGTTCTTTTTATGGTTGGTATCGAAATTTTAAAAAACGTACAGGCTCGGATAGACCATTACCGAAGTCACAACGTCGGGGCGCTATCATTGTCATTGGGATGTTGGCACTGGCCAAGAGAAGTGTTGTAACTGACAGGGTTGATACTTTACTTAAAGTGGGACTCGGGCCTCTCGGCAAGGTGAGTGGGCATGTTCTGTTATACCTGTCAGTCAGCTGAGTATTGAGGGATATAGGTTGATTTAACTCTAGCGAGGTACACATGTCTGGCTCTTCAACGTCTAAATGGAAGTGCGAAGAAAATAAAAGGTCAGCGTTGATTTTCTTCACCGATATGGTTATCTTTGACCATGAATCAGGCTCGCTTCTTGATAAAAACCTTCGCATTGAGATGGATAATGCTATTTTCCGCAAATTGCAAGACACGGTCGAACATCCTTGTCGGTCAAAAGAATGGTTCGGTTTAGCCGAACAGGCCATCAACACAGTCTACGCGCTCGGAGAGCATCCTGATGAACTATGCAACGATTTGATAAAAAACCTCACCAGACGTGCATTCGCGCGGCGACCTCAGGATGAACAGTCGTTATCATCTCGAGGGCAAGATCCAGACGCGATGGATGAGGATTCCGCTCCACCAGCTTCAGCAGCACCGCCAGCTTCCATAGCTCCGCCAGCTTCCGTCGCTCCATCTACTCAGGCGTCACATATGTCGCATTCTCAAAACTCAAGCAAAGATGGAGAGAGGGATACAGGAGAAGCCTTTCATTTAAGCCAGCTTTTGTTCGTTGTTGGTCACGTTGCCATCAAACACATCGTCTTCTTGGAATTAGTAGAGAGGGAATGGAAACGTCAGAAAGACGAGAAACAAGCAGGTATGAGTTTTTCTAAACCACTTAATTATGAGACCCCTGATCAAAGCATTTCAGCCGATAAACTGGCCGTAGGGAATGGCACACCCGACAAAGCCTCTAAAGATGGGGAGGAGCTAGACCAAGTCGCTGGTAATGCCGAAGACGAGATAGGCGAGCGGATAGCGGGTGTTCGAGAGACTGAGCTTCTTTATGGACCCGAATCACTGTTGGCAATCTATGGGCCCATGATCGTCCATATTTGTGGCAGTCCCCACAGATTCAAGGTAAGATAAAATCGTATGAACATTAACATCTACTGACTGACTGATCACTCGCGTAGAATCGTACCTTAAGAGCGGCAGCTACACTGTCTTTCAGTAAATTCCTCTGTGTCAGCTCTCAATTCTGTGACCAACATCATCGGCTATTGTTCAAGATTCTCGAGACGTCAAAAGATGCAAATATCCGGAGCAATATTGTTATTGCACTTGGAGATGTCGCAGTCTCGTTCAGTAATATAATTGACGAGAATAGCAACGAACTTTACAAAGGTCTCTCTGACGGGGATCTGGTCGTCAAAAAAAACACCCTGATGGTGCTTACCCATCTAATTTTGAATGGAATGATCAAAGTGAAAGGTCAGCTGGGAGAAATGGCTAAATGCCTAGAGGACGAGGAACCGCGGATAGCTGACCTTGCGAAGTTGTTCTTCACTGAATTATCAACGAAGGAGAATGCGATCTACAACAACTTGCCTGATGGTATGCAATTCCATGTTCCTTATTTTCAGCCTTGATAATCACCAACCCAATTACAGTTATAAGTCACCTGTCCACTGGTGATCACGCAGTGGATGAGGACACATTCCAAAGCACTATGAGATATATATTCTCTTTTATTGAGAAGGTTAGTCCTTGACATGAGTTTCAAATGATCCTGTTCTTAGCCCACCCCCAGGAAAGACAAGCAGAAAACATAGTCGATAAGCTGTGCCAAAGATTCCGACTTTCAGAAGATCCTCGACAATGGAGGGACATTGCCTTCTGCTTGTCACTGCTTCCCTTCAAGTCAGAGAGATCTGTCAAGAAGCTTATTGAAGGTTTGCAATTTTATCGCGACAAGCTTCACGAAGAAGCTGTTTTTGCACGTTTCTCCGAGATTCTTGCCAAGGTGTGTGATTGGAGCCCCTGAGCCCTACAGATAGCCTAACCTTTTAATTCAATAGGCTCGCTCCAATAAATCTGCCAATAAACCGGATTCTGAACTGAATGAGTTCGAGGGCGTGAGTTTAAATCTTTTGGTAGCTTCGTTGACACTGAAGAATTCCTTATTTTTAGATACTTGAGGAGCACAAACGTCAAGGCGAAGAAGATAACGAACTCGAACGTAGGGTGGAAGGTAAGAAGGCTGCCGCAAAGAAAAAGGCTAGTCGACGCTGTAAGCACATACTTATCTTTCCATTTGATGCCAGTGTCTGAACTATATTTCATGACAGCTACTCGAAAAAAGGTCCGGGAATCCGAGCCCATTCAAGCGGACAATGACGACGACTTATACATGTAGCCTCATCTAAATCTTGTTTCTTCCGATGTATCAGCACATGTATTGTATGCCTAGGATCAGTTAATGCAAGGTAGTCTGAAAGTGCGAAAAGAAGCAGAAAGCATGATTGCAAAAGTGATTCGAAAAACGAGTGTGTACGCGCACTCAACTAGCTTGAGTCGCAAATAGACGAGAAAATGAGAATGAGCGTGTGTGCTGGGCGAAAGGTATACCCAGAAGGTTAAATATTAAAGCGAGATTGTGGTATAGTTGCGTAAAAGATGTGAAACGGAATACAATGCAACGTGTCCATGGACAATCTCCCCCGGAAATAAAGCAGGAACAAAAAAACTGTGATCCATAAGTCTACCTACTCTGCCTTGAAACGGCCTCCCCCACCTCCCCCACGCATAATAGCTTTCATAAAGTTAAAGAAGCGGTCAGCATACTCCACAGGAGGTACGGGACTTATTTTGTGCTGTTCACGATAATTTATTAAGTATGACAGAGAAAATAGCAGAACGACAAGACTTACTCGATCAGCTTTTAGACCCTTCCAAAAATGTTCGAGTTTCTTGACGCTAGCATAAGGCGTCAAGATGTCGATAACACCAAGGTAATATATCGTGTCCGTAGCCTCATTCGACTCGTCCGTTGCCTGTAGACCACCTTCGTCCTGGTAAAAGATGAAGTGCTGACGGTCACCTGTGTCCACCTCTGGAAGATTTAATGTGCCAGCGCCGAGTCGCTTTGGGTCAGATGTACGCATTGCTTGACGCATAGCGATAGCTTCGGGCGACCTGCCACCCTTAATCTGAGTAATTTTACGGCGAATGGGCGGAACAGCAGGCTAGGGTTAAGATAGGTGTGAGTGAGGAGGGACGACTGGTAGATAAAGCGCATATACGCACAGAAAAAACTTTAAGTGTGTTACTCCTGACGTTGTCCCGATTACCCCGCCGCACGTTGTGAATCCCCACGAGTAAACTGTAATCCATCACATGCACTTTCTTCAATAGTTCTGAATCTCTCCTCAGTTGTTCAGTCAACAACGCCCTCTTCTCCGGTCCCAACTCCAACATTTTCCCTCTGTTGATCCAATTCAAGTCCTTCAACACAGCCCGTGGGTTTTGAGAAGCCTTTTCCTCTGAATACAGTCTACCAACCGTGCTTCCCTTCAAGTCAAACGTTTCGTGGATATCCTTGTGAGGAGGGAATAGATTGTTCATGATCACGAAATGAATCTTTCGACCCCGAGGCAACTTTACACGGTGGAGACCATAAAACCGCGAAAGTAACGTGTGAGGGTTATTCTTCACATGAGAGTAGTATTCGCTCAGGATGGACAGTAAGAACTTATGTTCTGAGTGCCGGATAGTCTTGATAATGAAACGATAGTCACGGGAGAAATAGAAGAAAGACCCTGATTTTCCTGGTGACCCTAGCTCGGATAAGATGTATTTTGCAGTTAGAGACAGCAAATAATCCGCTGGATCCAGTTGGAAGTAGTCCTCTCGCAGTTCTCGAAACACGTTTGGGGCATAGTCCTTGAACTTGAAGTCATACTTTGCCGAAGGCGTCAATTCATTCCCGACGCTAAACAGTATTGGTTATTAAAACAACAAAATTGAACCAAGCGACGTACATATCAAAGGAGTACTTGTGTCGTGCCGTGAAATCTTCATCTGTAAGAGGACGCTTAATCTTAGCCTGACATCGAGAGACCTATGTAATGTTTGTCAACAAGTCGGACTCGTGGTGATGAGACGTAACCACTTACAGCAATTCGAATGCCAGTCAACATGTTGTACATAAGCACGTAATTGACGTGGTCCTCCCCAATAAGATTCCCTACCAGCACTTTCGTCTCTTCATCTCTACTTGACCCTCCTCTCTGCATCGATACTTTCCTTGTCAAAGCCGCTTCTGCCTCTTGCTGAGCCTTGGCCCGTTTGCGCTCCCTCCTAATCTGCTCTGCCTGCATTTGGATATCATCCTCTATGTCGCCATCCTCGACCCCGTACGCTTGAGCGCTCTGGCCAGCCCCCTGCAGCGACGTCCGTAAGCCGGCTTGCACATTCGAACCTGTGGTATTCCGTCGTGTAGGGCGATGCGAAGTTATTGGCGGTGGCTGAAGATATCCATCCGCAGACAAGTTGGCTTTCATCATTTGCGAACCAGAGGGATCAGTAAAAGGCGTGTCGGTCGTTAGTGTACTGCTGTCGTCAGAAAGCTGATGAACACGGTGTGGTGCTGAGGTCGCTGTGCGGGAAGTCAACGTCGAGAGTCTGGTTTCAGTCGAGGCTCGATGCAAGGACTCGTGTGAAGAAGGGCCAGCACGAGAAAATGCCGACGGAGGATAGCGAGGAAATGGACGGGGCCCTTCCCGAGATCCAATGGAAGGCTGTCGCTCTCGTACAGTATCTTCGAAGATGACAGGCCTGCCAATCGGCTCAGACTTGGAGTACACGACTGGGGGAGGAAACACGTCCCCTTCCGCGTGATCATCTTGTTCCACACTGGCTGGGGGAGACGGCGGCGGTGGCCCTATATTGCTGTTGTTTAAGTCGAACTTATCGTTCAGAGTATCACTTGGCACAACATGCATCAGAGATCTTCCCACTTTTGTAAACAGTGTATCTGGAACTGGGCCCGCCTCCAGTTGGACTTTGTCGCCTGTTACCTTGACGATATGCATTTCTTGGGAGTGGATGTTCTGGGCAGCCTGGCGGCTCATAATGTGCATTGGATTGACATTCTCAGGTTCGCGGTTGCTACTGGACGTTGGACCCAAAGTGTGTGCGGATGACGAGCGCGAGCTAGAAAGAGAATTGTGAGAAGCAGCAGACAAGGGCGCTGTCCTTGCTGTTTGGAAGGAAGCTCCTGAGGAAGAAACGAGGCTCTGCCTGTGAAAATGGTCGAAAGACGGGGATGAAGGGCTGGTTGCGGTGGAAGATGGGGCCAGCACGGTGCTGGCCATGAGTGATCTGGAGTAAAGAGGGAAAAGGACTGAAGCGTATGGGCAAGGAAGAGATGGAAAGGATATGCAGGAAATAAAAAGAAAATGAAAGGTCGAGGATGATAATCAAAGCAAAAGCGTTTTGGTTCGTCGTCGTCGACAGCGTCTGCCTGGCCCGGTGGCTGTGGCTCGGCTGGTCTCAAACCGAAAAATATAGCACCCGCGTGGTGGCTTATCCTATCCACATGTATATTCAATTACCCGCACATACTCTAGAATAGCTTTCTATCCCACTATTAACAGAAAATACACTACACACATCCCATTCTATAGGTAGAACGGTATCCCATACACCACAGGCGCAGCACCAGTCAGGTATCTCAGCTTGCACGAGTCTCGCGCTTGAGACACGGCAGCTACCAACGATGTCCCTCCCTGTTCTCCTTCCTTATTCTTCCGAACACCATCAGCAGTCAGCTGCAATTTGTCGAACACCACCTGCGAGAATTTATCAATGTCGCGGTCGGTGACGTCCCACAAGTTGGCTACCAAAGACGGACTGACGTCGGACATAAATATGGCCGCGAAATAAGCGATCATCATCTTGACATAAATTGATTCTCAAATACACTCACCAACCAGCCAGCATATAATTATAGGGTGTTCCCACACGATCAAAGTCCCCCATGTCCTTCAGTGCTCCAGAGGAACAACCCCAGAGCATGGTCGCCGCGCACCTAGGAAGATGCCGAATTCGATGTGATCGCACATACTGCTCTCCCCCACCGTGTCCAAAATAACTGTAACACTTTAGCTGAATAGCATATCATCAGCCAAAAGTGAATCACGCACATCACGAGGTCTTTTCTTGTTAAGGCATCCAGGAACTGCTGCTCACTTGGGGGACGTCCAATGACGCCTTCCCATCCTACTTCACGCATGCTGCCTAGCCAGCTTGCAAAGCGGCCCTCAGTTCCCTTGAGGTCACCGCTTGGGTTGAGAACGTAATATGCCTTTCGTGGGTCGACCTTCACTCTGTCAATAGTCCCTATCTCAGTGGCCATTGCCTCATTGGCCGTCTCTCCGCGACTTCTTTGCCACTCCGCAAACTGAAGCTTGTCCATCAAACACTCCATGTTAGGAATCCGGCTAACGCTCCTCCCTCGCAAAATTGGAATAGACTCCCAAGGGATGCCCTGCACATTCTTGTCCAGAACCAAAAATAAGTGGCTATCTTGCTTTGGCACGACTCTTGCCTTCGCTCTCGCAGCGTGTTCCTCTAACGCCGTGCGTAAATCGACTGTTACTTGATCCACGTCGACCTCGGAAATTGCTATTGGAATGCCGTGGAACTGGTACAGGTCAAGGATGAAGTACACGAGGTCTTCCAGCTCCTCATCTCTGCACTTGGGCGACAGTGTGGAGAAACACTCGAGGAGGTTATCATCGAGGGTGACTTTCGATTTCTGTTTACGGTCTTGAGCAGGGAGGCTGCGTTTGAAGACACGGTCAAGATGGGCCCTGAAATCCGAGATAATATCCCGAGGTATTTTCGTCGGCTCGCTCAAAATTGTCTGTAATGCACATCCCTTAATTAGCGTCACTTTGCGGTCCGGGCGAAAAGCGCACCTTGAATGCACCTAACCAACAGTACTCAATGTTCTCTAGTAGCTCCTGCATTCGTTTATCAAGAGCCGACCGGTCCGCCCACCATGCAGTTCGTGCCTTTTGGTCATCTTTTTTTACGTGAGCAGCCTGTCTTGTTCCCTGATCACTGAGTCTGATGATTTCTTTCAACTCGTTCAATGCGTCATCGAATGTTAGATGTTCGTCGTCGTCCGTTTCCCTCCTCCCTTTCAAGGGAACACAGAATATGAGAGGGTCAGATCGTGCGCGTTGCCGACAGACGAACATCGTGTTCTTATCCTCTGTAATGGTGATATTGACAACTGTCCAGTTATCAGGGAGCGAATCTACTCGCGAGGTCGACAGTGCTGCTGTATCCAACGTATGCGACTCGTATCTCGAAAGAATAGCTTCCCAGTATTCCTTGAGTGATTTGTCATCTGTGGTAGTATCGTTATCTCCGTCGTCCGATCCCTCCAGAGCACGTAGTCGAGTTTTTGCAGCCTGTGCAATGGGTCGAGGGAGGGGAGACCCGTTCGGTGTCATTAATGGCCACTGAAGATCATCAAATCTCTGTACATCAGGAAACTTGTGTTGGATTGTCTCCATGATCTCGCGGTGCAACGTAATAGCAGTAGAAGCATCTAATTCAAAATATGTGAATATATGCGTGGGGAGTACAAGGCATTACACGCACCAAGAAGACGTGCAACCAACACTGGTCCTTCTTTCCCTGGTTTTCCGAGTGAGGTTTGCAGTGCCTTGATGATCGCGAGGGAGACTGCCGCGTTACGGACATGAGATACCTTACCTCGTCGGGCTGTCAGTATCAAGTCTGCCCAGAATAGCTCTTCTGCATTATCGAGCGTCGAAACGATGTCCTGTGTAGAAGCAGAAAACGATGGAGCTTTCTCTCCAGACATGCCCACAGGTAACGAAATAGTCGATTCTGCCAGAGAGTTGAGGAACATATCAGCTCTAAATTGGCCATACACATCGTGAAGAGTGAGTTTCCCCATCAACGCATTTTCCTCTGCCTTGGTTTCTGGAGACGGGGGAAGAGCTATGAGTTTCTCGAGCATCGCCTGGTATTCGTCATCGACATCGTCGCGTAGGAGCCAGATGTGTTGACGGAGTATCGCTGAAAGTAAAACCGGGACTACCGTCTCCTGAGCCGTTCCACTGATGGAATGCCTAGGCGAAGAACCTACGCCCGATTTCCGGGGGCTGGTAGAACCATCCAAGCTGGCGAAATTCTTCTCGAGCTCCGCAATCATCGTAGCAGCTTCTTTATACAGCTGTCGAGGGTCTTTCTCCTCGCCACTAATCTGGCTAAAGTCTCCCCTTAGACGTCTGATATCAGCAGCATCAGTCCCTTCCAAGTCTGCTAATAATTCTGCAGCACGCAAGAGGCTCTCGTGCCCGGTATCGATCTGACCCTGGTGTAACTGGATCTCGCCTTTCCTGGCTAAAGCCCGGCTGGCCATCGCTTGCGTGTTGAGTGACTCGGCCATATCGTGAGCCTGCTGCGCGAAGTACTCCGCCTCCCTGGCGGAACCTCGAGCAAAGTAAGCCTGGATGAGAGCAAACAACGTCGAAAGGAGGCCTTCAGCCATACGCCATTCCATCCCATCGAAAAGAATACGGCGAGAATATGTATTCTTTTTGACCTTGGACCGATCCAAAGCAACGTCGCTTGCTCCTTCGGATGTTGGAGTGGAAGCCTTCGTAGGGACCTCAAATGGGTTTGAATCTTCTGCAGACGAAGTTGATTTCGTAGCCGATGAATTCGAGTAGAGACGTGCCAATGCGTCTATAGCTCGATTCCACAGTCGAAGGGACTGTAACATACACTCCATAGCTAAAACAACGTTATCCTGTGAACCAAGTTAGCACACGGTTCGACTGCTTGGTCTTAATTTGCACCTTTGAAAACTGGATAACGGAAAATACATAGGAAGCCATGGCTGCGCGTTCGAGACGTCCAACGCGAGTTCGTATTCGCTGTGCAGAGGGGACTCCTTTTTCATCGCTCATTAATCTCTCAGATAAGCCCAGGGCTTCGCAGTAGGAACTTGCACTAGAAAAACATAGTTAGTCATTGAAGCTGAATGCCACAACTATACAAGTACCTTCCAAGGACATTCCCCGCTATGGCCAGTGCCTCTGCATATCTTAATAGAAGCCGCACGCGCACATCATCGGAGACATCGTTAGTTTTAATAATACTCAGACATTGGTTGAAGATTGCGTTTGCTCGTTTCAATTTGCCGAGTTTGAGATGTTCATGTGCGAGATCCACAGACGTTAAAATAAATGCTACAGAACCACTTAATAAAGGTCAAACGTGAACCAAGGTGAAACTTGCCATCTTTTGAGCCGAACGCTTGTTGCTCGCACAGACGCCTTGCAACTACCAGCAGCTTGACCTTTAACAAAACTAGTCCATGTAATCCGAGCAACTGTATGACCATCTCTGTTGGAAGAAACATTAGAGGCCAAATATGTCTTTGTTCAGACAGACTCACGTAGGGGATCCAACAGCTTGTCAACACTTTGAAATTTTATCGCGTTGGTGGTCTCGCCAACAGTTGCGTGCGCCACTTTTGAAGCGTTCGTTGACAGTTTTTCAAGAGCTATGGATGACCCGTAAATTTTCAGTTTTCATGAAGCTCATAATACGTTACGTACCTTTGCGAGGCTGAGGCGTGATAGGATCTCGGGCGGCACCTCTTGTAGGTTTAGCTTTCGTCTGCCGAACACTTGCAGTTCTAGCGTGATTTTTTCTAAGCGTCGTTGTTTGCTTTGGGGACTTCTTCAGAGGTCCTGATACCCTTTTGGCTTTTGGACTTGGCTCGCTGACAGCTGGCTGTATCATCGCCTTCAAAAATTTGCAGCCTTCCTCGGCATGGTGTGTCACAAGAGAGGTTTGACAATTTGGTTCACGATAGGCTAGGAGGCTGAGCCAAAAGCAAGCAGCGGCACGATACTGGCTTCGATAAGGGGCTTGACCTTCGTCTTCACCCAATTGCTCAACAGAAAGCAGGACCAAAGCTTCACTTCCGATCTCTTCGCTATCCCAGTTTATGCTCCCGCCACGCTTGGTTGCGCTGCCATTGTCCTTCCAAAGAAACTCTAAGCATCTGATCAACACCCTAGCTCTACGTATAGGCATCTGACTCTTCTCGTAAATGCATAGTGCATCTTCAAGCAAAGCCCTCACAGCGCTTTTGACGTCGTCCTTCCACAGACTTGATTCCAGGCATTCCACTTGCCGCTCGAGGACCATGCCTATTATCTGCGCTTGCGTTACAGCATCGAAGTCCCAAGACCCAGAAGACAGTGCCTGTCTAAGAGACAAAGACGAAGCGTCAAGGAAGAGTTCACATGCTCCAAGGTATGAGATCCTCTCTATAATAATACCAATTTGTTTGAGAGCTGGTGTTGTAGCGAAGACGCCAGTCGAGTCAGCTATTTTAGCGTGTTGGACAAAATTTGAGGATGCATAAGGAAACGTTTTCACGGATTGGACAAACGACTCGTGCGCAAGCTTGAATATTGAGTTAGCGATGAGTACTTCGAGATGAAGGACGTTGTTCAAAACTGACTTTACGATCGCCAATTTTCGTGTAGCAAATCCCAAGCAGCTCCCATCGTCTAGTGAGCTGTTCTTCCAATTGCTTCCAAGCTTCTTGGTCTTTTTCTTCGCTGGGTCGATCCTCTATAGTCTTACCTTCAATTGGCGTGCGCTGCTTGGTGAGACCTTGTGCTCTCATCCTTAGCGCACTGCCGCCCAACGCACAGGCCTGCTTCAGAAACCTCACCGCTCCTGCATATTTACTATCCTGGTATAATGTTCCAGCCAAATTATGAAAAGCGCCAGAGATACATCGTGTGTAATTTGCGCGAGCTGAGAGCGGTATCTCAAGTCGTCCTGAGTCTATATCTTCCATATTACTACCAGCTGCGACGAGGTTTGCGCTACGCATGAGCAAGTCCAACGACGGGCTGTAAGTATCTGGGTCTGCGCTTTTGAGCTTGTGGCGAGCGAGGACAAACAGAGTGTCCAGCGCGGACGTTGCAATATCCACATTCGACTTCTATAATTCGAAGTTAGGAACCGAGTATAACATAGACCAGTATTTATACCTCTTTCGCGAGCGTTTTTTCGAGCGCCCCTGAGATGGGTTCCAACAAATCGAACAAGCAATTATTCGCTTTCCCTCGTTGGCTTTCCAAGAGCTTTACTGCAGCACGTCGTAGCCGCTCCATGGCCCTCTGCAGCTTTTCTATTACCCGCTGAAGATCGGTACTTTCTGGACTGCCATTTGAAGTCGAATCGGTTTCGCCATTGGGAATGAAAGAGATGTATCGAGGCATCAGAGCAATTGCCTCTTGAATGCGCGTAGGTAAAGTCGAATCTTCGAGTATTTTTCTTGGTCAATGAAATGCAGTTTTCAAGATAATCATTTACATACCAGCACTCTCAGTAGCTTCACGCTCAATGCTAGCAGTTGCCTTCATAAATACAGCACATATCTTGGCGCCCTCCAAGAATGCAGTGTCCAACTTGTGCTCAGAAGAAAGGGGGGATGATACGTTGAGCTTCTCAATTTGAGACGTTATCTCAGCGACAGACGATTCTGCTTTCTGGACATTCTGTATATAGCCCGTTATGCGGTCAAGGAGGCATAAATCTCCACCCTACAATATAAATATAAATAATAATGAGTAGAAATAAACAACAGTCTGCTTACCCTTTTAGCAAACCCCATCCAAAGCTCGCAAAATTTAACAAATGCAGACCCGTCGAAGAAGGATATGTGTGGTTTCGCATTTAGAACAAGCTCGTCTAGAGTATTTGCTATAAACCTAGCTAATTCACATTCGTCGTCTGAGGGAGAAGATTTGAGAAAAGATGTGGAAGCTTTTTGGACTTGGTCCCAAAATGTGGTTCTTTGAATTGTTCCGGGGCTCGTGTGGACAAGACATCGCAAACCGTACATTCTTATCAGAAAAATCGACCTCGGAGGCTTGGTCTTCAAGGAAAATGGTTTATTGAGTGCGGTATAAGCCCTTGTGAGAGTGACGTCTTTATGCTTCTCCGAAAGGGTATGTAAGTGGGGTATCCATGTGAGAAGCGTCGGTAATCCATAGAGCGAGGTGCTAAATGCATCTAATTCACCCCCCATTAACGAGCTGGCAAAATGAGCGAGGACTGTGAGGACATGTAATAGATAAGTAGATATTAGAGTTTGTGCAACAGCATCAGTTGCCAATGAAGATGATTCGGAAGGCAAGGGAAGGCAGAGAAGTCGCATATATTGAGATTCCTTCTTCAACGATAACGGACTACGTTCGGCAGGTGGAGAAGTAGAGCATCGTGCAACAAGACGAGGGTGCATGTCTGCAAGAATACTGCGAGCAGCATCGTACTAGTGGACATAATGAGCAGGGGCAGCATTGATAAGCTTTCACCAAAAGATACCATTTCTACGGCAATCAGTTTCCCTACTACGCTTGAGGCCGCTCTTTCCACATCGATGTCATCGGAACAAATGAGGCGTAGCTTGGTCAATGCTTTGGTGGCAGATGAAATGGACGCAGACACATTTGTAAACTGCGATGACTTCTTGGTGGGTTTATCTGAAGAGGCTTTCCAGCCGGATTGCACGACTGCCGAAAGGCTATGGGAGAGAGCATTTACAGTACGCATTGCAGAGAGTTTCTCTCCTTCTGATGTAGCACTAGCACTAGCCACCTCTTTCTGTTTCCCTTTAGCATTGGATATCGATAGGCCAGAATCGAGTTTGTTTGTGAGTTCGTCCACAGAAGTGTTGGTCGTTTTTCGTTTCATTGAGCTGAAGTGGCGCGTCGGACAAAACGCGATTCTCCCAACTTATTCCACGCGTAAGTCACGTGACCGGTCTATAGGTCCTCAGCCCAGCCACGTGAGATCGTGGGAGAATACTCGGACATTATGGTGCTCTACTAAGTTCAGAGCGCTACCCAACTTGAGGGATACCTGTATTGAAAGCACCGCCTTACATGCATGCCGCGGGCAGTGAACGGAAGTAACCCTATCAGTTCAATTTTATTAATTTTATCTGTACTAGTAAGTATAAAGCTCCGCTTGGCCAAGGGCAAGCCAACTCGGACGGTACTCGTATTCCAGCGGCGTGTCTTCAGCTCATCTGTCACTTTTTTCGCCCCAAGTCAACCACTATGGACCTCTTGCCCATGGATGTTCTGCGCAACATCGTTAAATTTTTCCCAGAAATTGACCTCCTAAGCTTTCGGCAAGTAAGAGCTAGAGCGCTCAGCTGGTCGTATCTTCGCTCAAATTGTTGTAGGTTTCAAAATGTTGTCAGGAGGCAGCCTCTGACAAATCACTGTGGAAGCATACATACAAAAATGCCTCTCTACCTCGACCTCCGGGCCCATATCTAAACCAGCAACCCGAGCTACTCATATCACGTTTAACATCAAGCGCCAAGGTGGCTGCCAACTGGGCGCCCCGTGTCGCAAACGCTGTTTCTCAGCGTTATGTCGCAACCACAGATCACCGCGGCGCTGATCGCTACACAGCGCTACTTTTTGGCAGATGGTTTATGATAACTTGTGCCGAAGGTATCATGTGTTATGATCTGGACAAGACCCCAGATGTACATTATATTGTCTACCAGTCCACTTCACCGATTCGAAGGATAGTCTGTCCTACTACTTTTGGCAAGGTGGGAGAACATGTCGCGTTTGCTGTAATCAAACAATCCTTGCCCGGAATGTCTTTAATGTTCGTCTTATTCCAAGTCTCATTCATTATAAATTTCATGCCTACGGTTGCTGACTTATAAATTTCAAGTAAAATATTCCGGATCGACATAACGCTTCCGAGAGTGTGTTTTGTGCCTTTCGCTGAGTTCACTCGCGGAGTACATGACGATCTTGCTTTCGCCACTTTAGGTCAGCAGCTCCTAGCAGTAGGCGACAGAAGAAGGTCACAGTATTCAATGGTGATCGACGTTGAGACTTCCTCGTTATTCCAACTGCCTCCTATAAGCTCTCAGTTGGTATGTTGAGCTAACCCATCTAAACTGCGAATGTGCTTATCGACTATAAATCTTGCTAGAAACCCGGTATTGCACCTTCACTTCAACTAGCCTCAAAAGAATATATCGCAACGTCCGCTCATCTTCTTGTCATATATACCACTTCAGATACTTTGACACCATATTCTTTCATTCAAGTATTCGATCGTCCATCCCTTACGGACACCTTACTTGAACTAACCTACGAAGGAATATGCCAAACTGCTCTATTCGATTGTGAACTTTTATACGAATCCTCGACCGAGACGGGAGACACAAGACTGGCTATCATTGGCATAGACAGAGAACCTAGCCGATTCAATTTCATTATCGCCCAACTTACTCTGTCGCCAACCACGATGGGAAGTGGTGTCCAGATTGCGTGTCACCGCATTTTTTCCCTGGAAGGCAACCCCATCTACGCCTCTACATTTTCCTCTCAAAATGGCTATGCAAGAGGCTTATGTTATAGCTACGGCTTCCATGGTCCCTGTAGTATAGGATATACAATTAGTCCTGACAGCAGTGGCGGGTATCACTGCGATGTACAGACTGTTCATTTTCTAGGATACAGTTACGGGGCTGTTACTTCTTATCCGCCTCTTTTCTTCGAGGGTTATACAGGACGCGTGTGTTACCGCAGTGCTACGAAAAGTAAAAGCTATATTCTCGAGGTACTCGATTTTGCTTTACCTGATCTATTTACAAACGATTGTGCACCAGCTATTTTATAGGAAATCTATCTGTACCTTTGAATGAGTATTTGTTCTTTATGATATCAAACGATTATGTGCCAGCTATTGTATAGGAAATCTATCCATACCTTTAAATGAGTATTTTTCTTTATGATATCAGCAAAAAGCATAGCAAGGAGAGAAAAAAGGTACCACCTGAGAGTACTACGAGAACACATTGTTCAATAAAGATGCATTGATAGAGATATTAATGGCATACTCCCTGAGAAAGCTGGACAGGAACACAAGAACACGTTTGTGAGCACACAACCTTCAACATAGTTTACTCGGGGCATACCCCTGCTATCTCAGACATACCGGAGATATTCATTTAGCAAGTAAGACAACTTGAGTGAGGGAGACGCTGCATCCTCTTCGGCCTGAAGACCTGGATTCCTAGTATGTACTGCTCCGGACGAGGAAGTCATGATCCACGATCATGGCGGTAGAATTGTTGAAAGGGCGTTCGAGAGAAAGGTTGAGTTAGGGTTGGGCGGTATGCAGACGAGGAAGATTTATAGGACACGACCGTGTCTTCGTTTTACAATCCAGTATACTTGGAGGTGTCAAGGTCGACGAAGAACACTTGGCGAGTTATTTTCGAACACGATACCACTTCACGCTGAGACGATGTGGTAGGACTTTCTGCGAAGCACTCGTGGACTTACATTAGGGTTGAGTGACGTTTGTAATTAGTAAGTCATAATTATGTTAAACGGAGTTAAAGTCATACGTGTAATGACATCTGTGAGTACCTTCTGCCATGCTCTGCTTGTGTCAGCTATTAAATTGGGCAACTGGAATGACATTACCGTGGAACGCCCGTAAAGCGCTGAGAGACTTCGCATTAGAAAAGTTTCACGATGTCCGAGCGATTAAAATGACCGGAAATGTGAATTTGAGAGACAAAAGAGTACAAGCGCCTGCAAGACCATTTGACAGTATGACCTTGTGTAAACAATCAAGGCACGGTATGGTTCGCACACTGCCGGGACCAAACTGTATGCCGAATAAGGTAGATAACTGGATGACAAAAAAATGATATGGTATACAATACAATGGATTAGCCAATACTAGAACCACATTACCGCGCTAACCCTGAACGTGTAGATAGTAGAACTTCGCCTTCCAAAATTCGGCCAACTGACCGAACTTTACGGTGGAAAACGACAGGAAAAGGAAAGCGGCATAACTATTGAAGAATAGACTCCTGCTGTGTCCTTTTGAGCGATGTATCGCGAGAAGTAAAACCTAGGGGATCTTGCACAAGCATCTCGTTCCTAATATAATCCCTGGAACCGCAACAGTCAATTTTGAATTCCCCGACGGCGTGCTATGGGAAGTTTACCTCGTCAAGTGGATACCGGTTTCGCGTGCGATCAGTTGCTTGATCATCCTTGGACCGAGCTTCTTGGTAGGATCCTTGGCCATCTGGTTCAGGACGAGCTGCCTCTTGACATTGTCTGGGAGCTGACGGGTTGTGACGCCGCTCGCATATATGCCAAGGGATCTACGGCGCCTGGCTACGGAGCTTTCGCTAGCATAGTATTGATAAGTCACGAGTAGAAAGAGGGGAGGACATACCGGCGACGGCCTCACCTCATCTTTATCCCATGCTCAGAAAGCAGGAGCCGACTTATCTCTCGCTTGTCAAATATCTCACGCCGCTGGTACTCGTAGAGGAACTGCGTTATGCGTGGATCATTCTTGGGAGCTAGGGAGGCCGTCGGAATGTCCGGAGTAGCTAATGAAACATGAAAACTCACGACAATCTTTATGTTGGTTCTTTCCTTCTGGGTTTCTAACATGAGATTTGGGAGTTTGGCTAGATTCTCCTGAATCCATACATTAAGTAAGGTCGAGCCTGGGAGTGAACAATATATCTGCGATCACATTGCGTAAGATGATGCAGGAATCGTATGATTAGGAAAAATAACAATACCAGATCAAATGATTCAGAGAACTTGGACGGATCTTGGACGAAAGTTAATGAAAAGATAGGTGAACTCCGTTTGTTGTCGCCCTTGCTTGTTATCTTAAGCAAGAGGGAGATCTCGTCGACGTCTGGTGTCAGGATGGATGTTTGTTTGGCTACAGCCTGTGATCCAAACAATCTCACATGCACCGCCACCAGGAAAGCTGGACAACCTGTTACTTTAATTACTTCCTTTAAATTTGGGTGCTTAATTTGTATCGAGAGTTATTTACGACCATGTTATATGGTTATATAGATTGCGTGAAGAGCGAATACTGTACTGGAGAGGCTTGCTGGGCCCAAAGTCTGTACTCTGTCCTTGACATTGATCGCAGCTAGTTAACTTGATATTCGAGCACCAAAGTGCGATATGAGTCACCAAGCAACGGTAACGTAAAAATCAAAATCAACCCCATGATTATGGTTTAGTTGTGGAGCCATAACATAACCGCTCGTGCCTGACTTGTAATCCTTGTTGTCATCAGCGCGGAAGGAGAAACTCTTTACGATACCTAGAGTTGCATTTTGAGAACTTTAAATACTATTGCCATCTAAAGGGGCCTTCGGCCGACTGTAGAGGCATCCATGAGACTTTGTCGGGCGTCGTTGAATCGAAATCAGGAAGAGCGAGACAACGCTAGCCCAGCGTATAGCCTGTGGTCCCTCAACAAGATTTCTCCCCTTTTTTGGAAGTCGCCAAGCAGGACAACGGCCAGTAATAAAGGTATTTGAAAACTAACGACAATTTTTGGAGGTCCGTAACTGAAAAAAGGCACAGATGAGGGCCATGGGATTACACCTGGCACCTGGCACATGTAAACGGCAGAGAGCACGGTGTTCGGAATAAGAGCGTTTATTGCAGTGTTATGCAACGAGGAGTAATCTACCTGTTGATTATGAAGAATGTTGGCATGCCTAAGCACTACTGATCCTGATTGATCGAGAAGTGCCTCAATCCACTGCCCACGACTTCTTTTATCTACAACATACCAAACTTGGGTGTCGACCACAGGGGATCCCGCTCGATCACAACTTTGCAATCAGCAGCAGTTGTTATCCCGAGTTAACAAGTAGGCGGAAAGAACAGGCAGCCTCGCGACATGCTCAATCAGTGATTTGGCAGTTAATCACGATATCGTGGATGAGTTCAGTGCAGCGAACGTGACAGGTATGCGAATGGAAGCGTACGCAGTGCGCTCAATGTTAGGATAAACCCGAGGGGTTGCTCCGCTTTGCAGCGACTGCGACAGCGTCTGATGAATGCTGTCTTGACCAGATAACGGGAGTAAGGTGACACTAAGCTCGATCGGACAGTGTTGATAAGGCCAGAGTCGTAATAGGATATCCCAAGGTATCTGGACCTGACAGAAAATGGCAGAGCCTGACATGAGGGACGAAACTCGTAGAATTTGGCTGCATCCAGGTGACCTCGGTCCCGGTCATGTGCGCGCTTCCTAGAAGGCAGGCGTGTTCAGATAAGGCCCAAGTTGTGCATATGGCACATATATAACCACAATTCATTTGGAGTGAGATTAAACGGTTATACGTTTGCTGGACTTTGAGATTTTGAAAAGTCAGGAATATGGCGAGAGGCCTGACGCGCATGTCAATGCGGCCTGGCGCGTGATGAAATCCATAGTGCTGTGTTGAGCAGATAACAGCGAATATTATAAAATGGTGCAGGGATCAGATGGGCGATGCAAAACATTTGACCGACATCAAGGCCATCAGGCTCGCAAGAAGATGCGGTGGAAGTAAGCTGGAGAAAAATAACTGAGCGTGCGAACAGACGTGGTTCAAGACCATTGTCATCTTATTCGTGGGTTCATCGACATTTCTCTTCGTGCCCGCTGTGTGATACAGTGAGGGCAAAGGCAGCATAAACATCATAGATGACTGGGAAGCCACTCTTTTCCTAACTTCCACCATCACATCTTATCCTGGTGAGTCGCCGTTCCTGTTCATCTGGCTTGTACAAATTTTCATCATCATTGCTGCACATCTGTTGGATCCCAACAGCACCTGCGGTGGCTTCATCTGACTTCTATATCCTAGACTACATTATTCGGATACCTTTCTTAACCTTTCTCGGGTGGTCCGCAGACAGGTAGGTCCCATTCGCAGTTAGTTCATAAAATTTTTGAAATTTCCCTGTCATCGTTGAAGTTGATTCATCGACGCACTTGTGCCCCCTCTCACACATCTTCATGGTCGCAAAAACACACAACACGCTCCCTTTTTCCCTTTTTCCCCGCCTCGGCTTCGGATCCAAAACAGCGTCCTCGCCTAGTCGTCGGCGCGATGTTGAAAAGCAGGATGACTGGTACATTCCCTACTATGGACCGTATGAGATGCCCAAGGATGTACCAATACCAGAACGAGATAGTTGGGGCGATCTCGTGGACAAGGAAGAGTTCGACGCCATTCTCGGCGACCAGGACCTCTTCCATCGGTACGGAGGTGGACTTGATAACGCGAACCCGTACGGTGCGACAACAGGCCGCGCCTCTTCTGTGGAAGAACACAGAAACCGCACCAGAAGCAGAGCATTATCTGACATGCACAACACTACTAGTTCTTCGAGTGCTATCGATCCCACCCGACATAGCACTATAACACGCTCTCGCCGTTCGCAGACCACCACAGCGCGTATGCGTGTGCCTCCGCCATTGCCCTTAGACGCGGCGGGCGGCGTGGACGAATCGCCGATGCCACATCAGCGCTCGCCATCCAGTTATCAGCAAACCTTTTCCAGTGCAACTGCAGGTAGCGGTCGGACGAGTCTTGCCAGCTTGTTCTCGTTTAATGGAGCTAACAGGAAGTCTCCGCCCCCACCGATGCCATACGCATCACATGCGGGGCCTCCGACCTCACCTACCTCTCCCCGTGTTGTTCCCAAATCCCCAATGCGCCCCAAACTTCCCATAAAGCCCGTCGAAAATCGTCGTGCTAGTGGTCGCGCCTCGCAGGCAAGTGAGGATGACTACTATGACCTATGCTATTCCACTTTACTTGCGACACCTAAAGCTCAACATGGCTTCCGTTCCAATGCTTCTGAGCACACTCCTTCCAGACAGAATTTATTGCGACACCCTGACAATGAGACATCTGAATACGATGAGTCGTCCGGGCATTCACCAAAGCCCAATTCACCTCCAGCGTCTCAACATTCCTTCCATCCCTATGCAAATACTTCTTACACTTCACCTCCTACCGCCCACAAGACGCTACGACATACATCTTCTGCCGCAATATACCGACCAAATGCTTCTGGATCTAGTGCAGGCCAATATAACTCTACTACACACCATACCGCGCCACCTCCATCTCGTCGATTGAAAATTCCTGTAGCTCAAAACGGGACCAACGGTTCGACCAATAACCCTCCACAGCTTAGATCCTCCATATCCACTCCTAACCTCAACTCTAGTATGCGAGGTTCTACGCTAAGACCCGGTGTAAAACCACCATCCGTATCCCGAGGCATCGATAGGTGGTTTTCTGCCGAATCATGGTGCGATGCCCTATTTTTTCCTCGGCCACGATTTAAGATCAAGGAAGGACCGAGCACACAAAGCGGTCGAAGCGGCCGGATTGTCAGCCCTCCCAGCACACCTGTAGCAGGAAATCCCTCGACTCAGTTTGGCTATTCGTCTCTGAGGGAAAGAAAAACGTCTGCGCCTCAGAACCGAGATCGTGATGAAGGGAAGCCTCGGCATGTTGTAAAGTCACGGTCGGCAGCCGATCTTCTGTCTTCTCCAGGTGCAGGACCTTCCATGCCAGCGCCAAGATACCCAGGAAGCGCCGACCGTACACAAGAGAGAAGGCCAAGAAGCTTTTCTCAAAATCACGTCTTGTTGCCTACACCAGTTCCTTCTCTAACACAGTACGTCCAGTTTCAGACCTTAGCACACAACTGTGAAAGCTAGTTTTCTCCCTTGCCTATAATCATTCTCTTATAAGTTGATTGGCTCACATCTTTCTTATCTAGAGTGTTAGAGGAAGGCGAAGCTTTACAAGAGCAGCGTAAAGCATGGCAAGAGCAAGCTTCGCGCTCAATGGGCAATAAACGCTCACGTTCACTATCTCGATTTCGCGCCAAGTCTTTGACGAATCCTCGTTCTCGAGGTCATCACAAAGGTGATGGAAGCAAAATAGCGAACAACATCGATTTTCTCGCAACTCGGACCCTATTGGGCAATCAAAGTCTGGCACCAACGGTGACTATCACCGAGCCAGGCACGAACCCACCTACTTCACAATCACATTCTCGGGCTTATTCTCACTCTCATTCTCACAATACTTCTCATTCTCATTCTCATAGTACTGCTCAGTCTCATTCTCATTCTCATTCGCACTCTAACTCTCATTCTAATTCGCATACGCACTCACATTCACACTCTTTGACCCATACGAGTTCACACAAATCTTCAAAAGGTTCACCCCGTCTGGGACATTCCCGCAACGAGTCATGGGGCAAGTCGGCCTTGAAGAAGGCAGGGGCACTTTGTGGCCTCAACCACAGTGACTCCTACAGTTCATCTATTGATGGACATGATGCTCCTCTAGATATAGCACTGAAGAGTGAAGTAACAAAGATCATCCGGCTCAAGGATCCAGCGCTCCCTGACGAAGGAAGCAAGGACTATGATCTACTCGCTGCCCCCAACGGTGTTTCTCCTGCCCCTAGTAGCGAAGGCGTAGGTATCGCGCTATCTTCCCCTCCTCCGTCCGATGATCATTCCAGAAATAACTGCGATCTGGAGTCCATCAGTATGCCAGGTCATCCCTATGCTCAAAGAGCGGTGTTTACCCAGTATCACAATGCGCCACCTGTGCATGAACATGCAACTCATTCTCACAAAGGCTCTGAATACGCCGGGCCCCATCCATCAACACTGGAAGCGGCTTTCCCTCCCAATACAGCCACTAGCGATGTGTCTAAGAGGCATAGGCTACCGCCGCGAGCAGCCATGCCTCATCCATATGCGAATTTCGGACAAGATCCCACGACTCCGCGCACGGGAGAAGATAGTCAATTTCCCCCATCTAATGCTGCAGATATTTCCGAGTATCGTGATAAAGCTTTCTCGACGAATGCGCATATATCGCTCACTAATCCAGAGTTTTCTAATTTCGGCGTGGGAGAAGCGCTTGTCTATGCTGTCCAGAAAACGGCGAGCAAAGGTAGTGGTTTAGGAGGTAGTGAAGAGCGAGGTATTGTGAATATGGAGAGGGTGAGGTCACGGGTTGCAGAACCTCCCAGTAAGGAGGTTTCGGATAAAGGGAAAGGGAGGGAGTTATCGCTTTCCGTCCTCCATATCGATAGCGGGTATCCTAGTGGACGTCCTATATTTCATTCGGACGAGTTTCCTTCCTCACCCACTCCTCTCACCAATTACCGCCGAACTCAGATGTCGAGTAGCATGGACAATATGCCCGAAGTGGCGTCGTCCTTCGATGATACTTTAACACGATTGATTTTGCCAGCACTTGCTAATGGAGATGATCTCGACGATTTCCGAGATTTGTTTTACAAACCACGCCCAAGAAACGTCTCAAGGACTCCTACCTCCGATGATCCCAGCAAAGGCATCCCCTCCGATGTCCACAGTTCTCGCTCTGGGAGTGGTCTAACGAACCTGGTAAGGAAGTTGAGCGAGGAGCTCGAAGAACTCAAGGATGTTTCTTCGCCTTCAGCCGGTGCTTTAGATAGCGAGAGCCGTGGTGGACGGGAAGAGCAACAATCAGGGCATCCTTCTACTACTCAAGGCTTCTTTTTTTCTGACTTCTCCGGATCTCCCTCTTCTTCGCCAGTCCAAGCTGATGGCCCTTCACCCTTTCGTTTGCCTATACAAAAGGACAGGGTGCCACCCGGTGCCCCAGACGCAAATATACCTGAAGATGTTGAATCCTCCCGAGCATCTTCCATCTTGGAAAGAGCCAACGAGGAAAACGACACTTTCGGTAAGTGCCGTCGAATACATTGATTAATGAAGCGGACTGACTGGCTTCCTTTAGGTGTTCCCATCCGAGTCGGTCAAATTGCGGCGATGGCTACTTCTCCAGTATCGTTTAGTCCGCATCGCGTCTCAAGCCAATTGTCGATTATAGGAGGCGAGGCTGCGCACACAGGTCCAACTAGTCAAACATTCACGCCAAGGTCTGGACGAAACAGCTTGCACCCCCATTCTGCCGAACCTCTTCGCTCCAGCTACGCAACCAGCACAACGGATCTGTCTCGCATGTCGGGTCTTTCGGACTTTCCAGTCCCTCCCGCGCAGGTCAATTTGACATCTGCGCACATGTCTATCCTTCAGGGGTATTTCGAAAGTGTGGCGCGGCAAAGTGGCGATCCTACGGAAACTCGGGCGACCTCTCGGATCCGTAGCGGACACCGCGATAGCCATCGCACGACCTTTGGTGGAAGTGAGGATATGGATATAATCACACAAGTCCATGCGGCTGAGACGTGACTGTTTGTCTGTGTAACATCATGGGACTTTTTTGCTCCTGCGGACATTTATCTTATACATTATTGCTTATAATATTGTTGATGTTGCACTATATCTAGACTTGTGATCAGTTCCTAGTCTCCCTTGCTGACCCTAATCAATATTACAGTCGCTTGATATATGTGAACAAGGTCTACTGTGTCTTGAGAGGTCTACACATGCATCACGTGTTACGGAAAAATGCTCCATGTGAATATCTAGGAACGGCTGTGGACGAGCCTAGTAAATATCTGAGAAAGTGTATTCAAGTATTGAGCGTAATATCTTAGTCCCACTAGATCCAAATAACTGGATGGCAGTGTGTGCGGTCTGCATTCTGCGAGCCTCTTTTTGGGATGCACCACATGCACATAGCATCTCCCAGTTCAGTCTCTGGATCCCGCCAATCTTCACCGAGGGGCCCACGAGAAAGTCAATTCACGGGGGCGTCTTTCGTGACAGATGGCTCACTTCACACATAATATACCATAGCACTTGTTAGAAATGTAATATATTACAATGGTTGCAATCATCGAGATATCATAGCAGCTATCGTGGCGTAAGAAGCACATCGTTTTATTGTGAAGTGTATGCAGAGACGCTGTTCCAGAATCTACACGTTGAATGCGCAAATTAAGCACAGTTTGAAATATGGATGAATATATCAAGGACACTTACGCGCATCGCTGAAGTAGAGCACTATCCGTAATTGTGGTTTGTACAACCGGTGCACCTGCTTCAGTCTCGTTAAATAACATCTCTGTATTGTTGGCGCTCCATGCGTTCCAGAGAGGTGTGATGTTTGACGCGTCGAACTTGGAATTTGGATCGAGTGATTCCGCGACTGCAATGAATGATTGCGAGAACGCAGTGATAAATTGAGCATTGTTGTACGCTGGACTCTGCCTTTCAAAGCAGCGTCATAGGAGCCGTTTATTAAATTCGTATAATCTGAACACAGTCGAGCACTTACGATGTGTAATAATACGCCACATCCTCGCCGTGAACACCAGGAGGGATAGCAAACTCTCCCTACGAAGGTCAGATACCGCTGTTCAAAGAAAAACAGCAAAAAATATACCTTCCACGAACGACTTCCGAAAGCTTGAAGCAAGTAATAAGTCGGGCAAATAAATATGGCTAGAAATAAAAGCGTTAGAGCAGAAATAGTCTTAAGAATGTGTTCATCGCACATTCGCCCATAGCTCCGATAGCTTGTTCAAGCGCCGTCCCTATGCTTCCGTATTGTTGAGCTGCTCCTGCAGCCTGCGCAGGCCCGAAATCAGGGAACAACGTTGTCACATAGTCACTGATGTTGGCGTTCCAATTGCTCTCCACAAAAACAGTGCCCTCAAAGGTGTTTGTTACAGCCAGGAGGACTTCCTACAGATGAAGATTATTTCAACAAGGTCGTCAGACAGCGAGGGAAATAAGCTTACTCCATTCAATTGCCCCTTGCCAATGGTTACGGTTGGTCTCTCTACGATGAACGTGCCATCAACGACAGGGACAAAGACAAATGTACCGAAAAATCCGTTCAAATTAATGTTAGTGTTGATGGTTTCGAGGACGCTGATATCGGCGTTGCGAAGGCAAGAAAGGGTATCGGCGCTCGAGGTGCAGCTGTGGGTTGGGTATGAACACGGCATGCATCGCCTCATGAAACACTAGCAGCAGGACGTGGAGACGAACCTTGTCTGCGAGACAACTTCGCTGTACAACATCTATAAGAACAAATGTGAAACGGTGTACGATGATCACATAAGGGCTGCCTCACTTCAGGAATTGGATCACTGTAGTTGTACTGGGAAGGCAAAAAAGTAGAACTTGTCATGACAGCTCGGAAAAGTGGCGGCTGCGTATTCCCTCCGTTGGCAACGATGTGTTGCAAAACGGAACCGGCACCTAATCAATGATATAAGCATGATAGTATAAACTTTGTTCTGGTGGAACAGTGTTAGCTGTAAGACATACCAGCAGATTCACCCCAGATAGTGACCTTTGTAGGATCTCCTCCGAAAGTATTGATCTAGAATAACATTTATAAATGGACAAGCTGGGACAAATAAGATATACTGCTACTGACGTGGCTCTGGACCCATTGAAGAGCATAGTTTTGGTCCACTAAAGCATACCATGAGGTCAGCGCTTAGCGCCCATGCACCTCAAAATGTATCAAAACTTACAAAGACCCGCGTTCAAAGCACCGTTCGCTTTAACAGCAGCACCGGGTAAGAAACCTATTTCCCGTCCCAAACAATCGGACAAAGAATAGTTTGAAAGGAGTATGCACACATACCAAGAAGGCCTAGACGGTACTGAATGACAACCACAATGACTCCATTTTTTGAATCTTGAACTAAATCTGCACCATTGAACATACTTGCACTTTGAGATATGTAGCTGAAAACAAGCATCATAAGGCTCTTCTCGTATCAGGTGAGCCATTTAAGATCCGTACCCTCCTCCATGGATCCATACGATGACTGGCAAACCGCCAGGGGCGGGTGCTGCCGGTAAACTCCCAGGAACATACACGCTAGAAACGTGGATTAAAAGTTGTACGAACGTACATAAATCGCGCCCTACTTCAAGAACAAGCAGTCTTCAGACTGAACTACATCGCGCTTGCTGACCGTGTTGCTTCCTAGAGGATTCGTCGGTCCAGTCCCAGTTGGAGCCTGATAACATTCGTTCGGTTCCACGGTAGCCTGTTGAATTCCTGTTACATTAGCGGGAGGTTGTGGAGCCTGCCATCGCAGATCACCTAAATGGAATCAGCTTAGGTATGAAAAGGGGTGGAACGGAAGCGTACCAGTGGGAGGCGCCGCAAAGCGCATACCCAGAAAGGTCGAGATATTGGTCGTTGAATCGACATACCCTTGGTATTGAGCATAGCCTAGATCGACAACAGGGGCAGACAAAGTAGCTTCTACTGGCGATGCCAGCCCTCGGATGGCCAAAATTGCCTGCAATAGAGCATATAGATAGGGTTTTCTGTGCATCGTGAAAACGCGAATACGTAACTCAGATCAATGGAAACAGCCAGAGATGTGAGTAGCTTTCAAACGCTCATAGAAAGATCCACTGCTGTGCGATATATGTTGCTCGGTTACTGCGGGATTAATTCCATGTCATGACTGCCCAAGGAACGACCTTGTGGACGACGGCAACATGGGACTTTTTTGGCCGCAATAATGTGTTATAAAGAGCCAAAGACTAGAGATCGGAGTGCGTTATGGATCACGAGAAGTATCACGAGACCTTGCAAAGGTTGGCGACGTGCCTCTCGCATGGTGGTGTTGTCAGAAGCATAGGTCAGCTTCAATCCTCCAGTCGAAACGACGCATATGCATTGCATGAGGAAGTCAGTCCCGAGTCTCGCTCCCTACGAGGGCCATCCTCAGATTGCACTGATAAAGAGTTTCCATGCATTACTTGTTGTGCACGCGGGCCGTTTCATCGGAGCTCGCGGTCACGAGACAAATCGTAAGGAGATCCGCAAAAACTTCGGGGATGAGTTTGTTTCTATTTTGTCGACGGTGTCGCATTCAATTGTTTTGACAGAAATCCAGACCGTAATTCATAGACAGTATGTGTACTGCAGATATAAATCTGAGTTGTATGTGCAGAACACAGGAGTGCCGCACGTTGTTATTCAGCGAATCCAAAGTGTGATGTACCTTGTCTTTTGCCCTTGGGAATGAACTTCATGTAGGAGTTGTGGGGAAATTCCAGAAGTATTGTTTATTAGATGATGAACTGTGAACCAAACTGGCCCTGAGTCAGGGCGCGTCGTTTACTTGGAGTCGGTGTGGGAACTTCACAATCCTCGACGCCATCAACTGAGCCATTGAGAATACTATATGTATTAGCAATACATCTAGCAGCACTGTGACAACAATTGGACCGAACCATGGTTGACTCGGACTAGCACAGAACGCCCAACTAGAAAATCCGGTGACAGGCAGAATTTGTGCATATGCTCGTCTCAAAACCAACAGAAGTAGAACACCTTGCGAGTCTCGCTATCATCTTCGCTACTGGGCTAGCTTGCAGCCTTGCAAGGGTCGGACGTAGTGGTTTACAGTCAGACTGGTAGCTAGTGTTCAAGTTCTGAGTCTGGTCGAAGTCATGGTGCGGTTCCGTCAAAGTGTGACTAAACATCACCGTAGTCACGTGGTTGTGACACATGACATTCCAAATCGCCTCGACATGCTGCATCCTCGTGTCGTCGCGATGACCTATATAGCTCTGGCTGCCAGGTTTAAGGTTATGCTCTACTTGAATCCCCACACACCTACATGCCCCATAACGACCTGAATGCGAAGCCAGAATCGCATATACACTCATAGGATCCAAAAGTTCGCTTGAAAAGCACTTTTTAGCCAGTAATCGCGACGAATCTTCAACTTGCACCGTCAACACCATCGCACCGCAGTTGATTGAAGTGGTAGGGACCACTGGTGCCCAAGAATTTCAAGCTTGAGGTGAGAATTATTATTATATCGTAAATGAGAGTGGGTATCAGCATCTGCCACACAACACTATCACTGACATGCGGCCCAAGTACTCGGTGAGTGCCACTCTGAACTTGGAAGTTCGCGTTACTCCTTCGCCCGAACGGCACAGGATGTTCTTTTCTATAATCTTCTCGAGTAACGAACTCGAAAAAGATTATACATAAGCACTTTCAAAGCTCTTGCCGTCCGAACATTGAGTGGTGTTAGGAGCTCGTGCTAAGGTCACAAAGTCGATTTGAGTCTTCGTTTGCCTGTCTCACAGAAGGAATCGAGACGCGAATATTGCATGATGATTTCAATGCATGTTACAATTAAACGAATTGATATACAAAATTACGGTAAAGCACACGATTTCCAGATGAGTACATTTCTGCGATCGCATCCAAATCATTCCGTCCATTCATCCCTTCATGAAAACAATATAACAAACCTAACATACTCAATACACACTCGATCCAGGTCCTTGGGGAGCATTCGCTCCGGGCCCAATCAGATTTTCGTCGGTGCCTGACTGATTAGTTCCAGCAGGAGTCCGGGGTAGCTCCTTGCCCGATCCTTGGTAACCCTCTCCTTGCACTTGTCCTTGAAACTCTTGCAGACCTCCCTGCTGACTTCCTGGCTTATCATACGAAGACCCGAACGTGTCTTGCTTCGCTCGTCCTCCAGCACCATGATCGCTACTCTGTGCTCCTCCCAGATTTAGTTGGCCCAGACCCTGTTGAATCTCGGTGGTCCCCTGACCACCATGGCGTGTACGATCGTAACCACTCTGTACGAACCCGTCTCCATGACTGCCAGTCTGTGCGGCACCTACGTCGGGATGAGGTTGTTTAATCTCTGTGGTCCCTTCACCTCCATGGCGTGTACGATCGTAGCCACTCTGCACGAACTCATCTTCATGACTGCCAGTCTGCGCAGCCCCAACATCTGGACGAGGTGGTTGAATCTCTGTGCTTCCCTGACCTCCATAGCGTGTACGCTCGTAACCACTCTGAACGAACCCATCTCCGTGACCGCCAGTCTGAGCGGCACCAACATCAGGACCTTCCTGCTGCTGCTGACCGGTGTGCTTGTCGTACTCATGCAACGCGCCTGCACCTAACCCGGCTGCACCAGCTCCTGCAGCAGCGTTACGACCATAATGATGGTCACTAGCTTGGTTGTGAGGAAATTGCTGCTGTTGCTGCCCTCCCTGCGTGGAACTATTGTACGCTTTTTGTGTGTAACCGTTTTCTGCCTGACCTTGTCCACTCTGCGTAGCGCCAGGATCCTCATGCTTGTCGTACTCGTGCACTGCTCCAGCGCCTAATCCTGCAGCTCCGACTCCTGCAGCAGCATCGCGCCCGTAATTATGATCACCGGCCTGGTTGCGAGTAGAAGGAGCTTGCTGATCCTGATCCTGTCCCCCCTGTCTGGTGCTATCATAGGCGCTTTGCACGTATCCATCCCCATGCCGGCCACTCTGTGCCGCTTCAACTCCGCCGTTCCCGCCTTGGTTCTGGTTCTTCTGCTCATGCTTGTCGTACTCGTGCACGGCCCCAGCGCCAAGACCTGCCGCGGCTACTCCTCCGGCAGCATCGCGTCCATAGTGGTGAGTATCTTGTCCTTGCGTTTGTGATTGGGCTTGGTGTCCAGTGGCGCTTGCAACATTTGGTGAGGTTTGGTTACCGCTGCCATGGCCGGATTGAGTATTGCCGGTGGTCGTACGAGCTCCAGGACCAGCTGCGTCTCCATAACCCGTTCCACCAGTCATGCCAGGGCCTGTCACGCCAGCACCTGCAGCCGTAGCAGCGGCTCCTGAGCCCACTCCCCCCACCCCGGCTCCGGCTCCCGTTCCTAAACCTGCTGTCGTTGTAGTAGTACCCGTGCCAGTGGCTCCTGCGTTTGTAGCGCGTGCAGCTTCAGGATTGAACTGCCCTTTGAGACGGGCGAGACCTTCTGTGATTTCGGCACGTCCTTTGGTGGCCACGCTATCGTTTTTAATCTCGCCTTTCTGCGAGCTGGCGGCTGTATCTGCAGCTCCCATAGTCGTGCCACGGAGGTTCTCGCCGATTCCTGTAAGTAAAGGGTGGTAAGTCAGCCACGAATAGAGATAGGTTCGGAGCGGGTATATGCGCACCATGTGCGAGCTGCCAAGCACCTCTGTGAGTCAGAATGATTCATTAGCCCCAAGTTCACGAATCGTATGGGTAAAGAAGACGCACTTGATCTTATTCCCGATCTTTCCTCCGCCGTTCCCTGTTCCAGCGCCTGTCGTAGGCGCCGTTGTGTCTGAAGTGTTATTCACGTTGCTGGTCATAGTCGTGCTGTGGTATTGGTTCTGCGTGGGGATTTTCCAAACAAGCCCGAGCTCTTTATATACTCCCTGAGTTGTCCATAGTACAAGGTGCGATGACGCGTGTATGCGTTCATCGAGGACAAGTCATTGGTGCGAATTTGGAAACCGGGCGGGACTCGTCGACGGAGTGGGAGGAGATGACGATGATGCAACCGAAGGAATATAGATTAGATAGCAGGATTTAGGTAAGATCTTTGTTCGGTCGGCGGTGGCGGTGCGATAAGATAAGATTCTGATCGACGCGCGTGAGAACTGCGAACTGCTGTTTCGGGCTCACCGGCCGATTCTCGCATCGTCTCTTGGGTACCATCAACCGCAGCTTATGCTCTGGCTCTTTGTAACAACAAATCGCTGGGGCGCCGCCGTGGCTACACCCATCTGCCTGATCATATCAATGTTCCTTGTCGGCAGACCACCACGGGGTAGAGCATAGAGGCGGGGATCACTGCGGGGGGACCTGGTTTCGTTAGGATACTACAATATGATATTCTTTTTGGCTAAGCACAACAAGAGCGATACGAAAGCGACGACACTGCTAGCTACTAGTACTGAATCCCAGTACACTAATTCTACAAATCCTTTGGTTGTTTGATGGTGTTAATGAAAAGTACAAGTAAAGAATAAAAAACAGTCATAAAGAGGCGGGCAAAGAAGGGAAGAAGGGGAGTGGTACACTGGCTCTACATATTCTTCGGGTTTTCTTTGGCGGCGATAATGGTGGCGGGGGTATAACTAACTAATAAAAAAAAGTCATAAAAAGGTAGGCAAAGGGAAGTGGCCGAGGAAGGCGAAAAAGGCGGCGAATAATGAAGAAATAATTGAAGGGCAACGAAGGCGAAAGTAAAGTACAATAATAACAGAGTCCAACCTCCTCTCATCGAATTAGTCTGCGCCGGTGCGCACCAGGGAAGTCCATATGTATATGTTCTACAAAAAGAAAATCGTTATGCTCGTGTCTCGTCGTCATCGTACACACTGATCGGCAGTCTCAATATCATGAGACGTTCAGCACCCACACATCAGGTCCTCGCTTCGTGCTCGACAACCCCATGAGCTTGTTCTGACCCATCAAAAAGTCAACCCGCTTGACGCCCTTTTTAGACTCCTCGTCGTAGATGTCCTTTGAGGGTGAACGATTGCACCGTGCGTGGTAGGCAAGGTTCACCCGCATTTGGTGGTCTTTCGAAGGCAGCATGCTATACTCAGCCGAGTTGACGCTGAGCCGCAGGAAGCGGTAGACACCGTGGAGAACGTCTTGGACGGTCACAAAGGGGGTGACGGAAGAGGTTGGGCGGATAGTGAGCTCCCACGGTAGTGACTGATTGAGCAGTGTCAGAGATTGTAGCGGGGGGCTAGTGGCTGGCTCAGCAAGGACTTGTGATGAGAGATGGGTGGGAGATGAGTGGACATTTGGCTGGACGCTATTGGGTGGGAATGAGACGTCGTACAGAATGGGGGGTATGAGAGGCTGAAAAGCGAGGAGGGGGTGGATAACGACAGGACCGGTTGGTAGGGGAGAGTACAATTGTTGTGGGGGCGTGCTGGGCCCTGATGATGATGGGAGGGAGGTGTTTGAATATGTGGGTGATGGTGTGGGGGGAGCTGGAGAATACATGGTGTTGCGCTCGTCAAAGCGGACGTGCTTGGTTACTCCTGGCATTGTGCTATGATATCTGGAGTAAGCTGAGGATGGAGAATGCAGGATTGAGAACGGGAAGTGGTGGTGGTTGTGGTGAAGGGAGTTGTAGGCGAGTGTGAGAGGTGTGTGAACGGGGGACTGATTAACAGTTGTGGTTGTAGGGAAAGATGTGGTGATGTTGATAGAGAACATTTAGGAGCACTTTATAACTTGTCTTTGGTGTCGGGGCGCAGCCTCGAAATAGGCAGCATCGCCCGCAGCCGTTGACAGCTGGGATCGATATGACTATTATGACTTGGACCCAGCTCTGAGTTACTAGTGACTCGTATAGCCTTGTTCTCGAGATCCCGAGTGAATCTCGTAACGCCCGTTATAATATTGTGCCTTTTGAAGGTGGGATTTTCGGGGGACGAACGTCGGCGAGCACAGGATAAGGAGGAGGAGGACGGGGGCTGGGTACAAACCGTATGGTTCTTCGTAGGTTGTCTCTTGTTTACGGCACCGAATACAGAGATCCTTGGCACGGCAGCGCCCATAGACCGCTATGGCTTTGGCTGAGCTGTCCGCCTATAGAAACTTGGGCGCTATCTCACATTCACACCCCCGATTACCCAAGGGAACAAGCCAGCTCTTCTGCACAATTATCTGCCGCTATTTCTCGTGCACCCAGGTTGAGAACAAGCTGAGATTTGGGCGCAGAGCTAGGATTTCATGTGCGGATAGACCCGTACCTGGCGCCTGTGTAAACAGGCCTTCCTTTTGCGGGTGTGGCTGATGTTATATTGACAACCGTTGCCGCGACGATGATTTGCTTTTTGCTTTTATTTATTTTCGCTGCCCCACCATGATGGACAGCTTTTCTCCAGTTGTCTAGCCCAAGGTCGGCCTTAGCAATACAAAAATACACGATAACGATGGAGTGGAGATCATTTGAGGGCAGTATGCAGCGCCAGATGGAAGTCGCACACTGGCACAACAAGACAACTGCAAATTTCGCTTTTTGGGATACCTTCACACATGCAGCTTTCCATCAAACTATCAGATGCACCATCGATAGGCAAATGTCATCATTTTCGTGCGCAGTCGCACTGGTGTCAGCTAACGTGTCCCAGACGTGTTCGCTCGCCGCGCCACCGTGCCAGGTCTACCATGACGTGGAGGCACCCCCGGTGTCTTTCAATTTGTCGAGTTCCTGCACGCACGTATGGCAAACGGCATATATGGATGCTGAGATCATGGAAGACATGCATGGCCGCGTAACTCCGTTGTATGCACTTTCAAGGCAGTGAACATATTCCATGAACGAATACTCAATCAGCAATGCCCTGTAGCGAGCGTTTAATCCTATCAGGAGATCCGACTCGCTGATTTGGGTGTCACCTGTGTTCTCGACTCCAATGACCTCATCAGTGGTCTACAGCAAGCTTACTATTAGTCTGTCGTGCTCTTTAGTCGCGGACGAAAAATCATTGTGGCTGTTAATTTCACACCGGATAGTTACCACCACCGTAACAATCTATCTATATTGCGTCGTTCTATCGTACTAGTACAGCGTGTCCACCTTGGTAAGTTGATTCTTGTCCTCTCTTTCCGTTTTGTCTACTAACAGCCACTCATCTTCCGACCTCACCGTGCTCCAAAGGACATTCGCAGCGCCTGCGTGCGGTGCGTGCCGATATCACAATGATATTGGGCGGTTTGTCCGGGGTTCTTGATAGAACTGGCGCACATTCAGCTACACACCCTCGATAATCTATTAAGCGCTGGTGGAGCTCTCTAAGGTTCGCGGCAATTCAAAGGTCAACTACGCCTCCGTGGGCTGATATATGACCCAGAATGACTCAAAAAAGGTCACGCTTCAGCTTCCGTCCCGTCGTCCCTGCACGTAGTTCGAAATTCGAGAACCTCTATTCTCCAATGCGCAGGACTCGGCCGAGTAAAAATAGCTTTGGTGGCGTAGAAGGCTGGGTTACATCCAGAAGATAAAGATACTTGGTGCGCCCAGGCGCCTGTTGAAGCGCCTGAGTTCCACCAAACTTTCTCTCTATGGAATCCTTCGAACACTCTACCCTGTCTTGACTAGTTCCGAATCTGAACATCCTGAGAGAAAAATGTCGCCACTTTATCCGTAATCCCCTCTTTATCCCGCTTCTCCCGACCCACTGGCCGACAGTGCCCCTACATGTCTGCTTTTGAGCCGTGTCAGTATCCGTGTGTTTTGATAGACAGCGGTACCGTCGCACTTGTAAGGCCCTTTTCAGTCGCGCAAGCTGTCATTGTGCGAACAGAAAAGAAGAATGTTCTGGAGTCCTCTGTGTGTGGTCCGTACCTTCGATGGCGAACGCCCCTTATATGGAACCAGTTCGCCCAACCCGCTTTATGCCGTCGGCCTGGTCCTTTCTTCCCAGCCCGCTCTTGGCCCCCACAGACCGCCACGCTCGATGACATCTGTGAGGGGCTCTGCATTCCCTGCTCTGCCGGTGCTATCATTAATATCAAAATTAAATTAAGACACTCGCTAGCTCCTATCTTAGCGGTGCAAAAATGCCATTCGTCCCGCCTCTGGATCTCATCTGATTTCCGTCCGTTTTACTCCACCCATTGTAAAAGAAGCAAAAAAAAAGGCAGACATGATATCAATGATTAGCTCCTGCCGTGTCCTTCTACACATCGCGTGATGACTTGACATCGTCCGCTGAGTTGATCAGATTCGTCATCATCCGACTTTCTCTCCGGTCTGCAGTTCCCGCCCCAGTCCCTTTGTGGTCTGTCCTCTCGTCATGTATGTTGGCCGTGTCTGCCGTTCATTCAGCGTATAGGCTGAAATAAGGTCCGGTTTTGTTTCACTAGCGATATCGTGTGCTATAGGATGCCTGGCTGATTGATCCCGGTTTTTTTTCATGTATCCACCGATAAATAGTTTTGTCGGGAGAGGGTTCAAACTCGATGCTGTTGGTTGGTGGTGATGTTCAGCACCTGTCTCTGCCTTTTCCTCCGCCGCATGGTTACAGATCAGCTATGTCGATAACCATCAATAATGCTTTCGAGTTTTTGCGATCAGCTTCGAATGACCTTTGGTAAAGTCCCCTGCTTGCAAGGAATTTCCATAAATAGACTGTCGATGTTACAGGCGACTTTCTTTCAATCCGGAACGTTTTTCATTTGCTTCCTCAGCGAGCGCCACCCGATCATGATCATGATCACTACGCTTTCTTCCTTCCTGAAAATGAACCGAATACCTGAAATGCGTCTTTCCTTTTTTATGAGGCTGAAAGACCGCTATTGAGCGCTACTGGGAATCTGATATGCACCCGAGCCCTGATGACTTTCTGGGTCATCTCTTACACCGTGCACTGGCCGCTTCCAAGAAATCGGATCGGATCAATGTTGCGAGATACGAAATGGTATCTCAATATCGTGCTGATATCGCCTTTCACGGAAGGTCCCCTCTGTTCCAGCATATCAGCAGATAATCGATAATCTACACAGCCCACACCGCATTCGCAATAGAGACATTGTATTTCATGAAGGATTACCTAATCAGTGCACTGTACTTAGATGGAAAGTCTAAGGTACCTCGGGCGTCTAAATGCGAATAGCCTCATTGTAAAACCCTTATCCCCTATACCGAGTTAACGGAGGGATGAAGGCTCAAATCAAACAAGTAGCGTTACAAATAGCGATTGAGAATTAATCAACAACTGAGGAAAGTATGTACATGATGGTCTACTATATATATGTTTCTGAAAGTCAGCCATGAGGCGCTGACTGAGCTAACATGCAGCAGCCATGAGGCGCTGACTGATGTTCTTTGTAATGGTTCTAGACTCATGTCACGTGATGGTCACGTGATCTGATATAACTACGTATTATGTTATCCGCGCTAAAGCAGCAGCTTAACATATCTTATCTGTCATGTGATCAGATATCAAAGAAAATGAAAAAGGAAACTAGCGCTCAGACTAGCGCTTCTGGTTCAAGTCGTGACATTACCCCTCCTTAGGACTTTCGTCCCGAAAGTAGGGGTCCATCTTTCCATTTTCCCAATTAAACAATTGTTTTCGGACTCTAGTCGTTGTGAAGTTTTCGAAAGGTTGGAAATGTAATTGGAATCGTATCCGTCGGGGTGCACTAGGGTTGTGGTTGTGGAATGTTTTGACTTTGTCTGGTGAGTTGTTTAGATGTTGTTTGGGTTCCCATGTGCGTTCCTCTTTTGGATAGTTCTTCCAGTGTACTAAATATTCTAATTTCCCTCTTTTTAGACGTGAATCTAGAACTTCTTCGACTTCATATTCTTCTTGTCCATCTACTATTACCGGCGGTATCGGTTTAGGTTTCTGTTGGGAAGGGAACTGTGGTTCTTTGTATGGTGTAAGCTTTATCTCGTTGAAAACTGGATGAATAGGCCGCCATGTCGGTGGTAGCGCTAGTTTATAGGCCGATTCGCCTATCTTTTCCAGTATTTTAAACGGACCGTGTCTCTTATCGTCCAGTTTCTTGGCTGGTCGATCTGTTGAGATATTGGTTGCTTCTACATACACCTTATCTCCTACTTTATATCCCACTGCTTCTCTCTTCTTCTTATCGTACTGCTTCTTCATCTGTTCAGTTGCCTTTTGCAGCGATTCTTCTGCTCTTTTCCTTGTTTCTGTCATTCTCTTTACGAAATCTTCTGCATTTTCGTTCTTTACCCCCACTTTCACTACTTCCTGTGTTCTCGGATGATGTCCATGATTCAGGTAGAACGGGCTGTATCCCGTCGCAGAATGTTGTTTGTTATTGTAAGAGAATTCTGCTAGGGTAAGCCATTCTGCCCAATCATCTTGTTTATGGTTTACGAAGATTCTGAGATACTGTTCTATCTCTTGATTGATCCTCTCCGTCTGTCCATCCGTTTGTGGATGCCAAGCCGTTGATGGGTTCGCTTTTATCTGAAGAAGCGTATGTAGATCTTTCATGAATTTTGAAACGAATTGCGGTCCCCAATCTGAGATGATCTTTTCGGGTATGCCGTGGTTTCTGAATACATGATCTCTAAATAGTTGTGCCACTCCTTCTGATGTGATCTCCATCTGTGTGGGAATTACCTTGATCATTTTGGTAAATCGATCTACTACTACCATTATCATGTTATATCCATTTGATTCTGGTAGCGGTCCGATCAGATCTACTGATATGATCTGCCAAGGTTTATCCGGGATCTCGTTTGGATGAAGCGGTGCTGCTTTCTTTTTATGGTCTGTCTTAGTCCTTTGGCAGACTTCGCATCCATCTACGTATCTCGTGATATCTCTGTCCATGTAAGGCCACCAGTATTGTCGAGTGATTAACTCCTTTGTCTTATATCTTCCTGGATGGCCTGCAATAACAGAGTCGTGGTTTCGTCGGATAATCTCTTCCCTTAATGCAGCATCTTTCGGTACATAGATCCTGCCTTTGAATACTATGCAACCGTCTTCGTCTAGCCAACCATCCTCTCTCCTCTCTATCTTTCCTTTCATCTTTTTTATCAGCTCATCTACATTTCCTTTTCTCTTTGTAATCCACTTTGAAATCTCTAATTCTTTCTCTTGACTGTCTGCGATCCTTTGTCTTTGTTCTGGAGAGAGAGTCATTCTTACAAATAGTTTCTCATCTAGTAGCACGACGTCTTCGTTGTCGTTTTCTCCCTTGTTATGATCTGATCGCCTAGAGAGAAGATCTGCTTTTATATGCTTCCTTCCTGGCATATGATGTATCGTGAAATGATACTGGCTCAACTCTGTCATCCACCGCGCCTGTCTCCTGTTCAGCTTCTTTGGTTCTTTGAAATACAGCAGATTTTGATGATCTGTCCATATCTCAAATTCCTCTTCTGCGTCTATTAAGTAATGTCTCCATTCGTTAAGTGCCGTCATGATGGCAAGAAGTTCTTTGTCATAGATCTCGTAATTGCGTTCTGTGGGGTTTAACGCTTTGGAGAGGTACGCAATTGGCTTCCAGTCATCCTTTTGTCTTTGTGATAAGACAGCACCCATAGCGAAGTCACTACTGTCCGCTTCTACTTTGTATTGGCCATGTGGTACTGGGAGAGCTAACACTGGGGCTGAAGCTACACGTTGTTTTAATGTGTTAAATGCTTCTTGTTGTTCATTTCCCCAAATGAAGTCCTCTTTTCCCGTTAACTTGGTCAATGGTTTGGCTACTTCCCCGAAGCCCTCTATGAATCTTCGATAGAAATTTACAAATCCCAAGAATGCCTGTATATCTTTTTTATTTTTGCATTCTGGCCATTTGCTAATTCCTTCTACTTTCACCGGATCCATGCGAATTTCGTTCTCTGAGATGATCAGTCCCAGGTATTCCACTTCTGTCTGTTCGAAATCGCATTTCTCTGGTTTAAGATAGAGATGATTCTTTCTTAGGATTTCTAACACACGTCGTGTCGTTGCTCGGTGCGTTTCTATATCCTTTGTGAATATCATGATATCATCTAGATATATGATTACTAATCCTTCATCTATCAACTCTTTGAAAAGCGTGTTCATCATCATTTGGAACGTGGCGGGGGAATTTGTCAGTCCGAAGAACATGACTAATGGTTCGAATAATCCCCGGTTTGTCCTAAACGCTGCTTTATGCTCGTCTCCTTCTCTCATTCGGATATTGTTATATCCCCATCTTACATCCAACTTTGTGAAGTATTTTGCTCCACTCAATTTGTCTACTAGTTCCCCGATCAATGGAAGTGGATATCTATTTTTGATAGTGATATCGTTTAGCTTCCTATAATCTTGAACCGGTCTCAACTTCCCGTCTTTCTTTTTAATAAAGAAGAATGGTGATGCGAATGGGGACTTCGATGGTCTTATTCGTCCCGATTCTAGATTCTCTTTTAGGAACGCATCTAGCTCTTCTTGCTCTCCTCTTGCCAATGGGTAGATCTTGCAATCTAGGGAGTGATCTCCCGGTATTAGTTCGATTGCGTGATCCCATTGCCTTCTTTCAGGTAGTGTGTCGAACTCCTTTTTATCAAACACGTCTTTGTATTGATGAAGGTGTTTTGGCACTATCTTTTTGAATCCTCCTTCTTTTCGATCTTTGCCTGCGGCTTCTGCTAGCTTCTGTGCCATTGTGCCTTGGGCTCTGATATGGTAATATTGATCGTCGATCGTGGCATCTTCGAAATTATGGAGATTCACCTGTATCATCCTCTCGTCTTCTCTTAGTTCCTCGAAGAATATTTCCGGATCCTCCTCTGGATCAGAGATTCGGATTCTCGGTCTGCATTCTTCAGGACATCTTTCAAAGGTCAACTTCGATTCTTTCCAGTCTATTTTAGGATTATGTTTGTTCAACCACTCATGTCCTAGAAACATTTTTCCGTTACCCAGATTGGTTACGGCAAGATGTATCTTCTCGATGTGTCCGTCGATTTCCATGAGTAGTATTACGAATTCGTTGATGGCTCCGTTTTTATTAAGAGTTCCATCTGCATTATAGACTGGAATAGGTCTCGGTATCTTCCTTGTCTCATATCCTTTGTCTTTCACAAATTGGGAGTCGATGCAACTCCCCGTGCATCCACTGTCCAATAGTGCTTCGACTGTTTCTGATTGGAGAGTATCTAATGTAGTGAGCTTACATTTTACATTCATTTGATTGCCTTGGGTGCCCCTAATGTACTTTTTTGGGGAGGCAATTTCTATGATCGCTTGTATAGCTTCTACTTTTGGTAACCGGTTAATTTCTTTTATTGTTTCCCGGGTTACTTCTCTCGCTCTCTTTTTATGTGTCCAGGCACTCAGAATCCCAATGGATCTTTCTTCCTTTTGGTCTCTTAGCCTATCTACTACCCACTCTGGGGTCCAAACTTCCGTTCTAGGTTTTTTTAAAGGGGTTCCTGACCTTTCTTCTACAGTCTCTGCTGCGTTTTCCTCCGTAGAGTTCGCCGCATCGGGTGTAGGAATCTTAGGTTCTGTCGTAAATGCTGCGCTTTTTAGTGATTCGCCCGCCGTCGAAACTGCAGATGTCTTATCACTCTGCGCCGCTTTTACTCTAGTTGCATCTTTTTTGTTTCGGATTTCTTTCTTTGTCTGAGTGGAAATAATTTTATTGTTATCCGCGCTAAAGCTGCAGCGTAACAATTCTGAGTCACATGTATCTACAGTCAAAGGAAGAAATCTATTCGAAACGTCTTTAGGCTCAGTCGGTCGATGCGGTACCGCTGGCCTCTTTAAAAACCCTCAAGGAGTTTTTCCCTTTCCTCTTTCGTCATCTTTTCTAAGAACTCTCGGACATTAAATTGTGGCTTCTTTTTTTGTGCGTCTTTGCATTTGAAGCTTCTATGTCCCTTTTCTCCACATCGGTAGCATCGTCCCTCAGTGCGGAACTTTGCTTTGTCCACCTCCATTCTTTCTCCGCTACCGGTATAGGTATATCCGGTTCCGTCTTTCTTCTTCTCTCCTTCTTTCTTTTGTTCCGAATAGGGTTTCTTCCCAATATCGGAACCTTTCTTCTCTTTTTCTCTCTCTCTCCAAATATAGTCTATTCTAATAAGTTCCCTTTTCCACTCTTGGTAGTCTCTGGGAATATGCCCGCCGTAGATCACCCTATCTACTAGCGGCTTGTTCATGTTCCTTCTGAGTAGAGATATTAGGAACTCTTCGTTTATCCTATTTGTATATCCCGCCCATCTTTTCTTTTCCTCAAACCTTTCAAAGAAGGCTTGGGCGGTTTCATTGCCCTGTCTTAGGGTCAATATTTCGTTCTTGGCAGTTTCTTTTTCAAAACTGTCCTTGAACCTTTCTTCCATTTTGTCCGCAAAATACGGCCAACTTCCGTATGTGTTTGTAATATCGAGCCCCAGCTGTTGGGCATCGACTCGGTTCTCTAGCCAATCGGTCCGGAAGGCCGCGGCTTCTCCTTCTTTCATAAAAGATAGCACAAAGCTTATCTTTTTTCGGTCATCTTGGAAATATACGGCATCGTCTTCGAAATGTAGTAATAAGGACTCTCTAAAGGCCCTATACTTTTTCTTATCTCCGGAGAAGTTCTCGGGTTTCTCCAGTGCCGTTCTACTTCTTTCCACCTTTTCTGGAGGTGGCGGTATCTGTCTCTTTAATTTTCTTTGCAAGACGCTCACTTCTTCGAGCGCCTCGTCTAGCTGCGATTGGTAATGCATTTGTGTTTGTCTTATTGCTTTTTCTACTTCTTGTTTTACGTATGCTTCCAATCGTGCTTCTTTTGGGGGGGGAGTGTCTATTCTTGGTAATGCGTCCATCATTTCCCTGGTAAATGCGCTGTCCGTGCTATTGGATGGCTCGGGCAGATCTCGATATTCTAGGTTTGACATCGAATGTGAGTTGGGGAGGAGGGGGAGTTTCGGATTTGATTAAAGGGGATGGGATTCTAATGGGTACTATTTCTGGTAGGGGGAATTGCCCTTTGAATACGTAATCTTGAGAGTAAATGTGTTGCTCTCCGATCCAAATTTAAAAATCTCTACTAAGCATAGAAAGGAGTTCACCAGTGATAAGCTGGATCGATACACCGCTTTCTAAGATCCTAGTAGTCTATCTGTTCTCTTTGAGTCAAAGTGGTCCTCTTCAGCCCACTACTGACTATGTATGTATGGTAACTATTTTTGTATTTTACGAATTTTATGTAAAAGGTATAGTGATAAATTGGGGTCCGAACGGTTGTCCCAATGTGACCAGCTTATTAAGCTTTCAGTCCTTCTCCCGACTGGCGGACGCAAATGCGCGGCCTGGTCAGAGGAAATCGAAAATGAAACTATGTAAAACCGAGAAAATCCCAATGGTTCCACACCAAAGAGATTATAGTGATATAAAATGTATTTACAGGGGGATGGTTACGAACGAGTCTTGGGATGAGGAGGGGGAGACGTTGGCAGGAAAAAATGATAAGATGGTGTCGGGGCGAGTGGGTAGGTGATGAAGTGGGAGGGTAGTGGTGGTTTGGTTTGAGCGTTTAAGTAGGTTTAGGAAGATGATGATGACGGTGACGATGATGGTGGTTAGGATTGTTGCTGTTATATTCATAAACGGTACTTGTGGCAGTTGTTGATTGTGTAAAACCCTTATCCCCTATACCGAGTTAACGGAGGGATGAAGGCTCAAATCAAACAAGTAGCGTTACAAATAGCGATTGAGAATTAATCAACAACTGAGGAAAGTATGTACATGATGGTCTACTATATATATGTTTCTGAAAGTCAGCCATGAGGCGCTGACTGATGTTCTTTGTAATGGTTCTAGACTCATGTCACGTGATGGTCACGTGATCTGATATAACTACGTATTATGTTATCCGCGCTAAAGCAGCAGCTTAACATATCTTATCTGTCATGTGATCAGATATCAAAGAAAATGAAAAAGGAAACTAGCGCTCAGACTAGCGCTTCTGGTTCAAGTCGTGACACTCATCACTGATTTACAAACCATCTGCTGTCTTGCTTGCAGTTGCCGTCTTTCAGACTGTCCATCTGAATAGAAGAGATTTTGCCGCCACCTCTCGCTCCACTTCACAATCTATCAAACCGGTTCAACTGTTCCTGCAAGTCTTGCACCGCTGTTCCATTTTCTTTTTAATCGTCAAGTACCCATGCGCCTTCTAATACTGCTGCGATGTCAAGGACATTCACAGCGCTACATCTTGAGCGGTGTGCATGAATTCCACAAAGGCATTCCATTCAGGCTCTCAGTTTAAGTTGCATGCAGCATCGTACAGCAACGTAGGTTTATGAGCGCTTTAACGCTGACGTTTCGCGGGAATTCGAAGGCTAGAAGTGATGTCTTAGTCATCTTTGACTGCGAACCGAACTACGAACGCATCGTGCAGTCCGGGTCGGTATGGATCCTGTAGCCCATGGTCAACGCTCTTTGAAAGTGGGAAGTGGGCCTGCATGTGTCTCAAACGCATATATTTGGGGATGCAGCGGAGTAAAAGCAAGTTTGTGGCAGCGTAGCAGAGCCTCATTAGATCAAGATATCTCTTCTAGCCAGCCACACACGCTCAGCTGCAGCTCAAGAGCTATATGGATCTTGTCAAGCTATCTCTACCTCTACCCTACGATATCGTTTCCAATGTCATGGGAGAATTCCCTCCTCATGATCCCATATATTTCCTCCATTGGTTCATAACACCACTAAACGCCCATATGCGCCAGTGACCACACCATCATGGAAGCCACGAAAATGTACATCGATATGGGTTATAATGACCTGCTATGCCACCCTTCTCTGCGAGAAAAAAGATTTTGGACGCCACGGACATTTCCGACATAGCTCATTCTTGATTTGGAGCTTTCGTTGCCGTCTTGTCATTTCTATGATGTGTAACGAAACAACGATACGCTTTTGGCCTAGGAGGATGGATTCATCATACTTTTTTTCTTTTCCAACCCCTCTGCCCTATACCACTGGCGCCACACTGATCTTGCTGGTATGATTGAATCACGTCCCTTGGAAAGGGGTCCAAAGGATCCATTTACGCCGCCTCCTGGAAAGGCAACGTCCATGGTAATCCCCCGGCGGATTGCAAAACAGCAAAAGATCCTTCAGGGTCCGTTCTAACCATCATCCTCATCACCCGTACCCTCCACTTCCTCGCAAGCCTGCTGATGTGTCGCCGCTCTAGCTCAGCTACTGCACACATCAGTCACCGATAGCTTTTCATGCTGTGGAGTTTGTAACTGACATCTGTAGTAATGTCCCCCGAAATAACATTCTATCATTCATTCATCCTTTGATGAATTACGGCCTCAGGGTTTATAGATATCTTGTCAAGGTCTTGCCACATTAGTCAAACCGCTAAACAGTATAATTCCTGTACTTTATCGTAGGTCATTTCGATCTGCTTTACACTGCAACCTCATTAAGTTTGGATTATATCTTTAGCTTTATCAAGATGATCGAGCAAGCTATCATATTTTGCCTCGCTTCATGCTCCTGGATATGCATTTTACGGGATATGATACGTGTACGGTCCTCGTGGCATTTCCCTGAATACTGGGGGTACTGCGGCTCGACCGAGTCCCTTTTTCTGCCTCTCGGTGACTGTTCTACGATCGCTTTTTGCATCCGCAGCTCACTCTCATCGCAAGATATGTTCCATGTCCCTGGAAAGGATATCCTATTCGATAGCTAAGTGCTGTGGACTCAATATGAACATCCTTTCGGGTGTTATAGTATTATGGGTTTCTTTATTGGATACGAACTTTAAGCACCAGCGACGAAACAGGAGCTAGAAAGATATCGTGCCCAAGGAGAATTGTGATGGCCAATGGATTGGTGAGGTCTCAGTTATGATTGACGATGAATAATATCTGGTATATTGTGCTATATGACAGTAGGAGCCAACTCCCGGTTCTTCAATGGGCTCATCAGAAACTATGCTTAAATGGAAGCTATGACCAAGCGCTATGCATTCGCTGCCTTAGCAGCCTATCACCGTTGTCCAGTCCTGATTTAAGTCATTATATCGGCTTGCATATATGGCAGGTAAAGTCATCATTAATCCCGCTCAATAGAACGGATATTATAGTACGTACAAAGAAGGACGCTATAACAATAATAGAGGGAAACAAGCGCTGGCTTCAGTCACATCGTGACGGACATTCGCAGGATGGTTCTTTGAATCCCCCAGCGGCTCCAGCTCATAGTCTATCATTAATATTCAATATTCAATCCTGCGTCCTCGATTTGTCAGCATCAGTATGTCAGAGGACTCAAGAGACCTGTCTCTTGTCACGGCGCAAAATTCAGTTCCCTCGCATTTGAGCCTCGGGCTGATGCAGGAGATGGACTTACACTACCTCCTGACTTCCAGCTCCCGTCCCTGGAATCAGTCCGAGCAGAATTAGCTACCTGTGAGATATACAGCACTCGATGTTTTGCGTTTACACTTATCAATCCTTCAAATAGTGGCAGATATCAAGTGTCAATGTCCACAAAGAAACGAAGAAATTATCTCCGCCGTCATAATCTCACTAATTTGTCATGGATTGGATGAACCGCCGGGCCTGGGAAATATGGACTTGGAGCCAATCTACTATTATATGAAACTGCCCAAACTTTTCAAATGGTCATACTTTGTTAAAATAGAAGATGGTAAGTTATAACGCCAATGTATCAGAGTTAAGTGTGCGAACTGATGAGATTAAACAGTCCCGGACGACCTTCAGAAGGATGTAATATTTGCACTGAAGATGTTTATACGAGCTGTAGAAGAGTACCCAGAACCTATGCCTCGTTTGCTGATGAGCTACCCTCCTGGGTCCGAGGAAGATTACAAACATGTTGTGGTGATTATTATTTGCGTGCGGTTGAAATGTTCTAGCTGAATAGTTCTACTTCAGCTTTGCAATGCTCGCTACAAGCTCTCGGAATCCCTACTGTGCGTACACACTCTCCTTGCTTTAGTTTTTTCTCTCACATATTTACAGTCAACCAAGGACCAACCGTCCGGCTGAAGCTGTACCATACCTAAAAGCCGCTATTGAGACTGATGTTAGGAGGGACACATCCTGCGAAGACCCATGGTTGATGACGCCGTATGTCTCAAAGGCTTTCGAATCATATTTGGAACTCTGTGCTCAACATATATTCAGCTTTAACTACTCGCTTTACGGGGAAGCCTTAACTCTATCTGGTAGATATGACGACGAGACCAAGCATGCCAGGCCACATGTAGTTTCTGGAGATTAACTCCATCGTTTGTTGCCACCCAGGGTGCCCAGCCACTGGAGTGTCATGATGTCTGTCTATTGCCTTGATCCTTGCGGATTCAGGCACATAGATTTTGTTTTTAAAGTGGAAGAGCCCGTCTTCCCATACATTGTTTTCATTGCTGTCAAGGCATGCTTTCTCTTCTGAGGAGATGTCTTTCTTGAAGACTTGCAGAAGATCGGAATCCTGCCCAATTCTAATATTGGCTACCCTAGATTGATCTATCAGGGTGACACCTTTGTTGTCATCTTCAATGCCGTTGGCATGATCCTCTCTTCTGGACAAAGCATTTGCTTTCCCCATAGAAGTTCCAGGCTTATGAATTAACTTATAATTAAACCTTGACAAGTACACTGCATAGCGGGCCTGTTACAATACACAATTTTCGGACCTTGCTTTTTATTCTCTTCTTTAACTTTATACTGTAGTTTTCACACCCGGTGCTATGCGGCACTTTCCTTTTTGTTCAAACTCCTCTTTCTCGTGCTGCGCTGCCTTCCTTCTTATTTTAGCTACAAGTATCTCACGCAGTAGAGCTGGTCACACGGGCTGTGCCCATGACATCATCAGCCACTGCTTCCATCAACTATATAGTACACATGTACAAACGACCTGTAGTAGTATAAATACCCAATAAATCCAGAAGACTCCTCAGCGAGTCCTCCTGTTGTATCCTCACAACTGACTTGTTGAAGCCTAAAGGGTAACCACTCCCTCATCATCCTGTCTATAGCTTGTCTGAGTTATGCGCCAGAGTAACAAACTCTTGGTTGTTACATTAGGACTTGCTCTTCAATACTCTCTCACACATTGTGCAAACCTAGACCCCAGGGTTAAGGGGATAGTATTGTTGTTTTCAAATATCCTGCATAGCAGATAGGTGCGCTGCTACCAATGGCCTTGTAGTGCTTTGGGAGAAGAAACAATAATCTTGTTACACGGCCCCCAGCATGAAGGGGAGTACCTTAGCTTAGTAGTTGGTGTGGAACCACTGTTGATTAGTTTTAGAATACAAAAACTTCACTTTCTCTTTCCTCTGACCAGGCCGGGCACTTGCCTCCACCAGTCTGGAGAAGGGTTGACAGCTTTACAAGCGGACCACCCCCTGACAACCGTTCGGACCAGGGTTTATTACAAATACCTTTTACATACATTTTCAAATACTATAGTGTGGATAGTCGGAGATTGAGATCCGATACTCAGCTGGGAAGAGGTAGATCCACAGATAGCAAGCGGGGACCCCCAGTTACGTTGTTTTTACTTTACACTACCAAAGAAAACAAGTTGACATGTTGTCGCAAAGTCAACAAACCAACATCAATGCTCTGTTGCACAACATGCGTGCACAGATCTTGGCATTGACCATGCAACTTGCCAAGCTACAGGTGCACCCTCCTGCAGCAATCCCCTCGGTTGAGAAGAAGTTTAATCAGAAAGTTGAAGTTGTTGCTGACCCCTGCGCCTTCAAAGGAGACAGAGCGCGATGTCAATGATGAGAACTGTTGTTAGAAAACCACACACAAAAACAAACTAACACACAATCCTCCCAGATTCCACGGAACTTGTTTATGGGCTTGCCTCCTAGAACAG